GGTTTTTTCCCCCTTCTTGGCTTGTAAATAGATTTATCATTGTACCTGAACATTCTTTTCTTTCTCTTTTTTTCCTTTTTAGATAAATGATTGTTTAATCGAGTGGCAAAGCCATCTTCTTTCTTAGGCAGCTCCTCTGCTGTATGTAGGGTAATGCTTGCTTACTTGGTGATCATTAACACATTTGAGGTTATGTTGTATATAAATAAAAGTAAATGGTGTTTTTATAAGGAGACATATCTTGGAAGGAAATTCTGAAGGTTCAACTGCCCGTGATTTTCAGCTAGATCTCAGAAATTTGACTTAGATTTATTTATCATTAATTTATTATAGGTGTTTGGGGAGGAGAGACCACAGTTTGCCTTTGATTGCTGACAAGGCAGAAACAATTTTAGTATCATTAGAAAAGAAGAACAAATTTTAGAAAAGAAAAACAACCTTAACTTTATTTGAAATGTTTTATCTCTCCACTGTATAGGATTGTAAAATATTTTATATGGGGTTTGTTATAGCAAAACCTGTTAAATGACTATTATTTGCAAGTAGCACATTGTATTGTTCTAATCCATGATTTCTTTTGCCTTCTTCCTTCATCATATATTGGTACAACCTTTGAAATGTGTAGACCAAAAGGGTTTTAGGACCCATAGTTCAGAAGTTATAGAGACAGAACTACTCTCTTCAGTTTTTATTAAGACAAGGCAGAATACTTTAGATGTTTATAGGACATCATATTTATTTTTCTATATTCACTTTTTTGAAATCCTCTATATTATGTAAGAAATACCTGCTTAGATTGTGAACTTTTTTGGGGGTGTTAGGAGTGTCAGACAATCCAGTCTTACCCCCACCCCCACAGCTGTATTTTACCAGAATTGCTCTTTCTTTTCAAAGGGCCTGGAGCAGAGAAAAAGAGGTCTTTATGAAATTTTTGCTTAGTACAATGAGAACATTCTTGAAATTTCATGCAGAGCACTTCTGTATTTTTTCTTGAAAATCTATGTGTAATTACATTTTTACTCAGAAGTTATGAAAATACTTATAAAACTATGTCTATGTTTAGATATAGTATTTTTTTTGATCTTTAGCTTTAAAGCTTTTAAGTTTGAATTCATGTATTCTAAGCCAAAATTCATAGAAGGGCTCTAATTACTCTCCACTGTTAATAAAGCGATCACTTGTGTAGAAGGCTCAGAAAAGAAGCTCCCTTTTCAGGGATGACATCTTGTAATGTTAAGGCTAACCTAAAGGAACAAAGTGATGCGATCTTGGGTTTTTTGCCAACTTAATTTTACTCTTGTCATAATTTTTTTTTGATCTTTGAAAGTTTTAATGACTGTACCTCCATTGTATGGTTAGACTACAACTTACATAACCCTCCCCTGGTTTTTGATGTCAGTTGCTTACATCTTTATGTTCCTCATCTGATGAATGTCCTTGTATATAAATATTTGTCAGGACCTCTGGCTAGAATTACTATCTCCTAGAATTACTGTCCTAAAGGTAATGAACTACTTTAAGGTTCTAGATATATTTTACCAACTTGCTTTCTAGAAAAGTTATACTGGTTTACATTTTAGTAATATGAATATGCATTATTATTTTGTATAACTGTATAGAATCCCATTGCATGGTAGACTTAATAATATTTAGGTTTAGGTTATTTGTTTTCCCATTTTTAAAAATATTTTTTATTTATTTATGCATACAAGAACTGGGGTGTAGGCCAGAGGCGTAGAGGGGTGAGAGACAGAGTGGGGAACACAACAGGCAGATTCACTGAAATACACTGCTGAAGAGAGCAGTGGGTGAGTCAAGAGAGGTCTGCTTTGCCATGTGGGTAGCTCCCTGGCCAGGGATTGAACTCAGGCTGGAGTGGTGCTAGCACTGAGCCTTAACCACTGGGCCATCTGGGAGGGCCCTGTTTTCCCATTTTAAAATCAATATTCACTTATCTCTGTCACCAATCCCTGTTAATAGTTGAAGCTATCTTGTTTTGCCTGAACTGTGTTAACCCCTTAATTTTTCCTTCTCTTTTTCTTATCTTCCTACATAGTTATCTATTGCTGCATAACAGATTACTCCAAAATTTAGCAGTTTAAATTCACTGACACTTGTTAGCTCACCAGATTCTAAGTAAAGTTTCTCATGAGGCTACAGTGAAGATGTCAGTCAGGGCTGCAGCCATTTCACACCTTGGTGGGGCTGGAGGAGTCCCTTCCAAGAATGTTAACTCACATGACTGTTGACTGAAACTCTCAGTTCCTTGCTGCATGGGCTTCTCCAGCAGGCTGCTCAAAGCTTTAATTAAAATTTTTTGGTTGAAGAAGAAAACTTAGTTTATCATAAATAAATCAGGGAATTTAATGGAAGGGCATTACTGTCTCATTGAATGCAAACTAATAAGTCTGTAGCACCTTGGCTTATAGATGATAGTACAGCCAACTGAACCTGGGTAAAATCAACTCCTCCTTGATCATATGCCCACTCATGGTCCACTTGGTTGTGGTGAGGAGTATGGAGTTACATAATAAATAAGTCTGTGGTTACTGGAGGTCCTTGGAGGGTGGTGTGGGGTCTAAATTTTTTAGGGAAAGGGGACTGGTAGTGTGAACTGTGTGGCCATCCTCAAAGGTGTCTACTACATTCTTGCTTTGGTGGTGTGTTACTTTTTATATCTAGTAACCAGAAAACTCTAAGAGTTATGCTTTTAAAGTTTGTGGCTTCGTTTTTAATATAATTAAAATAACTAGAAAGTAAGTCTGACTTCTTTCAGATTTTATATACCTTATGTACTTTCATGTTTGGTATGGCAGACCTAGGAATGTAACGGTGCCTCACACATAGACCTTTAGCTAGTGGTTGAATTAGGGAGTACTAGAGAGAAGGTAAAATCCACTGGTGTGATTTTGTACACCAGACTTAAAAAATGAAACTTTTCACCCCACAGTGACCTGGTCTTTATGATAATCTTTCACATTTTTCTTTTTATTGGACTTCTTTTGTTATTAGGTCAAAGATAAAAGTTTTTCTCTTGTGAGTCACTGACCCAAACAAAAAAAATTTTGTTGAGGTCCTTGTGAGGTCATTTTTGAGATTTGTAGCTAAGCATTGTCACGAATACTTTTAAACCAGATGTTTTGTGGAAACTTTTTAAAAAAGATAAAATGTAGGCCTCCCTGGTAGTGCAGCAGTTGAGCGCTAGGTTGTGAAGCTGCCCGCAGCCTCCGCAGCGCCGATTCAATCCCCTGCTGCTCCCTGGCCGCCTGGTGAGGGTCCCACATGGCGCGCAGACCTCTCCTGCCGCCCGCTGCTCCCCTCAGCAGTGTACTTCGGTCCTTCTGCCTGCTCTGCTCCCTGCTCTGGCTCTGGTGAATTCTCTCACCCTCCTGCGCTTCTGACTGTACCCAGTGCTTGTATAAATAAATAAATAAATCTTTAAAAAAAAAAAAAAAAGATAAAATGTAATAAATGTTTAAGGTCTTAAGTGAATGATTAGCTATTGCTAGTCTCCTGTAATGTATAGCTGGATTCTGACTTGTTACCACATCCACAATTACAACCCCAGTTCAAATCTTCAACATTTCCTTTGGAACTATAGTAGATTTCTAAACGATCTTCCTACATTTGCTTTTACCTCTCGGTAGTGGGTTCTTCAAAGAATATTACTTAATGCTGGATCACTCACTACTGAAAAATTTTTTTTTTAAAGATTTATTTATGCATACAAGAGCTGGGGTGTAGACTATAGGTGCGGGCGATGGGTGAGAGGATTCAACAGAGACACAGTGGGGAGCAGAACAGGTGGATTTACTGAAATACACTGCTGAGGGAAGCAGCAGGCGAGACAGGAGGGGTCTGCTGTGCCATGTGGGTTAGCTTCCTGGACTGGAATCAAACTCGTGCTGCAGTGACTGTGGATAGCTTCATAGCGAGGCTTCACCCCTTGTGCCACCAGGGAGGCCTCTACTTCAGTGGATTTCCATTCTATAATAAGTTGTAAAATTTTTCCATGTTCTAGAAAGTGTTACACAATATGGCCCCTACCACTCTCACCTTAACGGTTGTGATGTATCCACATCCTTCATTGTGCTGCAACTACAATGACTTCCACATATGCTCACTTTACAGCTTTGGTACCTGGAGTTTTCCGTGCCTGAACATTCTGTTCTGATGTGTCTTCATTTCAGGTTACTTGAAATACTGCTTATCTAGAGGCTTTCCCTGACTGTCCCTGACTGTCTCTTTTATCACTCTTAAATACCTTTATCCTGTTTTTTCTTAATAGCATTTCTTTTTTTTTTTTTTTTTATTTTTTAGAGGCATGTTTTTATTTATTTATTTGTTTGTTTGTTCGTTCGTTTTGTTTATACATGCACTGGGTACAGTCAGAAGCGCGGGAGGGTGAGAGAATTCACCAGAGCCAGAGCGGGGAGCAGAGCAGGCAGAAGGACCGAAGTACACTGCTGAGGGGAGCAGCGGGCGGCAGGAGAGGTCTGCGCGCCATGTGGGACCCTCCTCCGGTGGCCGGGGAGCAGCCGGGGATCGAACCGGCGCCGCAGAGGTCGCCGGCAGCTTTGCAACCCAGCGCTCAACCGCTGCGCCACCGGGGAGGCCCTTAATAGCATTTCTAATTTGCACCGTTTGTTTATTTGTATGTCTTTTGTCTTCTAGACTCCCAAGTTCCACAAGAGCAAGGATTTTATCTTTTTTTATTCACTGCTTTATCTTCATTGCCTGGCATAATGAGTGCTCAGAAAATATTTGTTGAATACATGAGTAAATATATTTTTGCCCTCTGGGTGGTAATTGGGGGAAATAATTTATTACACACCTGGCATTGGTAGTTGAGAATGACTTTTGAATAGAGAAGTTAGGAAGAAAAAAATCATTAGTATCCCATAGTTCTTATAAACCTTTTATAAGGCTGGTGGAAATAATTGCTTTATGTGATTAGAATTGATGTTTTATAAAACAATTTTGGTTATATTCCATTGCAGATGAAGATGATGACTTCATGTGTAAGAAAGCAGTGTCTAAAGCGAAAGAGAATGGAAGATCTACAAATAGTTATCTTGGAGTATCAAACATGAAAAAGAATGAAGAAAACAATAAGACCAAGAATAAGCCTTTATCACCAGTAAGACTTACCCCTACATCAGTGCTTGATTATTTTGGAACTGAAAGTGTCCAAAGATCAGATAAGAAAATGGTGGCAAGCAAAAGAAAAGAGGTGAGTGTTCTACATGCAGGCAAGAATGTTCAGGATTTATACCCGTTCACTGTTACAAATAAGAGGTGAAATTTGGGTGTTACAAATAAGTAACACTTTATTGATGAAAATATTTGTCATGTGATTATGGGTAAAATGTCCTTGTTGTAGAGGATGAGGAAGTTAGAATATTGCACATTTAATTTGTTATATTTGTAAGTGGGAAAAGATCATTTAATCATAAGAACAAGTTTCAATTTTTAGAATTAAATACTAAGAGTGCAAACTCATTTTACTATTAATTTCAGCTAGACAAATTTTGGACAACAGATTTGCTGCCAAATGAGGTTATAAATACATATAAGTACTACCTGTGTTATACTTTGGATCTTCTTTGCTTTGGCTGATGTTGGATTCATCTTTTTCTCAACATTTAGAGAAAAATACATACAAGTTATAGTGAAAATAGTTGTGTGATTTAAAGTCTGGCAAATGGCGATTGTTGATTTCATTAATACCTTTATAGGACAATATAAACATGGTTGCACACTGGTTTGTCGTTGTTTTTTGGACTACTTTTCAAGCCAAGATTACAAATTTTTGTTTTTTGGGTTGTTTTTTTTTTTTAAGTACTTCTCTTCAACATTTCAATAGAATTAAATGAGAACCATCTCTCTGTAGGATATTTGCTCATTAGGAAATTGGATGTGAGCATGGAGAAGCCAGAGCATGATTTTCTGGTTGGTATGCATTGAGACTATTCCATTACTGATGTACTTTTCTCTCATTGGTGTATTTAATCAGCTACAGTAAAAAAAAAGCATATTAATTTTAACTTACCGTTTATGCTACTTTTACTTGATTTTTTTTGAAATATAGCCTTCACAAAATGCAGATGATTCCAGACTAAATGATGAAGCCATTGCCAGGCAATTGCAACTTGATGAAGATGCAGAGGTATGAGCACTTTCTTTAGATGTCTTTGACAAATTGATGTTGTAACTTTTTCATCTGCCCAGGCAAAAATTCAAGATTGTTCTAGTCTAATTTTGTATTGAGGCTCATTTTTAAAGAATTACATGGAAAATAAATTTAGAATCTAATATACATGGAAACCTAAATTTATATAAAAGATAACATAATTATTTAAAGATATATTGTTAGATGTCTTTCAGTGAAAGGCCTCCTTTAGAACTTAAGATAATTTAATTTGGTCATAGTGCTTTTTTCACTCTGGGCAATCTCATCTATTCTGGTTTTAATTATGTATATACTGATGATCGCAAACTCTGCTTCCACTTCGGTGCTCTCTCTTGAATGGTAAACCTATGTATTCAACAACTATTTATTGAGCACTTACTGAATATATGGCACAGTTTTAGGTCTTAAGGATACTGCAGTTTAAATAAGAAAAGTCATAAGTGCTATGAAGAAAAATAAAGGAAAAGATAGTTTTTGAGTGGTTAGTGTGGTTATTAGTATTCTGTTTTAAATGAGAGGAATGGCTCCTGAGGAAGTAACATTGGGGCACAAAATGAAGCGGTAATGGCAAGCCATGGCGCTCTCAACAGCGAACACCAAGTGCAAACATCCTTAGGTACAAGTATTTGAGTTTGATGAGTTTGCAGAAATGGCCAACAGCAAATCCTATTAAGTCATGATAGGTTTTTAGTACTTACTAATTGAATTTTAGGTGGTAAGGAATTTGGGTTTTGACTCTGAGGCAGGGAGCCATTGGATTGTTGAGAAGAGACATGACTTGCTGGATTTTAATGAAAGTTATTCTAGCTGCTATGAGGTTCATAAACCATAGTGGGGCAAGAGTAAAAGCAGATCAGTTTGGACACTGTTATGGTAAGATATGTGGAAAAATGTTAGCTTACACCAGGATTGTAGTGGAGAAATAGGGAAAAGTGGTCATAATCTGTGTGTGCTTTGAAGTTGCCATCTTCAAATTGTTGCTGATAGACTGGCTCTAAGGCATGAGGGAAAAAGGATGAACAGGATTGCTCCACTCCTTCACCCACTTTGGCCTGAGCAACTGTGCACAAGCGGTGATATCGTTTGTTGAGACTGGAACAGTAGTTAGAGACATCAAGAATTCTGTGTTAGACATGTTAAGTTTGAGATACTTAATAGACTTTCAATTGGAGATGAAGAGTGGGTGGCTGGATAGAGGAATCTTGAGCTCTAGGGAGAGGTCTAAATTGAAGCTGTGTCTATATGTTTGGGAATCATTCATTCATTTAAATGGACTTAAAAAAAAAATAAATGGACTTAAAACAGTGTAAGTGCATGAGATTATGGAGGGAGAAAAGAAAAAAAGTCAGAACTGAGCTATTGTTAATGGTTAGAGGTTAGGAAGAGGAGGGTTATCCAGCAAAGGAAACTTTAAGAGAGAGTCATCAGTGAATTAGGAAAATCAAGAAAGCTTATGGAAAGGAAAATCAATAAACCTTATAATTTTGTGGAAATGAAACTAAGAAAATACTTCAAGGAAGTGTTACTCTCTGTCAGAGACTTCAGACCTTGGTATCTGCTGTTTGCACCCCCTTTCTGGTTATTAACTTCAACTTTCTCATGCTGCTTAAGTATATCAGAAACCCTCCTATATACGCTACTGCTACCCATCATACCCTACCCATCATAGCTACTGTCAGCATTTATTGTAATTGCTATTTGTCTTCCCAGGTATAGGCTCGAAACTCCACCCATCAGGCTGTTTATGTATCACTCAACTATTGTGATATCAGTGCTCACTTTAGTGACTGTCATGGAACAGTCTTTTGATAAATATTGTTGTGCAAGAAGAATATTCTAGCCTTCTGGAATATATCTTATACATATTTTATTATACATATTTCACAGTTTATAGTTTGTTTTCAAAATCTTTTTCTATGTTATTACATTGACATTACATTACATAAATGCTAAATGGGTGTTCACATGACTCTGAGTAGCACAGATGACCTAGATAAAACTGTGAAATAATTTTTAGGAACCTGACTTCTCCACATCTTAGTCCCAATACTGAAAAAACTTAACATATCCTTTCCAAACAAGATATGGTTCTTTGTATCAAAAATCTTCTAATTTCTTATTTCTATCATTCTTTAAAATCGTGTTCTGATAATTTATTAGTCTGATAAAGGACTTTTAGGTGTTAATAATTGATAATGTCTAATTATCCCTCTAAAAGTTTCTTTTTTCTTTTCCGTTTCATTCCCTCTTTATTCATTTAGTAAATGTGTGTACTATATCTAACAAGTCATTATGTTAAATACTGCCTGCTGTGCTAAATGTTTTATTAAAATATAGGACTGTTGATCACACAACACCATAATTTCCAATAATGGAGTTCTAATGGAAATTCATTTTCCTCTGTGTCCTAAAACATCTAGAATCTTTTTTTGCCAAAAGCATAGGACATAGTGTGAAATTTTGGAAAAGTGGAATAGAGTTCAACTAGGAATAATTGCAACACCAGTGGGTTAGCGTTTGAAGGGCTTTTCTGTGATGAAGATTTTAGTCTTGTTTTTAGTAATTTGATGTGTAGTTCAGTTATGGTAAAAAGTTTTAGGCGACAGAATGTATTGATATGTGTCTTTCAACCTTGCTTATAGTTGTGTTCATTTTATAAACAAGACTTGGTTACTATAGAATGTATTGATATGGGTCTATCAACCTTGCTTATAGTTGTGTTCATTTTATAAACAAGACTTGGTTACTGTCTTCTCATGAGGCTTCATACCAATTTCTAAGCCTTCTCTTTGGATTTGGTGGATTTTGAGGTCCTTTCCTTTGAATAATAGAGAGGTGCCTTTTTTTAATCAGAGGGCATAGAACCAGCAAGTTTATAATGAGAAGTATATTCCACTGCCACATGTTCTTTTCTGGAAGAGCTCCAGTTTGCTGAAATGAAAATGATTGGAAATATCAGTGAGGTAGCAAGAATGTCTCAGTGTTACATTATCATGTTAGGAAAATAACAAAAAAGACGGTGACTTAAAAGTTTAAGCGTTAGAACAGATACATTTGAATTAGTAATTGAAAATAGGAGTTTGGTGTATGTCATAGTGGCAGTGTGTGCAAAGAAAATGCAAGATTTTCTTAATTTTTTTTTTCTGGGGTCTCCAGACTATTATGTTTTTATTTAGGGTGACATTCTTTTAAAAGCTCTTTTTAGAGTTTAAAATAAATAGAAAGTAAGTGTTACATTAGAACCGTTAAGAGAAAACTGTAGACTTTGAACTTTAAAAGAAGTATGACTTTAAAAATATGTTCAATTTGTCTGTCATACCTGCAAAACTAGATGTATACACTCTGAAATTACATCTGTCTTAGTAACATACATGTGGTACGCCACTATTAATATTAAGTGGAAAAGTATTGTTATTTTCTAGAAAATGCTTTTCCATTTTTTTGCTAACATTTGCTTTAATTTGCAAAGAGAACAACTCACTCTTGATACTTTGTGTAGCTGGAGAGACAACTGCATGAAGATGAAGAGTTTGCCAGAACATTAGCCATGTTGGATGAAGAACCCAAGTCCAAAAAGGTGGAGTTTTTTTTTACTAGGCTATCTGTACTCTGAACATGCAATACAGATTGGTGTTCTTTTCCTAGCCTCTGAAGTTATAAACTAAAGAAGCTAAATTCTTTTAATTTTAAAAAATTTTGGGGGGAAGGGCATTGAATAACTTATTTCTAAAAGAAGGTTGACAGAGCCAAAGCCATGCAGAGCCCTTTTGTTCAGTGAGTTTCTTACTCTGTCACGGAGGGATTCTGAACATACCTGCTCAGAAAATAATGTTGATTCAGATTCCTGTGAAACATGGAATCAGTGACTTTGATGTTACTCACTATCTCTTTGTGAAGCACAATCTTGCTACTTTTAATAACTACCTTTAAGATCTGCATTAGAACAGTGTCAAATTATAATTGAGTGTATTTTTGAGTCAAGAAAAATCTTTTAAAAGCATCAAGATTTTTTTCACTTGACTTCCAAATAATTAGCTCTATTTCTGTTCAATCATATTCTACTAATATAATTGTTAATATATCTGAGTATTTAAAAGAATTATATAGCAGACGATGTAAGACAATAGGAATTAGTGGGACTTTAGGACTTCTGAAGTAACTCAGATTGTAATTACTTTGAAAAAATACTGTGTCACACACCCTCTTTGTAAAAATGGAGTTTTGAAGGAACGGTAGAGAAAATGGACATTTTTCCCTCTTTCGTAAGTGTACTTTTTTCCTTTTGAGCTTTAGAGTGTTTTGATTTTGGGCCTCCCTGTTGGTGCAAGGGGTTAAGCACTGCACTGTGAAGCAATCTGCAGCCTCTGCAGCATGAGTTCGATCCCTGGTGGCCAGGGAGCAACCCACATGGTGAAGCAGACCTTTCTTGCTTGCCCGCTGCTCCCCTCAGCAGTGTATTTCAGTCAGTCTGCCTGTTCTGTGTGCTGTCTCTGGTGAATCTTCTCACCGCCTGCATCTCTAGCCTGTACCCCAGCTCTTGTATGCATAAATAAATAAATCTTAAAAAAAATGAGTGTTTTAATTTTAGGGTTAGATTTTAGTCTTTAACTTTGTAATACAAACAGTCTGAGAATTGAGATGAGAATAGAGGCAAGGCTTCCATCTCACAAGTTAGGAATAACTGGGATGGATTTTTAATAGAAATATTTTTTATATGCTTTTATCTGTTTCCTCACCTGTAGAGTAAAAGGTAATAAATCATGTCTTATTAGCCCCAGAACTTTTATGAATGAATAAAATAAAATATATTGTCCTGCAACTTTGTAAAGTGGCTCTTAATCTTAAAATTAAAACTTTTGTTAAATAAAACTTTGGTGCATTTTGTAGTGATCATTTTCCTACTGTTTATCATTTAACATTTTTTAAATTTGCTTAGGCTCGAAGGGACACAGAAGAGAGAGAAACGTTTTCCTCTGTTCAAGCAAATTTAAGTAAAGCAGAAAAACATAAATATCCTCGTAAAGGTAATATTAGCAGATAAAAAGTAAGCTAGAATTTCTAGAAGAAAATTAGTGACAGCCTTATTTCAACATTCTAGTCAAGAATTTTCTTTATCATTATGCAGATAAAACAACCCAAGGCTATTAAAGCATGTTCTACTGAGATATTTTGAAAGCTACTTGGATAATATCTTGTAGAGAATGCTCATCTATTCTGATTATCGTGAGAAATGTATGACAGCTTTTAGCTTCATGTTAATTTCCAAGTACAGTAGAGCATGTGGACTTCACTATCTGAAATCAGGGAACTGGATCTTCTTAGCTTTTCATTTGAGAGTTAACCTCACAGAGGTCCAGATTATCCTAAGCCCTTTTGCTGATTGTCAATAGTTATTCTTTTTATTGTCTTAATAGCTAATACCTGTTACTGTAGATGGCCTTAATCCTATAAGTAAATTTCTTCTTTTAGTACCTTTACTCTTGAAATCTCAGGATTTTGGGCTTTTAGACTACATTAAAATTGCAGAATTTTTGTGTGCCCTATTCTATTTAGTAAGTGTTCTCTTTGTAAATTTAGCTCATTGATATTGTTCATGTCCTTAAATGCAGTTTACCATATTTTTCAGCTAATGAGAACTTTATATTTAAAAAGATAATCTCTTAATTTGTACTGGTTATACAAAGAAGTAATGTAAAAGTATTTCATTAAAAAATGTGCTGTACAAACAAAAGAATTAACATCTTGGTGTAAACATTATGAAATTGCCTTACATTATTCACCACTAAGATTACTCAGTTGAAATAATCTTCATGTGGGTATCATTTTCCAAAACAACAATCACAATCTTTTCTCTCTTTCTAATAAAAGCAGAACAATTTTCAGATGAAAGAAAGAACTGTAGTCCTAAGAAGCAAATTAAATATGAAAGTTCAAAAGAATCTCAGCAACATCCCAAGTCATCAGCTCATAAAATAGGAGAACCATCTTCTCCAAAAGCCAGTACTAAACTGGCACTTCTGAAGAAAAAAGGAGAGAGTGCTTATAAAGAAGCAGAGCCTTTAGCCTCAAAAAGAAAAGAAAATGCTATTGAATTGAAAGGAGAGACAAAAACACCCAAGAAAACCAAAAATTCTCCAGCTAAAAAGGAGGTAGTAAATTTTTGAAAGTGTGTATTATTCGGGGGGCTATGTGTTGATCTGAGCTTGATTGTTTTCAGGTTTCTAATTTTATAAATCATTATAGTACTTTAAGATACCATGTTATTTAGAAGTTTTTGCAGAATATAGGTTATTAGCTACCCATTATTTATGGAATGTAATTGTATATCAGATACTGTTCTTACACAGACAGTATTTCATGTAGTCTTCACAACAATCTATTAGATGTTTACTTTAATTGTATGTTTAAAGAAGGAAATGGCCCAAAAGAGTTTGATTTCTAAGATCATCCACCTAGTAAGTAGGAGAGCTAGCTTTGAATTCTGGTTCTCAGAGGCCCAAAAAAAGCAGTGTAATATGGTGACTTATGGATCCAGAAGCCAGTTTTGGATCATAGCCATGCCTCTGAACGGACGGAACTTTGGTATGGTTACTTCCCATCTTTTTGCTTTGGTTTCCTCATTTGTAAAATAGGATAATAATAGAACCTAGTGAATTAATACACTTAAACCACTTAGAACAGGACCTTGCTACATATGTGGTATGTAAGTTTGCATCTGTCCTGCTTGTCCTTTTTTTCACTTTGTATGAGTATTGAGATACAGAAATCATCAAATGAAAAAACAGTGAAGTAATGCAGAACTGTTTTCAAATAAAGTGAATGGTTTTAGAATTTCCAAGTTGGAACTACCTTAGCTTCATAATGAGAAACCACTATTCCTTCAAGCTGCTTAGGTACTTAGAATTAAAAGCATAATATTGTCTATTTTAACTGCTCATCAGCATTATTTTTTAGTGCAGAACAATGAAATGGTAATGATTTCAAGATGTTTTTGTTTATGGTCATTGCTCATAATGAATATGCTTAAGGGAACAATTAACTTTTTGGTATCAGATTTTTCTTCACTAAATACTTATATCTGAATTTTTTTCTTCAGGCATACTAAATGTGCTCAGTTTATCAAAGCCTGTCTATTTTTGTTAACAGAGGAAAAAAATCTTCAGATGATACTATTATGTTTTCATTGTATTTTTCACAGTATTTTTTTCAAAGTCTGAATAGAAATGATTCAGACAACTTTCACTTAAAATCAGTTTTGGGAGCATCAACGTCTTTAATAAATTCATTTTATCTCAGTTAAATTATTTTGATTTCATCAGTGGATGCACCTCAAAGTTATTTTACAAGTTGTTTGTAATTCATAATTATTTTTCCTAGAATTAATGTTATAAATGAATAATTTTTCCACTTTGGTACGCATTGAACTTTCCTGTGAAGCTTGTTAAAAACATGATTTCCCAGAGCAGATGTCTGGGCAACTATATTTCACTAAGCCCCTCAGATAATTGAAAGTACACCAACATTGAGAACAACTGTTAAAAAGCCCTGGTTAGTTTCCAGGACCAATCTGTAATGACTTATTTAACTTTCAACATAAACAAAATAGATTACTTATTTTGTTGATTGAATTTTGTATATAGAAGTGGTATTTTGTCTATGTAAAGGGATTTGAGGTGGCTTACAAGCTGAAATAACGTAAAATAAAGACCATTCTGTAGCTGTTCTTATCAGATTTATCTGATTCTCCCCCACCCCCCCCATCTCTGCATCAGAAACTTAAAGGTGTGTCTAGACTATATACTTTGAAAACTTCCCCCAGCATTTTCTGAGATATAGTCATTTTCTGAGATAATAGGTAAAATCCTCTGAGAGAAATGAAATGGGAGCCATTAAACCTAGAAGGAAGATTGATGGAATATAGAATGTGTCTGCTTTTTTGAGTAAAGCATGTCTCTTGTTTGAGCCAGATGTTTATGTGAATCCATGGATTCTCAGAGTAGAGTGCTCCTATCATAGCCCCAGGGGTATAGGGCAGTGTTTTAGGGGATGTGCAAAGTCATAGCATAAGTACATTTACCTAGGAGAAATTTAATGTTTTCCATTAAAATACTCATGGATGGGGGCCTCCCTGGTGGCACAGGGGTTGAAGTCTCAGTACTATCAAGCTATCACCAGCCATTGTGATATGAGTTCGATCCCCAGCCAAGTTGCTAACCCACATGGTGCAGCAGGCCTTTCCTGTCTTACCTGCTGCTCCCCTCAGCAGTGTATTTCAGTCAATCTGCCTGTTTTGCTCCCCACTCTGTCTCTGGTGAATCCTCTCAACCCCTGCACCTCTGACCTAGACCCCAGTTCTTGTATGCATAAATAAATAAAATCTTTTTTTTAAAATAAATGTATTATGGAATATAATTTAAAATATATTATGGAATATAATTTAAAATTCATATGAATTATTGAAATAACATGCACATTTTTGTTTTTTTGGCTTGGGTCTGAGAATGGATTATGCATCTATTTTGCCCTGGGGTATGTGGCTTTAGAGAGAATGGAAAGGTTTTGAGAAGGGCTAATTCAGGGATGTTGTAAACCAGGTATATATTAATTAAAGAGTACTTGTGTAGCTAAAAATGTTAATTTCAGGACCAAACACAGTAGTGACTTACTGTTTATCCATGTGTATTTTTTAATTTTCTATGAACTTTGTATGGTTTTGTTGAATTGCCTTCCTTTTCTCCAAAGTCTGTAAGTCCTGAAGATTCTGAAAAGAGACGGACTAACTATCAGGCTTATCGAAGCTACTTGAATCGAGAAGGTCCCAAAGCTCTAGGCTCCAAAGAAATACCAAAGGTGAGTACACAGGGCCTTAGACTAACTGTGGGTCCATAGATGATGTATTTACTATGTTTACAGAAGCAGAGAGTTATTTAAAAATTAACAGCATAAAATTCTTAATCTCCATCTTTGTGGTATCTGATTTATTAGGGATGTTTGGTCACGTTGTGAATCACTGCTTGATACTCCAGGCTATTTTGAATTTGTTGAGATTTTAAGTACCCAAATTGTTCTCAACACTATTCCAATCCTAGGATCTGAAAGTCTAAAGGAAACTTGAGATGTTAGTCAAATTCTTACTTGTAAGCAGATTCATTTGTTTTGTTTTTCTTCCAAGAAAGATTCATTATCTATGTGTGGTAGTCCTTAACTTTTGTTCAGCTGCTGCCTTTCAATCCTATTTTAAGTCTATGTTGATTTCAATTTTCTATTCAAAGATTAATAAGTAACTTGGAATGATTTTTCATTTTGCTTGATTGTATCATTTTATTGAAATATTGCAAAAAAAAGCCTCTATACATGATTTTAATTGAGATTAGATGTGTTCTCCATCTTGCTCTCATTGGCCATTGTCCTTTGTATTATCAAGTTATCTTTCCTACCGAGGTAATTTGATGCTGCTCTAGGTTACTTGAAGGTTGTTAGATTTATTGTCATAGGGTAAACAGAGAAGAACAGAAACTCAAACTTGTTTAGCTTTTCAGAATCAAAACTTTCCTTTTTTTAATAATAGCAAGAAATTCTGTAGGTGGATTGCTTTTGCTTATTTACTTAAAATTCTACAAGTTAACTAGTTGTTTAAATATTTTAAAAAATAATGAAAATAGTACAATGGGTAATTTCAATAAGCTTTGCTGTTTTGAATGTATATTTTATTGCTTACTTTGTAAGTTTATTAAATGTCTGCCTCCATAAAAGTTTGATTTCAAGTTCTGCTTATTTGCTGTACATTTCCAGCAAATTTTTCATGCTGAGATTATGATGTCAAATGAGAAAAATCAACTTCCTGCTGTTTTGATGCCAAATATTTCTTTGGAAAGCTACCATGTAATTTCCTCTCTGCTTGAACATTTTGGTTTTTAGGGAGCTGAAAATTGCTTGGAAGGCCTTACATTTGTAATCACAGGAGTGCTGGAGTCCATTGAGCGAGATGAGGCCAAGTCTCTAATTGAGCGTTATGGAGGAAAAGTAACAGGAAATGTCAGCAAGAAAACAAGCTACCTTGTCATGGGTCGTGATAGTGGTCAGTCTAAGAGTGATAAGGTAGGTGCTGCTGTCTTCTCCATACAGGGAAGAGCTGCTTGCCTTTTCAGGCTTCTGATGTGATTAGGGGTAGCTGTGCCCTTTTATACAGTTAAATGAAGAAAGAAAAGGGGAAAGTAATTTCTTTCTCATAGGTGTCACTGGTTTAGACCCCAGGATTTTGGTTTTCCAATTAAAGGCACAGTTCTGATTTACTTGACTTTCTTAGTGTAGTATTCTAGCTTAAGTCTTTTTGAAGATAGAGGTGGTTTTCTCTTTCTTCCAGTGCTAAGCATCCTGTATATGCTACTGTAGACTCCATCTTAAGCTATTTTATTGGACACTTTTAGGAATGTTGAGTGGGGTTGTGTTTAGCTCCAAATAACAGAATATTTGACCTTGGTTTAAACAAAAAACTGCTTACTTTCCTCATCTAACAAGAATTCCAGAGGTAGGAAGTTATTGGGGGTGGCTTAGCAGCTAGGTAATGTGGCTCGGCTACTTCATCCTCCACCTCTGTCCTTAATTATATTAGAGTTATTTAGCCTTTGTGCATATTGCCCTGTGCTGCAGTATTATCTGCAGTTGTAGACTTAATGGTCTGCATTCAAGGCAAGAAAAAAACAGTGGCATGGTAGCATTTTAGCTGTGATTCCCCTTCAGAAACATCTCTTATAAAATTCCACTTAGTCTCACTAGTGCTGTCACATGGCCATTCAAAGCTATAAGGAAGATTGGAGAAAATGAGGACTTTTCTGATTTTTGACCAGTTGTAGGCCATCATTCTCAGAGATGGATGTGTTGGAGTTCCCTTAGCAAGGCAGGAGGTAGTTGACAATGTCTGCCATGAGTCAGCCTTGGGAGAGGGTGTGGAGAGCTGGACTTCTGCCCTAGTGACTTTGACTCTTTTAGGAAAAAGGGAAAGGCACAGCAGTCCACTAAAGTGGTCATGTGGCAACTCATCACTCTTGAGAGATGTATCTGTCATTTTCTTTTTAATGAATATGTTTGATATTCCAATATTATCTAATTTACAAATGTGGGTTTTTACCTCCTAATCAGCCGTAGTATCTTTTTTTTTTTAACCAGCAGTTAAAGATGAAGTTTTAATGATTTGTGTTTTTAATCAACAGGCAGCAGCCTTGGGGACAAATATTATTGATGAAGATGGCCTTTTGAATCTCATTCGAACTATGCCAGGCAAGAAGTCCAAGTATGAAATAGCTGTTGAAGCTGAGGTCTGTTTAAAATGAACTTGATTTATTTACATTGGTATATAGCAACCTTCCTGTGTCATAGAGACATTTCTTGGGCAGATACAGGTTTGTTCGCTAAACAATTGACTTTCCCTTCTACAACAAATGAACCTACCTTGAGCAACGAGTCTCTGCTTCAGGATGTCTTTGGTGTATTTCCTTACCTTTCTCAAGGGAAGACAGGCAAGGACAATATAGTACATTTACGTAACTACTTACTAAATTTTCCATGTTTCTCTTTGCTTGTAAAGGTTATTGCTTAAGAGTTGTTTAAAGGGTTATGTTATAGATCTCACTGTGGTAAATCATTTTCAATGAGAACTGCATTAGGACTTCTTCAGTTGACATAGAAACCTGGCCCATGTTAGCTTTAGCAAAGAGAGAAAAATGTTGACTCATGTAGCTAAACAGTGGGCAGGGTGTTTAGTGTAGTAACTGCTGAATCTTGAAATCATAGTGCACTTGTATCCCTTTCAGTTCTGTCTCTGTGCTTCTCCTAGCATCAGCCTCATTCCCACTCTATATAGGTTTATTCCACATCCAGGACACAGGGGCGTCAGCAGCACAAATTCCAGTTAGAAAATTCCTAGGGAATGACTTGGATGGGACCGTCACCCGCTGTCCCCAATGTTAACAACTTATATAACCAGAGTACATTGATACTGTACTGCTAACTACTTGTTATTCGAACTTCACATTTTCCTTTATCTTTTTTTGTTTAGGATTCCACACACAATTCTAATGGTTGTATCTTCTTCTTTTCCTCCAGTGTATGATAGTTCCTTAGTCTGTCTTTTTTTTTTTTTTTTTTTTTTAATTTTCTAGAGGCATGTCTTATTTATTTATTTATTATTTGTTTGTTTGTTTTGGTTTATACATGCACTGGGTACAGTCAGAAGCGCGGGAGGGTGAGAGAATTCACCAGAGCCAGAGCGGGGAGCAGAGCAGGCAGAAGGACCGAAGGACACTGCTGAGGGGAGCAGCGGGCGGCAGGAGAGGTCTGCGCGCCATGTGGGACCCTCCTCCGGTGGCCGGGGAGCAGCCGGGGATTGAACCGGCTGCAGAGGTTGCAGGCAGCTTCGCAACCCAGCGCTCAACCGCTGCGCCACCGGGGAGGCCCTCCTTAGTCTTTTTATGAACTTGACTTAGTTGGTTTGTAGAATATTTTGGGTTTTTTTTGATGTTATCTCACAATTGGGTTGGGGTTATGTATTTTTGGTGAGAATGCAACAGGAATGCTGTTGTATCTTCTCAGTGTGTCTTATCAGACGTACATGATGTGATTAGTATCTCTTATTATTGGTGATTTTAACTTTGATTACTTTGTTAAGATGATGTCTGTCGTTTTCTCTACTAGTAGAGTAACTGCTTCCTTTTTTAATTGATGATTGTCTAATAAGTGATGTTGAACATTTTTTTCATATGCCTATTGCCATTTGCATTTTTTCTTTGGAGAAGTGTCTTTTTAAGCTCTTCTTTCCATTTTTTGACTTAATTGTTTATTTTGAGTTGTGTAAGCTCTTTGTAGATCTTTGATATTAGTCTGTTATCAGTTGTATGGTGTGCAAATATTTTCTCCCATTCTGTAGGATGTCTCTTTGTTTTGGTTACTGTCTCTTTTGCTGAATAGAAGTTTTTTAGTGTAATATAGCATTAACTTTTAATTAGTCAGAAAACTGTAAATTCTCTTAATCCTTAACCTATTTTCTTCATACTGATGTTGGAATACTATTACTACTTTAAAAGTGAGAAAAGAAATCTATTCTCACTTTTTAAAAATTGTATTTGGGTCCTTTTTGGTGTGACTGTTTATTTTTAGGAAGTTTATGGAAAGTGGTGATTTCCACACACTGCAGGGTTCATTGTAAATGGACAAGTCGAGGTTGCATAGCTCACTTGTATATCTTCTCTTGCCTCTGAAATACATTTATCAGGATAGAAATTCTGTATATCTCATCAGGTTTCTTTTTTCCTCTCTTTTGCAATTTTTAAGATGAAGAAAGAGAAGTCCAAATTGGAGCGAACACCCCCAAAAAACAACCAAGGAAAAAGAAAAATTAGTCCAACAAAGAAGGAATCAGGATCTAAAAAGAACAAAGTGACTCCCCAAAGAGACAGCTCTATAAAGTCAATAAAAAAGGAACCAAATGTGTTTCGGAAAGGCCTGTACTTCAAGGAACAGGTGGCTGAGGAGACAGATGGTGGTGGTATCAGGGCTGGGAATTTGGCTGATGGCAGCGGTGAAAACAAAGTAGAAAATTTGCTCTGGGTGGATAAATATAAGCCAACCTCACTCAAGACCATAATTGGACAGCAAGGTGATCAGAGCTGTGCCAACAAGCTCCTACGCTGGCTCCAAAACTGGCACAAGAGTCCATCCGAAGATAAGAAACACGGTGATTTTACAGCTTCATTCATTTGTGTGTGTCTGTCACCATCCAATTGCTCGGTTGTACATATGTGAGGAAGTCTAATAGTTGGTTCATTCATCTCTCAACAAGCATTTATTGAGAAATTGCTCTGAGTTCTGGTGGTACACTAAACTCTAGAAGTGCTGTTGTGAACATAACACAATCCCTCTAGCACCTACACTCAGCGAGGGAGACATATGAACCAGCAGTTAAAATGCATTATGCTAAGTACTGTAAACAAGGGTAAGTATAGGATGCAAAGGGAATGCAGGTGTGAGGTCAGGAGTGGGGCTATGTGCTCTCATCCTTGCAGGGAAGAAGCTCTGAGCTCACACTTGAAAACCAAGAAAGGTTTAGCAAGGTGAAGTGGGGGTGGGATGGGGCAGGTGTTGAGTGGGAGAAAGTACATGTACCAAGATATGAAGATAATTGAGAGCAAGATTGCTGAACGTACTAGGGGGACTTACAGGAAGGCTGCAAGTAAAAAGCCAAGGTGTGCTTACAAAATAGCAGCCTAAAAAATTCCAGTGGCGTGTTGGCTTTTGGTAGGCCTGATGGGTCTGAGCTGTGCTCATTTCTGTCGTTTGCTGTGTTTTTGCCATGGAAAATGAATAGTCCAAAGTATTAATCGGAACTGAGATTTTGGATCACAAATGTTAGTAGTATTTCCTTGAGCTTCAACCACAGGGATATTGTGTGAGAAAAGTTCCAAAAATGATGAGCAACTTGTTAATGCCTAGGTGGTCACGAGACTTTGGAGACAATGCCCATATATTTATATCAGATACTGTAACTGTACTGATACAAGGCTAACTTTGATTCCTTTTTCCTAAGCTACATAAAATCTATCTTATATTAGAGTGTATGTACTTTATGTGCCTGGAGAAGACTTTTTAAGGATTCAGGTGAATGATGGTCCCTGTACCCAGGCTCTGGGCAGTGGGTCTAACCACCTCTCTCTGTCATTGTGTGTGTTGGTGCATGCTTGTGTGCAGGGACCCAGCTGATAAGGGGAGGAAGAATGTTCAGGTGTTGAGCAGTGCAAAAATAGTTGCAGGCCCTATATTTTCAATTCATTCTTTCAGTGATTGTGCTCGTTAATATTTGTTGCTCAGCATGTTCATCTTCATGACATGTCTACCCAGGCACATAACTCCTGTTACCCTCACTTTACAAAGAAGGAAACAGGCACAGAGGGATTAAGTCACTTCTGGAGTTTTTCAGGTGGGTGAGGATGGTGTTAGGATTAGAATCCAAGTAGTCCGCTCTCTGACTTGTGCTTTTCTAGGAAAGGAAATGTCTAAATTATTTTTTCAAATCAAAGTTTTAAGGTTTTGTTTTTTTTTTCTTTCTTTTTCATTTTGGGTAGCAGTAAGGTAGGAAAAAAATTCACTAAATGCTCTACAAATGTTTCTATTTTGTAGAAAATATTCTGCAAATTTAGAACTACATTGGAGAACTGCTTTCAATGCTAAGTTTATGCATAATTATTCTTCATTTTCTATTAGGTAATATAGGTTAACACTCTGGATCTTCTTTTTTCCCAGCAGCAAAGTTTGGTAAATTTGCTGGAAAAGATGATGGCTCTAGTTTTAAAGCAGCGTTGCTCTCAGGCCCGCCAGGTGTTGGCAAAACAACCACTGCTTCTCTGGTTTGTCAGGTAGGTATTTTGTTGGAAAGGTAACTTAGGAGTGGCTATTTATAGGAGGGAGGGAGCGCGGGAGGGAGGGAGGGAGGGTTTGAGTGTGTGTGTGTCTGTTTGTGTGTCTGTATGTGTGTGTGCAAAAGATATATATACTTTCCTAAAATTAAAACTTTAGAATTTGCCTTGGTTCTTGGGATATTTGTCATTTACATCCTTTACTTTACTATCGTTCATTATAATAGACTCTATTTACCTGTGTACCAGGCAATGTGCTAAGTCCTTAAGTATATTATTTTATAGATAATGTACCTTACAGACCCCTTCAGATAAAAATATTTCATATATCCTTGTAATAATTTTGTGTACCAAATTCTGTGTACTGAATATATGTGCTGTTGCCATCCTCATGTGACAAATGAAATGGACTTAGGAGGTGGTGGCACTGTGAACAAATTCAGGTAGTCTGACTCTTGACCTTTATGGGGTCTTGTCTGTGCTATTGTTGGCTGAGACACTAGAGTAAGCCAGAGTTCATGTGTCAGAATGGTATGAAATGGTATCAGAATGATAAAATGAGGTATTTTAAGCTTATTGCTGGGTTTTCCACTTTCTGCCTCCTGAGCTGAACTTCCATGGTTTAAGAAGAAGATTTTATATTGGGTTAGTTTGACAAAGAATGATTTGAAATTATAATTTGTCTTTCAGAGTTAAGAATTACCTTTTTATATCTTGGATTATTTTATTTTTTAAACTGAATCCAGCTTTATTTCTCTTCCAATTCAGAGTTTGTTTTAATTATAAAGATGAGAAGTCACTTTTATAACCTAAAAATATTTCCCGATTAAAACTGCATTAATAATTTCATAAACAATGCAAAAAAGATGAGACAAACCAGCACATTTATCGAACTGCATATCAGTCATGCCATATCCCGTGCAGGGAATTCCCAGCACAACCTCATTCATCTGTGAGTCATAGAGCAATTCTTGCTTAGTAGACATGCATTCATCTACTCATCCAGCGTGTCAGCCTCCTCTCCTTGATGGGTTCCCTCTGCTGTGAACGTGCATGTCCAGTTGTCTGTTTCTTGGAGTAGACATTTTCCTCATCTCCCAGCCATTGGAGGAGGCCTAGGGCCACGAAGATGATTAATTTGACTCTTTCTTCTGGGGGATTTCGCGGTAACCCTCTTCCATCGTATTATCTGGAATCAGATGAGTTTCCATAGCTTCTTTTTCACATCTTGCTGAAGCAGAGTTCTGAAAAATAAAACCACGAACTCAGCTGTTCCCCAGAAGAAATCTGTTTTCAAAGAAAATCTCCATGGAAATTGACTGCGGCTGTTCAACACTTGTCCATTCAAGATGTAAACCATATTGTTTCTTGTTCTTCTCCAGGGAGACTCTTAGGTTGTCTTATCTTGCACTGAAATCTGGGCGTATATTTAATTCTGTGTAGGACTTTAAGAAGCAAACATAGTGAAATTGCTTGTTCAATGTACTCATAATTAATGATTTATTGGTTGAGGTTTAACACACACAGTCGTGTGTGTTTAAATGTGTTTGTGTGATACGTATTTTTAAAATCCCTTTAATTATTGTGAGGCAGAGTGTAGTTAATATCATTATCTGTTTCATGCTTTGTTTTTTTACACATAGTTCCTGTGTGATTTTTCTAACCTTTCTCCTTAATTGCACTGTTTTTTGGGGGGAGGGGAATTAATAATTTGTAATAGTAATGACTTCACATTTTGATTAGGAATTGGGATATAACTATGTGGAACTGAATGCAAGTGACACTCGGAGCAAGAACAGTTTGAAGGAAATTGTTGCTGAATCGCTTAATAATACCAGCATCAAAGGCTTTTATTCAAGTATGTGGCTTTTTGAACTATTTTTTTGGCTATGTAAGAAAGACAAGTTCATTTTAATATTCACTAACCAATTTTGAGCACTGCTGTGTGTCAGGCACCCTGCTAAATCCTGGAGCTATTGAGAGAAAAAAACCTCTGATGTGACTCTTAGAGGACACTCATAGAAATACCTGAGAATGTGATAAAAATGCCCAACTTTAAACCCTGTCACAGTCACCTGAATTCTTGGTACTTTCAACAGTAAAAAAATCACTTAAAAAAGATGTTGCTTAAGAAGTGTCACTCTTACACATGCTTGATGGGAATGTAAGTTGATAGAAGCCTCGAGAGCAATCTGGCAGTGTTTCTTAAAGTTGATACTTCAACTTGAAAAACCCCAAGTCCTGGAATTTACCAATTGTTATATATGCAAAATGACAAACACATAAGGATATTCATATATTATGGTTTATAATTGCAAAAGATTAGAATCATTTCATTTTTTTTTCACTAGACAGTGATTAAATATGTGAAAAATTGAATACTAAATGTTTTAACCTTAAAAAATGAGGTGTTCTTTATAGATAAAACAAATCACTAAAATATATTAAATGACAAAACTAAGATATATATTTTAATACATGTTTTTACTACGTGTAGAATATCTCTGCATGAGCATACAAGGGAACATTCACACTGTCTCTGGAGAGGGATACTGGGTACCTTGGACAAGGGTGGGAGAATTTCTTTCCCCTGCATGTTCTTATGCCTATTGCTTTTTGTACTGTGGGTTTATATTATTAGTTTAAAATGGATTATATATATATATTTTAATAAAGCAGTATGCTTGAACAATTGTTACTTTGTTTTTTGCCTCATCCCACTGCTTCTCAACATGGATTAGGTGGAACAGCCCATTCAGTAAGCAAGAAACATGCTCTCATCATGGATGAAGTAGATGGCATGGCAGGCAGTGAGGACAGGGAGGAATTCAGGTAATGAAAGCACTGTATTGTTGCAGTTTACTGTTTGTTGGTTCTTAGTTTAAAAAAAGAGGATTATTAATGCCGTGATATTTACAATAGTTAAGGCATGTTGATAAGATGTTATTTTTAAAACCTAAAATATATTATGTAGTAGTAGTTTATTATTTTTTAAGTAATTGCTTTTGTGTTGTAAATTTGCCTTTTAGGAATTAATTGGGCTGATAAAACACACAAAAATTCCCATTATTTGTATGTGCAATGATAGAAATCATCCCAAGATTCGTTCTTTGGTTCATTATTGTTTTGATCTTCGTTTTCAAAGACCTCGGGTTGAACAAATTAAGGTATGATGATTACAGTTATTTTCTCCACACTACCCTAATGGTTGAAGGGTCAATTTTTAAAAGGACTGGATAACTACATTTAAATACCTGATTATCTGAGCTTTTTAAATCCCTTTTGTCAATTTCAGGGTGCTATGCTATCTATTGCATTTAAAGAGGGTTTAAAGATTCCTCCTCCAGCTATGAATGAAATAATCTTGGGAGCCAATCAAGATATCAGACAGGTAAATTAAGTATATATTATATGACAGTAGGAGAATTTTTAAAAAGTCAATGCCTCCAACCTTTGGAGGAGCAGGGAGTGGCAATGTTTCCCATTTTAATAGTGTCTTACTTATGATTCTTTCAGGTTTTACACAATATGAGTATGTGGTGTGCACGAAGTAAGGCACTAACCTATGACCAAGCCAAGGCTGATTCTCATAGAGCCAAAAAGGATATCAAATTGGTAAGATATATTCCCTTTTTTAAATTACTTTCTCAAACTAAAGCACTTGTATGTATTAACTGAATTGATGAAACTTCATTGATGCTATTTTCAGCTGAAGTTCATAGTTCATATTTAGGGATCATTCTTGGTGGTGTATATTCTAATGGTTGTGACATGTGAAAAAATGACATATATCTCCTTTGTACTATCAGACAAAATGATTTTACTACCCTGAAAATCTGTGCTCTGCCTATTCATCCCTCCCTTTCTCCTGGCAACCTTTAATTTTTTTACTATCTCTATGGTTTTATCTTTTTCAGAATGTCATGTAGTTGGAATTATACAGTATGTAGCTTTTTCAAATTGGCTTCATTAACTTAGTAATATGCATTTAAGTAGTATGCGATTAAGGTTTTGTCAAATTTTTCATGGCTTGATAGCCATTTTTTTTTTTTCTTTTAGTCATCACTACTATTTAATATACCATTAGAGGTTCAAGCTAGAGAAATAAAGCAGGAGAAAGAGATAATATATATCCAAAATAAGAAAGAAGATAAACAATCACTATATGCAGATTACATGATAATTTACTTCAGGAACCCTATCCTAAAATCTTCAGTAAAAAAATGTTAGAAATGATGAATCAGTACAGTAAAGTGGCAGATTACCAAATCAATGTACAAAACATCAGTTACGTCCCTATATACATGCAATAAACTAGAAGAAAAAGAAATCAGGAAAACAATCCCATTTACTATCTCATCAAAAAGAATTAAATACCTAAAATAAACTTAACAAAAGAGTTGAAGTACCTGTACAATGAAAATTATAAGTCATTGTTAAAAGAAATAGAAGCCACAAAGAAATGGAAAGACATTTCCTGTTCATGGGTTGGGAGTATTAACATCATTAAAATGGCCAGCTTATACATAACAGTATGCATTTTCAATGCAGTCACTTTGATAGCCATTTTTAAGTGGTGGATAATATTCCATTGTCTGGCAGTACCATTTTATCTATTCATCTGCTGAAGGGGATTTTGGTTGCTTTCTTTTGTAGTTTTGAGTAAAGTTGCTATAAATTTTCATTTCATTTTGGTCAACGTACCAGGGATTGATTGCTGGGTCATGCTCCTTTGTAAGTGAGGTCTAGTAAGAGTGTGGTAAGAGTATGTTTATTTGTTTTTGTTTTTAATGATAAGAGTGTGTTTAGCTTTGTCAGAAACCACCAAACTGTCTTCAAGGGTGACTGCTATTTTACTTTGTGCCTCCCCCCAACCCCCATGAATGAGAGTTACTGTTGCTTCACATCTATGCCAGCATTTGGTGAATATTGACCATTCTACTAGGTATGTCCCTGTCTCTTTTCAGGGCCCATTTGATGTTGCCCGGAAGGTATTTGCATCTGGAGAGGAGACTGCTCATATGTCACTTGTGGACAAATTGGATCTCTTTTTTCATGATTATTCAATTGCACCCCTTTTTGTCCAGGAGAACTATGTACATGTGAAGCCTGTAGCTGCAGGGTGAGTGTTACAAGCTAGTAAGGGGTAGAATTAGTAAAGTTCCAGTATTGCAAAAGCCATTGAGAGAAAAGTGTGTGGGATGTTGATAGTGGTGTCATCTAGACTCTTTTCTTAACTGCAGGGGTGACATGAAAAAACATTTGATGCTTTTAAGCAGAGCAGCAGATAGCATATGTGATGGTGACCTAGTGGACCGTCAGATCCGGAGTAAGCAAAACTGGAGTCTTCTGCCCACACAGGTAAGATTGGGCTCTCCTTCAAGTGCAGTTTCTGCTTTAGTTAAAGAGAACGAAAGACCTAGCTCCTGTAATTATTTGAAATACCAGTTAATGTTATGGGTGATATGGCAAGATCACGGTCTGTTATAAATAGCTTAAAATATTCTGTGGTTACAATGGTCTTTTAATTAACTGAGCTTTATTTTTGAGTGTTTCAAAATGTTTTTATGTAAATGGATACAGGGAAATAGGAATGTTAGGTTTTGGTCATTACTAAGATATGAGTCAGAGGTTTCATTTGTTCTGTTTTGCTTTAAGAATCCATTTCTTTTTTTGTTCTTGGCTCTCCCAGGTGGTTATTCTTCATTGAAGAAATGCAGCTAGGGCCTGTCAGCAGCCGTTTTTCTGATGCATGAATTCTGAATTTCTTCTTCTTTGCTGAATAGCAGCTTTAGATTGGCTGCTTTATTTAGATTGATCTCTTGTACTCAAAACAGAGTGAACATAATCAAGTGCTATTTTTCTTAGAGTTTGCATATTTATACAGTATTATTTGCCTGAATAATAAGGAAGAAGCTTTTAAATGGCCTACGGTTATTTCTACCCATACATTCATTGTATGAAGACTAAAAGTCTCATTCTAGATCTAAAGAATCCATTCTCTTATGTTTTAAGTGTTCATTTTTATTTACCTAATAATTGTGTCTTTGAGAATTTATTCAAAAGAATTTTTTCAATAAAATAGGAAGAGTATAAGAATTTATTAAGAAGTTACAAAAATTTAACTACAAAAATATTTTATAAAACAATTCAGTAGCAAATAGACAAAATTGCCATGTCCAGCAACAGGAAAACAATTTTCGCAAATACTATATGGGGCATTATGTAGCCTTTAAAATTATTTGTTATTTTTTGCAGTGTCAGATTACTTTATTCTCCAATTACTAGACTTTCCATGCTTTGGGTCACCTGTGCTAACAGTAGCTTATGTCACAGACAGTCATGTTACTGTTAAAGTCTTTTCTGTGACATTGATCTACTTGAAGTAACTGGTAGATTGTTGAGGAACTGAATTGACAAGATGCTCGCTCTGAGGACCGTAACAAGTTTTTAGACCCAACTAATTTTTGCCAAAATTAGTTGTCTTTTCTGGGAGAAGTTTCCCATACCAACAGATCAAAGACAGAGGGAAAGGGCCTTAGGAAGCCCTAGGATTAGGTATCTGGGGCAATGTTGCTTCATTTTCCAGACATTGTTTGAAAGCCGGCAGCTGCTGAGGAAGCAACTGATATCACATTTAAATCCTGGACCGAAATTGATTTTTTTCAGGCCATTTATGCCAGTGTTCTTCCTGGAGAGTTAATGAGAGGGTACATGACCCAGTTTCCCAGCTTCCCCAGCTGGTTGGGGAAGCACTCCTCCACAGGCAAACACGATCGAATTGTTCAGGATCTAGCTTTGCATATGAGTCTCAGGTAAGCACTATTACTTCATGTCTGGCATTTTAATGTAATGTATTTAGCCTTTATCCAATAAGAATAGCATAACTTAAAAGATTAGTGTTTCAGTTTTGGATTTATTTCTAACTGGAGAAACGGTGCTAGTTAATGTTCCTCATTTTGTGCACTTTATTGTCATCAGTATAACTTTGTTTTGTTGTTTCTTGTTTTTTAATATGGGCCATGAGAAAGGATTGGTTGATTAGAAGCTACACTGTTGGCTTTGAACATAGGAAAGGGTGAGGTAGCAACATTCTCTGCACTAGTCAAACTGAGGGCCTCTCAGTTCTTTTTCTCGCCACTGCTTTTTAAAAGTTACCTATCATCAGTTCTAGGGGTGTCTCATTGATGCTCCCACTGTACTCATGTAGATTTTGAGCACTGGTCTTCCATGTTATTTTATGACCATCCTCTTGTATGACTGTCTCCTTATCCTATTGGACTGAATATTTCTGGTGGGAGGGACTGATGCTTACTCATCTAGCACATAAAATCAGTTGGTAAATGTTCTTCATCAGAGAGGATATCATCCTTAGATCTCTGAGAAAACTGAACTCTCCCTATTTAATTTTTTTTTAAACAGATGAAGAGACAGCTTGTTTTTATTATTTTTTTAAAGATTTATTTATTTATACAAGAGCTGGGGTACATGCCAAAGGCGTGGGAGGGTGAGAGGATTCACTAGAGACAGAGTGGGGAGCAGAACAGGCAGACAGACCAAAAGCACTGCTGAGGGGAGCAGCGGGTGAGACAGGAGAGGTCTGCCACGCCATGTGGGTATCTCCCCGGCTGCCTGGGAATCGAACCTGTGCTGCAGAGGCCACGGACAGCTCCACAGCGCTGCGCTCAACCCGCTGCGCCACCGGGGAGACCCTCCCTACTTAATTTTTAATCCTGGAGGGCGGAGCAACATGGCGGCGAGGAGACGCTGCGAGTAAGATCTCCCATTAAAAAAAAGTTAATAGGGAGGAAAAGCGGCAGGTCCCAGTGAGAACTGGGACACGGAAGATAAACGGACGACTCCAGCAAACTGCCCGAAGAAGAAAGTTGCCATAAAAGAGGACGAGAAGGGAGGGAAGCGCAGAACCCTGCTCCCTCCCCCGCCCACAGAGGCGGCACTCTCCGACCGGCAGAGAGGAGGAAACAACAAACCAAAACGGCCAACAAGAAAAACGGACACAGCAAGCGGGACTGTGAGTGGAAAGGAACTATTGCAGCCACCACACCCCGTGAACGGGAGCTGAGGCGAACCCTGCAGGATCCGCCGCGGAGGTGAGCTCCAGGCGCCATTAAAGAGAGCCCCGCCCCCCAGGAGGAGACCAGCACCAGCACACAGCCCCGGCCGCCCGGCTGCTTGAAACTGACAGATGACTCCTGGAAGAACCAGAGGGGAACAGAGAAGCCCACCCAAGATGCCGGCCAGTCCCAACAAACACAGTGTCCCAACGCATACGGCAAATTAGAAAACAGACAGTAGGGAGGAGAAGAACCACACGCAACCTAGCAACTCTCCAGAGAAAAAGCACACCACAAAAAGAAAGCCAGCCCCCAGATTGCAAAGACAATAACTTGGAAGATTTCTGAGCCTTCCAGAAAGAGAATTTAAAATTGCCGTGATTAAAAAACTGACAGAAGTCATAAAGGAAAACAATGATAAGGGAAAAATAATCAACGATCAGAAGAATGCAATTGAGTCCCAGAGAGGGAAAACAATGGTCAAAGAAGAAAGAAATTGAGTCCCTAAAGAGGGAAGTAAAAGAAATGCAGGAGATCAAAGAATTAATGGAAGAACTAAAGAATTCTGGGAAAAGCAATGAAAGCAGAATAGATGAAATGGAAGAACGAATAAGTAATCTTGAAGACACACAGAAATAAAAAGAACCAAAAACAGAAAAGGAAAGAGAAGTACGAAGGAAAAAGAACGAAGAAAGACTTCGGGAACTATCTGACTCCATGAGGAAAGGAAATATAAGAGTTATAGGAATACCAGAAGGAGAGGAGAGAGATGTAGGAACAGAGAAAATATTCAAAGAGATAATTGAAGAGAACTTCCCAAATGTGAAGAAGGAGCTGAAATTGATATACAAGAAGCAAGAAGAACACCAAACTTCCACGACGAAAGGAAAAATACAGCAAGACACATAATAGTAAAGCTCCCAAGAATCCAGGACAAGGAAAAAATAATGAAGCTGGCAAGAGGGAAGAAACAGATAACATTCAAAGGAAAACCAATCAGGCTGACATCAGACTTCTCCGAAGAAACACTACGGGCAAGGAGAGAGTGGAGGGACATAGTCAACAGACTCCAAGAAACAGATGCCAACCAAGAATACTCTATCCCGCAAAGCTCCCTCCTTCCTCTTGAAGAAAGATATGGACCTTCCCAGACAAACAGAAACTCCGGATTTCATTGCAACTAAACCCCCACTCCAAAAATACTACAAGGAGTCCTAAAGCCAGAACCTCAGAGGACGAATAACAATGAAAGAAGGCCAAAAAAAAAAAAAAAAGTTATTAAAAGAATAAATAAATAAAATCAAAGGAAAGACAAACACAATGGCAAATACAGATGTTAACATATCAATATTAACTCTAAATGTAAATGGACTAAACTCTTCAATAAAAAGACACAGAGTGGCAGCCTGGATTAAGAAACAAAACCCAACCTTTTGCTGTCTCCAGGAAACACATTTAGCTACAAAAGATAAAAATAGGCTCAAAGTTAAAGGATGGAAAACAATCCTACAAGCAAATGGACCAAAAAAGAAAGCAGGAACAGCTATACTTATATCAATAAAACAGATTTCAAACTCAAAAAGATAAAAAGAGACCCCAATGGTCACTACATTATGATCAAGGGGACAATACTTCAAGAAGAAATAACACTCATTAACATATACTCACCAAACGAAGGAGCACCAAAATATATCAGACAACTTGTCCTCTCTGAAAACAGACATCAGAGAAAACACATACGTAGTGGGAGACTTCAACACACCACTATCAACAATGGATAGATCAACAAGACAAAAAATAAGTAAAGAAACCAAAGCTCTAAATAAGGACCTAGAGCAATTAGGCTTAACAGACATCTATAGAACACTAACCCCAAAAAACGGAGTACACATTTTCTCAAGTGCACACGGATCATTCTCCAGGATTGATCACATACTGGGGCACAAGACAAACATCAACAGATACACCAAGATTGAAATCATATCAACCATCTTTTCTGACCATGAAGGCATCAAACTAAAATAAACCATAAAAAGAAGGCAAGGAACTTTCCTACCTCATGGAGATTAAAAACCACACTACTGGAAGACCATTGGACTAATGAGGAGATCAAAGAAGAAATTAAAAAATTTTTTGAATTGAACGACAAGGACACTAATATCCTAAATGTATGGGATGCAGCAAAAGCAGTAATAAGAGGAAAATATATAGCAATAGAAGCTCACATCAAGAAACAAAGAAGAACGCAAAGAAACAACCTCATCTCGAAGCTCAAAGATCTAGAAAAAGAACAACAAAAAAACCCCAAAACCAGTAGAAGAAAAGAATAATAAAACAAAGCAGAAATAAATGAAATTGAAACTAAAAAAAACAATCCAAAAGATCAATGAAACCAAGAGCTGGTTTTTTGAAAAAATCAATAAAATAACAAACCCCTAGCCAGGCTCACAAAGGAAAAAAGGGAGAAAGCACAAATAAACAGGATCATCAATGAAAGAGGAGAAATCACAACGGACACAGCAGAAATCAAAAGAATAATCAGTAACTACTATGAACAGTTATATGGAAACAAGTTTAACAATCTAGAGGAGATGGACAAATTCCTACAACTCTACAATCACCCAAAGCTAGATAAAGAAGAAATAGAACACCTAAACAGACCAATTACAATTAGCGAAATTGAAATGGTAATAAAAAACCTCCCCAAAAACAAAAGCCCAGGACCTGATGGATTTACAAATGAATTCTACCAAACATTCAGAGACGAATTAGTGCCTATCCTTCACAAACTCTTCCAAAAAATTGAGAAGGAAGGGACAATACCAAACACGTTTTGAAACCAACATTACACTAATACCAAAACCGAACAAGGACAACACAAAAAAGGAAAACTACAGGCCAATCTCCCTAATGAACACTGATGCAAAAATCCTCAATAAAATTTTAGCTATCAGAATCCAACAATGTATCCATAAGATAATTCACCACGACCAAGTTGGATTCATTCCAGGGGCACAAGGATGGTTTAACATCCGAAAATCAATCAACGTTATCCAACACATCAACAAAAAGAAATATAAAAACCATATGATAATATCAATAGATGCTGAGAAAGCTTTCGACAAAGTGCAACACCCATTCATGATAAAAGCCCTTGAAATTCTGGGGATACAAGGAACATACCTCAACATCATAAAGGCCATCTATGACAAGCCAACAGCCAGTATCATTCTCAATGGTGAAAAGCTGAAAGCAATTCCATTAAGATCTGGAACAAGACAAGGATGTCCACTCTCACCATTGCTTTTCAATATAATACTGGAAGTCCTAGCCAGGGCAATAAGACAAGAGAAAGACATCCAAGGAATCCAAATAGGAAAAGAAGAAGTCAAACTATCACTATTTGCAGACGATATGATATTATACATAGAGAACCCCAAAAACTCCACAGAAAAGCTAATTCAACTCATCAATCAGTTCAGTAAAGTGGCAGGATACAAAATCAACACGCAAAAGTCAGTAGCCTTCCTATACACAAACAATAAATCTGAAGAAGAAGAAATCAAAAAGACCATCCCTTTTGTTATTGAAACAAAAAAATCAAATATTTGGGAATAAATCTAACAAAAGAGGTAAAGGACCTATACAAAGAAAACTATAAAACACTGTTAAAAGAAATAGAAGAAGACACAAAGAAATGGAGAGACGTCCCCTGCTCATGGATTGGAAGAATAAACATTATTAAATGGCCATCCTACCAAAAGCAATATACAGATTCAATGCTATTCCAATCAAAATTCAATGTCATTCTTCAAAGAAATAGAACAATTATTGATGAAATTCATATGGAATCACCAAAAACCCCGAATAGCCAAAGCTCTCCTGAAAAAAAAAGAAGGGAATGGAGGCATCAGACTCCCAGACTTCAAACTATACTACAAAGCCATAATCATCAAAACTGCATGGTATTGGAACAAGAACAGACATACAGACCAATGGAATCGAATAGAAAATCCAGAAATAAACCCACAGATTTATGGTCAACTAATCTTTGACAAAGGAGCAAAGAATATGCATTGGAGCAAAGAAAGTTTGTTCAATAAATGGTGCTGGGAAAACTGGGTTGCTACATGCAAAAGAATGAAGCTTGACCACCACCTCACACCATACACAAAAATCAACTCAAAATGGATTAAAGAACTAGACATAAGACCTGAAACCATAAAATATATAGAAGGAAATATAGGCGAAACACTACGTGATTTGCACATCAAAGACATCTTTACAGACACATCACCCAAAGCAGTGATAGTGAAGGCAAAGATAAACAGCTGGACTACATCAAATTAAAGAGCTTTTGCACAGCAAAAGAGACAATAACAAAAACAAAGAGAAACCCCACCAACTGGGAGAACATTTTTGCACCCAACACTAATGATAAAGGACTGATCACAAAAATCTGCAAAGAGCTGATGAGACTCAACAACAACAAAGAAAATAATCCAGTCAAAAAATGGGCAGAAGAGCTTAAAAGAAACTTCTCTGAAGAGGAAATGCAAATGGCCAACAGGCATATGAAAAAATGTTCAACATCACTTGTCATCAGGGAAATGCAAATCAAAACTACCATGAGATACCATCTTACACCAGTGAGAATGGCACATATTAAAAAACTAGCAACAACAAATGTTGGCGAGGGTGTGGAGAAAAAGGAACTCTTCTGCACTGTTGGTGGGAGTGCAAACTGGTCCAACCACTGTGGAAAGCTGTATGGAGATTTCTGGACCTACTAAACATAGAGCTTCCATATGATCCAGCAATTCCACTCCTAGGTATTTACCCAAAGGACACAGAAACATCAATTCCAAAGAACACCTGCACCCCTATGTTTATAGCAGCACTGTTTACAATAGCTAAGCTTTGGAAACAACCCAAATGCCCAAAAATAGATGACTGGATCAAGAAGATGTGGTACATATATACCATGGAATATTACTCAGCATTCAAAAAAGATAAACACATGCAATTTGCAGCAACATGGATGGCGCTGGAAGAGATCATGCTCAGCGAAATAAGCCAAAAAGAAAAAGAAAAATACCGGATGGTCTCACTCATAGCAGGAATCTAGAAAACTTAAATAAGGGACCAGGAAAATGAATAACTATAAGAAAGTGAAAATCAAAATCAACAAAAAACTATGAACCAGAGACACTTTTAGGGGGCGGGGGTGGGAGGGGAGGGATTGGGTCAGAATGGGGGGGCTGCAATTGTATGGGGAATATAACAATAAAATTTATTAAAAAAAAAAAAAAAAAAAAAAAAAATTTTAATCCTGATTAAATCACTGAAATTTTATAGGCCTCAGATCGTCTTTTAAAAATGGAAGTGTGATTTTATTATTAGTTTTTAGCCTTTTTTTTTAGGTCATAGTTGCCTTTGAGAACCTGAAAGATCTTTAATCTTAATTTCCTCCAATGCACTAATGCATAAATAATATAATTTTAGAGGGATTATAGATTTCTAAGGTTAAGAATCTTTGAGGTACATTAGGCTTTTATGATTCTGCTAGAAGATGACAGTTACATAGCAGAATACAATGAATAATATTGGCAGAGGGTTCATGATTTTCTTGGCATTGTGGCTTATGGGCTCATGCTTGTCTTCATGTTACTATATGCTTGATTATGGCAGACTGAATATAGAGAAAATGGGAGAAGTTAAAATAGAGTGTTTCACATTTTTGGCCTAGATAATAAAACAGCTGTGGGACAATATACTAGATTTTGCATCAGGATAAGAATTATGTGACTTACTGTGATTCAGATATTATTACTTAAAGGCAGGAGCAGGGTCCATAGGTAATTTTTATTTCTTTTTAAAAAAGATTTATTTATACAAGAACTCTGGGGTACAGGTCAGAGGCGCGGGAGGGTGAGAGAATTCACCAGAGAGAGCGGGGAGCAGAACAGGCAGCCGGACCAAAGACACAGCTGTGGGGAGCAGTGGATGAAGCAGGAGAGGTCTGCCACACCATGTGGGTTTCTCCCTGGCCGGCTGGGAATCGAACCCGTGCTGCAGAGGCTGCAGACAGCTTCACAGTGCAGCGCTCAACCCGCTGCGCCACCAGGGAGGCCCCATAGGTAATTTTTAAAGGGACTTTTCTGATTTTTATGTGGGTTCTGAAACCAAAGGTTTTGAGGTCTCTTGTTTGAAGTGCACTTATAATTGCTTGGTGTGGACATATCGTGTCCACAAGGTTGTCCAACAAGGTTGGATAGATTCAGGATGGTGGCAGTGGAAATCGTTTTGTTCAGCTATTTTCTGACTTTAACCATTTCATGATAACATTCTAGATCTCTGTAGATCATATACTGTTTCCCTGTTACGCCCTTGGTCAGTATGGCCTACCTTTTGATTCTGTAGAAACAGTCTCTGCACTTTTCTGAGATTGAGAATGAAAGATTTCATAGTAATAATGTTAGGAATTGTGAGGAAAGCATTCAGGTATAACTATTAAGTTCTCATCAGAGACCATAAATGTTACAGACTAAAGTGACAGTGAGGTAGAAAATCTCTACTTTTAGTAGTTTGGAACTTGGAATGAATAATCTTTGACTATAAGAAGTATGAACACAGGGCCTCCCTGGTGGCGCAGGGGGTTAAGATGCAGCCTATGAAGCTATCTGCAGCCACTGCAACATGATTTCAATCCTTGCTCAGGGAGCTATCCACATGGTGCAGCAGACCTCTCCTGACTTGCCCGCTGCTCCCCTCAGCAGTGTGTTTGGGCGATCTGCCTGTTCTGTTCCCCACTCTGTCTCTGGTGAATCCTCTTACCACCCCCCCCCCCAACACCTCTGGCCTGTGCCCCAGTTCTTTTATGCATAAATAAATAAATCTTTAAAGAAAAATGAACACATAGAAACACTATTGTTACCTGGGTCTTAAGAGTAGGATGGAAATAGCACCTGCATTTGTGGTTTTCATTCATTGATCTGGGTGAGTAGAAAATGCCAGTTGAACACAATTGGTGTGTATCCATTACCCTGGTGGGGTAGCACTAAGGTTTTCCATTGAGCCCTTAAAGGTGGGTTGAACTCCATTAATTAGCTCAATGTTGTTATGCATACTGTTACTTGAATTAGTTGTAGTTTGCCTTTGACTGCAGGTATGTCTCTCTTGTTTTGGTTTAAGAACTTACTCCAGCAAAAGGACTATAAACATGGATTATCTGTCACATATAAGGGATGCACTTGTACAGCCTTTGACTTCACAAGGGGTTGAAGGAGTACAAGATGTTGTTGCTCTTATGGACACATATTATTTGATGAAAGAAGACTTTGAGAATATCATGGAAATGAGCAGCTGGGGAGGGAAACCCAGTCCCTTTTCCAAGCTGGACCCCAAGGTAAATTGTGTAACCCATCACCTTGTAATGACCAGATTGTATTAGGAGTACTTAAAAAGCTGTTTGAGAAGCCTTAAAAAAGATTTTTCCCCCTCCCAACTACATATATGTTACTTCCCATGGCCTGTGTCTTCTGAAACAGCACAAAGTAATGGGCACAAATAAAGATACTAATGTAGTCATTATGTTAGCACACTAATAACAGTAGACTTCTGGATTTGACTTTATGATCTGTATTTTTATCTTTGCTTTATGCTGAGTAGAAAAGAAGTGAAATCTGAGGAGCAAATATAAATGTAAATAAGTACCCTTATAAGGTGGGACATGAGCCTGGGAGGCTCAAGTGAGTTGTTGTTGGTAATGCATTATGAAAAGAAAGATATATTTACTGGCTGAGGGTTTTTATACTTTGTCTAATCTGTGGATTTAGTATTTATTCCAATTGGACAATATTATATAATAATGTATCCCCTTGTTTAGTGAGCATAAAAAACCAGCGCTAGAACATTAATACATAATATAAATACCTCACTCTTGTGCCCATTACTTGGTGCTGATTTGGAAGACACATCCTCCGTATGTTGCCTTCTCTAGAATTTTGACCTGATTTAATAGTTATGGGGTAAAAATCTCACATCAGACATCCACTGATAGAATACATGAACTAATTCTATAATTATGTTTAGAATTCTGCTTGAAATTTAGACTTTTCAAGTTATTTAATATTCTGAAGTAACCCCTATTATGTTAATATATTTTGTGATAAAGGTAAACTTAATTTACTTATACTTACTTATAAGCCTTTTTTGATTTATCACTTCACTCTCTAAATTTGCGTACAACTTTTTTATTGATTGAAGTAACATTGCATTATAACCTCACTCTTTATAACTGTGAAGAGCACTGGTAAGAATGATTTAAAGCATCCTTTTTTTGCCTGCCTAAATTTTCCAAATCATGATTCTTTTTGAGTCATGTGCTCTATTATAAAGATTGTCTTGGAAATATGAAACTTTTCTATAAGAAAGATGCATACACGTATACTTGTTTATATATGCATAAGTATTTGGCAAACAATTTCAAGGGCCTTCCGGGATCTCTCAGAACCTTTAGGCTTACAGAAGTCTGGTGGTTACATTTTTTTAAGAGTTTCCTTTATTTCCTTCCCTGTAGGTGAAAGCCGCCTTCACAAGAGCTTACAATAAGGAAGCCCACCTTACTCCATATTCACTTCAGGCAATAAAGTCATCCAGACACAGCACAGGGCCATCCCTGGATTCTGAATATAGTGAAGAGTTACATGACGATGACTCTCAATTGGATGAGAAAGACCAAGATGCTATGGAGAGTGATGCTATGATCAAGGTAGTATTTTTTTTTTTTTAAAGATTATTTATTTATTTATATAAGCACTGGGTACAGTCAGAAGCACAGGAGGGTGAGAGAATTCACCGGAGCGGGGAGCAGAACAGGCAGAAGGACCGAAGTACACTGCTGAGGGGAGCAGCGGGTGGCAGGAGAGGTCTGCGCGCCATGTGGGACCCGCCTTCAGTGGCTGGGGAGCAGCTGGGGATCGAACCGGCGCTGCAGAGGCTGCGGGCAGCTTTGCAACCCAGCGCTCAACCGCTGCGCCACCGGGGAGGCCCTCAAGGTAGTATTTAAAGCTACAAACCTGAAAGGCTGTGATACTCCCTCAAAATAGATTAGCTATTTTTTTGTGTATAACTTGCCTTCTGAGATTATTCAGGATCTTATTACTAAGTTAGCAGAACAAGCTGAAAAAACTGTAATGTATTTTCTTCCTCACAGTGGAGGTGTAAATTTCACTTTTATAACTAGTTTCTTATAATAATGGGAAACCATGTAGCAAGAACATAGGCCATTATCCTGATAGTTTTATGCTCTGTTAGAAAAAGTGCCATTTTTATTTATTTGGCCATTGGTGCTTTATCCATAGAAACATATTTTCAAAAGCATTTTCAACTGTCATATGTTTTACTATAGCTATTGGGCTGCCTGTAGAAACTGCTCAGAGTAAAATATCCTTTCGTCTTGAGAATCAAACTCATTTATGGTATCAACCCACTGTTTATCATTGGCCAGGGCAAAGGACTCCAGTCTGAATCTTTCTCTCATCTGAGATGCTTCTACTCCTTGTTTCTGTTTTGTGTTTGGAGGGGTAGGAACAGTGGACTTGTCCAGTGTCTCTCAGTCTTATATAGAAGTAAGGTTGTTTACCCTCTGTCTTTCACAAACTGTGTCTAGATTTCTAAAATTAAAAGGAAATTCATCATGAAAATATTACCTTATTTGTAGATTATTTCTGGCTTATTTTGTCTTCCCTAAACATGCCTATGTTCTAAATCCAAGAAACTGCTTACATAGGCAATATACTTTAGTTTTAGATTCTAAATAGCTTCTCAGTTTTTTACTGCCTTTCAAAGGCTATAACTAGCCCAGTTGTTGCTTGAAAGCAAAGCCCATCAGGGTAACAATAGTTCAAATGGATGTTTGCAACCATTCTTCTTTATTAAGTTGCAGGAAAAGATTTTATTATAGACATAAACTTAATTTACTTATAAACATAGCAATTAACTATTTTTGTGTATTTCCCTCCCCACAGAAAAAGACAAAATCTTCCAAGCCTTCAAAATCAGAAAAAGATAAGGAGTCCAGAAAAGGAAAAGGAAAAAGTTCAAAGAAATGAAACTTTTCACTCTTTCAGCCACTTTCTACTCATCTTGCTGACCAGTCTGGCGGGTCTAGAATGCCTTCCCCTCCGCCCCCTCCCCCCCAAAGGAACCATGTTTTAGCAAAATGGAACAGCCTAGGGATTCCATTGTAAATAAACAGTGGTCAGCTACAAGGATATGAGCAGTTGGTAATGTACACCTCTTATAGAGGTTAATAGGACTGTTTGGGTCTGCCATTGTCCCCTGTCAATATAATGATTGTGCTTCAAAATGATTGGAGTCAGGTTTTAGTTAACTTTTATAGGCCTAAGAATTTTTCCTAATGGCCTATTTTATATAGGACCAATGCTGATTTATTTTTAAAGGTAGTAACTATTATGTGGTGAAACTTTGTAAATAAATTATAATACGAAACATTCACCACCCAGAACTGGGCATTCTTTGTACATTGTCAGATATCTTGCAAAATATAAATTAGGGATAAAAATGTTCCACATAATACATGTACAAATTCTTTTTAAGATTGCCATCTTGTGCAGTAAAATATTATGTTGGTACATTACACTCTTTAATTTGCAAATGACTGGATAAAAACTAACTATATTCTTTATTAAGCATTTGTATGAAACATCTTTGGCAGTTGAAGAGTCAGAACTTGAATTCCCAACTTGTTTACCTCTGAATGCTGACCATATCTATTATGAATAGAATTTCACGGAGAGGCCTCTGTTGTTACTAGAGGTTGTGTGCGGCTGTAAGGTAATTGCCAGACCTTCTTATCTTCCAGAATCAACCCATTAGTTCAAACCAATAGGTTTTAGGGCAAAATAAACACGTTTTTTGTTTACTTTGCTAGAGATCTGGTTCTGTCCTGGGAGGGATTCTACAAACCCTACTGGAACTTTTAGGTTGTACCCCATAACTGTACTTGAAGGGCCCTGAGGCTGTGTAACTAACTTGGAATTCAGGTGTATTGCTGTGTTTTTATCTTGTCAGTAAATGCTCAGAGGTATGTGCTGTTTCTTCAAGGTATGTCCTAAGAGGATTGTAAAATCATGATATCTACTCTGCCTTTAAGGAACTCATTTGGGAGAAGATTCTAAAGTCTTGACATTTAAAGTGTATTTGCCATTGTGAAGCATGTTTTTCATGTAGATTAAGTTTGTTATGAGAATAAACTATTGCCTTAAATTTTTGCCTACACAGCCATGCTCATCTTTTTGTTAAAGTCCAGCTTGAAACTTCTGCTTCAGTGAAGATTTCCTTCCTTGATTGACCAGTGGGGTGAGCATGGCTATCTTAATGCATATTTTTCCATTTCCATTGCTTTTGGATATGCGTGTCATGTCTGCCTAGTTGCTATACATCCCAGGAAAGTGAGAGCAGTGAATAATGTTCTTTACTTGTTCATTGGCTTTAAAAAAAAAAATTAAATGCTCTAAACACAATGCATGTGTATAAAAGAAATAACTTTTAGAATTAGAAATGGTAAATATGCTCTTTAAAATATTAGGATGACAACTTGGGTCAGTTTGATTCCTCTAAAGCCCTCATGACCAGGTGTGAGGGCGGGTAGATGTTCTGAGTTGGGATTGAACCTTTATTGATGCTACTAGATGCCACATACCATCCTTGTAGCATAAAATAGTGAATGTACTTGCTTTTTTTGAGATCCATTAAAACTAAAACATTTATCCTTCACCTTGTTAAATTCTATTGGACCTCTTGATAGAAGTTTCCTAAACAAGTTCTGGCTCAGTTTTGCTCATGAATGACTAATACAATGTGCTTACCAATACAAATCCCAAGTGCCTAATGACTTATAACCTTACAGCATTAACAATAGGGGACTTGTGAGTCACTTAGCAAGGCCTCGGGCCTGTTCTCTAACCAGCCTTTCAGATGGAAGAACAGATCATAAAACTGGAGGCATCCTGCATGTGGATGCTGTAAAATCCTTCCTGGTACTTTGTCCACTCTAGGCTTATATGTATGTAATACTTAAGATGCTGATGGCTGCACTGTAAATTTATTTAGCACTAGGCTAGATGACTCATTTCTTTCACCTGATCATACTTTGATAACATTGGCTTTGGATGGCAAGGAAGCATGTACTGATACGAATGATTCTGTTAACATCTATGCCGTCCGGATTTCATAGTGTGCTTCAAAGCTACTTTGCATTTTTTTTCTGTGTTCAGGAAAACATATCTAGCCAACAATTTTATTTTAAAAGGAGATATTTTAAATATAAAAGTTATAATGCTAAATATTTACAATTATGTCATAGGTTACTATTAACAGTGCAGAGTGTACAGTATGGAAGACTTTGAAGAGGAAATATACAAAATACAATAAGCAAGTAAGGTTATATGTCACTGTTTTGCCATTCTACAGAAGTTGATAGTGGTGACCTGGAGCAGTCATATTTATCCGGGATGATCCATGTCTCAATCCATAGAACTCAACCTGCTTTCTTCTCAGGGACATAATATCTAGTCTGTAAAAAAAAAAATTCCTGAAGTTTATATGGTTGTTTAGGGTCCTTTGTCTAAAATGAGTCAATGAATAATAAAGTGATACATTCAATTATAAGGTGGTGTATAATCTTAACTCCCTGAAGCATATCAGCAGGTAGCTATAATATCATGGCCAAGTGTATGGAGAAAGTCCATAGAATAAAAACACAAGTAAGGTTCTACTTTTGGAAGTAGTAGAGTTGCAAAATTAATCCTCCACAGATAAGCAGGCACAATTTGGAAAAATGTTAACTCACAAATCTTCTGTGAGGCACAAGATGGTAGAGCGAAAGCTGTGAGGTCCCTAGCAGAGAACATCTTATGGTTTCCAGAGCTACTGGAAAGGGGACTGCACCCAAATCTACATATAACGGTTAAATAAGTCCTTGAATTTCACAGGTTTAGAAGAGTCTCAGAGTCTAGTGAAAAGCTGAAACTAAGAAAGGATTTTCATCAGCTGTCAAATTCACCTGACTCTAGTTTTAATGAACTAAGTAAAAAAAAAGCACATGTGATTTGATAAAATATGCTTGGCCAAATAACTTGTCACTTTGGGGACTGTACAACCTGCATTTTTTTTTTTTTTTTTTTTTTTTTTTATATATTTTTTTTTTTTATAGAGGCATGTTTTATTTATTTATTTGTTTGTTTGTTTTGTTTATACATGCACTGGGTACAGTCAGAAGAGCGGGAGGGTGAGAGAATTCACCAGAGCCAGAGCGGGGAGCAGAGCAGGCAGAAGGACCGAAGTACGCTGCTGAGGGGAGCAGCGGGCGGCAGGAGAGGTCTGCGCGCCATGTGGGACCCTCCTCCGGTGGCCGGGGAGCAGGCGGGGATCGAACCGGCGCCGCAGAGGCCGCGGGCAGCTTCGCAACCCAGCGCTCAACCACTGCGCCACCAGGGAGGCCCAGTACAACCTGCATTTTAAATTTTTAAAAAACACTTCAAAGGTGCTTGTCAGATGGTTTAAATCTGACAAGTTATGTGATGCTCAGAGCCAAACCCAACTGTTAAGCTGTTTGTGCTCTGTCCTCGGAAGGTGAGTGGAGGCCAGCACTTACCTGCACACCTGTTCACTGCTCCACCTCTGTGCGCAGGTACTGGGTACAGTCTGAGATTTTTTTCAGTTGAATAAGGTTTAATCTCTCTGAACACATAGGACATGTGCTTTCAGTGTTCAACATGCTGTTTCAGAAGGAAAAGGCAGAGTAAATATATACTATCTCTGGGTTATTCTCATGTGAAAACAAATATTCCTACCTTCTTAGTACTGTTTATCATGCACTTTAGGAATATTTATTCTATTGCAAGATTCTCTTTAGTGATCATGTTTTCAAAGCCTTTAGAAGGTTCTTCCAAGAAGACAGCTTGGATCTTTAGAGGTCTTTAAGAACATGAACAAATAAGGAGACTTCAGAAAGCCCTATTTTTGGATAAATCTGTGTGACTGAGTGAAGCATACATACATCTTCAGTTCTGAGTATAGAGCAGGGAAGTTGCAATGTGGACACACCGTCCAATCATCCTTCAACATATGTCGACCCTGGAAACAGTAAAGAGTAAAATTCATCCTTATTTTTAAATCGCTTAACTATAATCCAATTATGAAACTGTTAGAATTTTGCCTACATGGGTATTTTATTTCAGTCTTATATAAACAACAGACTTTAATTTTGTGATATTACCTAAATTTATTTTCCCTAAAAATAAGCCTTATGTTAGCTTGGTGATTAATAATCTGGTCTGTTCAAGTTTTCTAGTAGGTTGTAATAAATGGAGGCTTTTATTTAATTTCAGCAGACAGGTATTTGCAGGTGACCCTATAAAGGTAAGCTGATTGCACAAGGTTATATAGTAGATAAGTGGCAGATCATCTGATCCCCAGGTGTGCTCTACTGCACCTTCTTGATATTCACCTAGGTTATCATATGCTTTGAATATTAACTTTTAACTTTGTTGACATGGGTTCATATGCTACATGCTGAGGGTTGAGAAGAAAATGTTGACACACATCAAGTATTCAGATGGGTTATAAATATATGTGCAAAGAAAGGGAAATTATAATAAACTTACGGTTGCAATGCAATACGGGATATTATTTTTACATCCAGGACAGAGGAGTTCACACTCTGGGAGAAGAAATGCACAGAATGGACATGGGGTTGTAGCTTCTTCTGTTTCTGATGTATCAGGTCTCCTGTGAGGAAGAATCACATGTCATTTCAAAACAACACATTATTTTCCCTGGCAGAGTTGCAGTGTAAATGAGGGGCCTAGGCATGGTGGTGTTCTTAATAAAAAAGTAAAGACCTTTTCAATTTCCCTACTTCTGTCTCAAATGCGGGTGTGATGGATGGAGTTGTGGGTAACAGCCCCAGCTGTGCATCCAGAAGAGGAAACATCTGTGCTCTGGATGACAGAGGGACCTGGTCTTGGTGGCATCAGGACACAGTGACACCAGCCCTGGGTTATGATGCCTTGTATATGAGTCAGATACATTTTGGCTTATTCAGGTCATTGCTGGGTTTTTTTTTTTTTGGTGCAGGTAGAGGAAGCAATGATTGTATTCAGCTATCTGTTTTCTCATTGAGTGTACATTAAACACTAGATTTTGAAAAATAATCTTATGAGTTGCGATCAGGTAGTGGCAATAGCTGGCACTGCCTACCTGACCATTGCTTCAATCTTCTTTTTGTATTTGGCATCTATTTTGTTGCGGTACTCAGGTCTCATCAACATAGCTGCAAAGCTGAAGGCAGAGTTCTTCAGGCCTGCTCTGTGGCACTCGATCACAGTTGATGTCAGGATGGGCACAATGTCTGCAAAACACAGCAGGGGAGGAGGAGCTCAGTGCCTCTGCCAGTACGACTCTGTCCTGTTTAGAGGAGGGCAGGAGCACACCTCTCTGCGATCTTTCTGGTAGAGAACCAGATGTTACCTGTTTAAAGAGGAAAGGGCCAGCAACAGAATCATGCTAACTGCTCATCAAATGTCTTTTCTCTGTTATCCTGGGTTTTGCCTTTAACGCCAGGAACTGACACCCCTGACATGTCTTCTCCCGTGCCTCAGATACGCTTTTGCATCTGACAGGACTACTGATGGATGGGTAAGGCAGATTTTTGCAGGAGAGATATGAAGTTGAATTACTGACTCAAAAAACATGATCTTCTAAAAATATTAGAACAGACTGCCAAACTGCGTTCTAAAAAGGCCATACCCATTTCCATTCCCACCAGCAGTCATGAAAATATCTGTCCTATCACACCCTTTGCTGCATGATAGGAAGTAATTTTCAAATCTTTTCATATAACAAGAATACATTTAGAGAACAGAGGTTGGTGAATTAACAACCTGTGGGCCAAATCTGGACATCTGTTTGTATGGTCCATGAGCTAAAAAATGGTTTTTTGCATTTTTAAATGGTTGAATAAAAAACCAAGAGAATAGTAATTTGTGATGTGAAAATCACAGAAGGTTCACATTTCAATGTTCAAAAGCAATAAAGTTCTGCTGGGACATAGCCACTCTCGTGTATGTGCTCTTTGTGCCAAGAGGCAGGGTTGAATCGTCGTGAAAGAGACCAGGGATCCACAAAGCCCAAAACATTTGACTGGTGACTCATCATGGCAGGGGACAAAGTATGTTCACTGAATAGCATTCAATGACATGTCTTAGAATAATGGGCCCTTTCTCACAGGCATGGCAATAGAGGCTCAACTATTAGGTGACAGCGTGATTGTGGGCAAGCGTTACTTCATTTCTTTTGCCCAAGTTTGCTTGTGTAAAACAGGGAAGACAGCGAGAGTACCCATGCGTGCAGCCTGGATACCATACACCTTAGGCCAGCCTGAAGGGCTGCGCTCTCTTGTATCTGAAAACCTGGATTTGGGGAGAATTCCTGCCATTTCTAAAGCTGAGTGGTTACTGTGCCTCAAGTCTACAATGTGGTTCATGCTGAACACCTGCTTTCTGGAGTCTGAAAAATTGGCACATGCCAAGCAGGGGGTGCCCGTGTGACCCCACTCCCAGTACAACCCCCAACACTGAGCATACCTGGCAGGACCATCCCCATGTGTTGTCACAACTTACTCCCAGAGAGTGCAGTGTGTGCCGCCAGGGAGTTTGTGCCTGGTCTCAGACTTCACCCTGTGCACATTTTTCTTTGTAGCTTTTCTCTGTTATAAATCTTAGCACTGTTGAGTTGTAGGAGTCAAACCTAGGGGTGGGTCTCAGGCCCCCCATTATACCACTTCATGGAGTCGTGAGAATTAAATGAATCCATATATGTAGAGTTGGTAGTTGTAATGCAGAAATGTGGATAACCGACTTCTCAGATAGTACTTACGTGACGGAAATTTGCTAATGTTGTTGGCCACCCGAATAAGCATACGTGCTCCTTTCATATGATCTCCATTCTTAACGTGAATCTGAAATAACATATTTTACTCTTTAGAGAGTGACCTTAATTCAACTGTTAATTCTCTCAAATGAACAACTCCTTGATTGTGACTCTGAATGGGGTGGTCATGAGATCCTTGCAGCCTTACTGTTCTCAAACTCCACTCAGGATTTCTCCCTTCTTTGTCCTTCAGCAGCTTCTGTCTGGCATCATGGCCTCACCCTTGGTCTTGGCCCAGCTTTTTACTCTGTCCTGGACCACTTGACATGAGTTCAAATCCATGGTCCACCCATTACAGGGGGACCTATTAAGTTTTGAGGCCTGAAAGCTGTCGGGCAGAGAGAGGACGGGGTGTTAAATGAAGAGGCACTGCCCATGGCGGGGCAGAGGGGCTGCAGTGGCTGGGATGCCTGAGCTAGGAAAGTATGAGGGTGGTGAAATAGCCCACAATGGCGCATGCTCTATTTTGTCTTTAGTGAACATGACTAAGAAAATATACAACTAGACATAGAGTGCTGATATGAAAAAATTAAAAACTTTAAAAAAATTAAAATTTAACACATGCATTCGTAGATGTATAGAAGGCATACATCACAGTGTTCACATTTGTATTTGGGTGACAGACTTAAAGGATGAATTTAACTTTTCTATAGTCTTTAAATTTTGCCAACTATCTTTTTATATTCAGATGATGAAATAGCATTAAACAAGAATTGTTTAAAATCTCCCTTAGAATGAACAAACCAGCAAACTCTGATAACACAATATTTTAAATAAATTATTTGGAGCAGATAATATATTTATATCCTTCAAAATCAAAACAACGTAGAGATGTGTACAGTTTTCTCCCTCATACCTCTGCCCTCGATGGGGGTTTGCTACCTTGCTGCCACTGCCCCGTGCCTTGCTCCTTTCAGGAAACCACTTTTACTAATCTTTTGTTATAATTCTAATTTTATTTTCTGGTATGCATTCTTATTTTTTGCCTTGACACAAAAGCAGCATATTGTATAGTTATTCTATATCTTGTTTTTCACTTAACAATATAGGGGCCTAGGAAATGGCACTAATCTGGTGGAGAGGGCAGAAGAAGCCCCTGCGGGGTGACAAACACCTGAGTCACTATATCCTGAGTCGCTATAGCCTGAGTCACTCGAGCCTCACCTTAACGAGTATGTAACTGTGCAGAATCATGAGGTTGGTGGCCATCTCAGAGGGAATTTTGATCTTCTGGGATTTAAGTTCTGCATACATGCCAAAGAGGACATCGTGTGCGTTCCGATAGTTCCCTTGAAACAAAGGAGGTAAAATGATTATTGCAAAGTGCCGCGGACCAGCACAGCAGTAGACGATGAGGCCACCTCAGGGTTGAGAGAAGCGTGCAGATGAAATCTGAGGGCTTTCTGTGGGCCCTCATTTTACAAGTGGATTTTGCTGATCACATTACTAATGATATCTTAATAGTTTCTTAGATAAAGTGACTTAGTTATTTTTCCTGCTGTAACTGATAGTACTAACATCCAGCTAGTCCCTCAGGGAGAAGACAGGGGCTGTCACCCTAGATGTCTTCCTCTTCCTCAGGGCTTCCAACTGACTCAAAAGTTCAGTGGGTCTTGGAGTTTGCAGTCTACTTTTGAAGTTTTCCAAATTTAGCCCCTCCCTCTATGCCCACTGTTAATCTTGACAGCTGGAGGTGTTAGATAACAAAAGCTGAATAAAGTAATGACATGTAATACCATAGTTTTCAAAATTGTGTTCCATATTTATGAACATCTAAAATAATAAGCTTGCAAAAATTAGTAAGGATCATCCGACTAATTCTCTGATTTATTTGATAAATATTTACAGAGCACGTAAGTTAACAGAACTGTTCGGAGAGTCTGTAAATAGTCCTTGCATATAATAAAAGAACAAGGTCAACCATATCATCTTCCACCTTTCATATTGTTAGGACCAAATACATGGGATGGAAGGTGCTGAGAATATAGGAAGGGGGTTGTGGGGTAGAGAGGTCTGGGAAGTTGTCTAGAGATGGAAACTCAGGCCAGGAAGGAGTGGAGTTAGTCTCTGTCCCTGCCCTGGTGCCGTGAATTAATGTACTTGTCTGAAGCCCAGGAATGGCTGTCCCCTGAGTTTTCTGGGTACACAGTAAGCCTAGATTAGAAATGGGCTACTCCTTTCTGGGAAGGGAAGGGGTGGGAGCATCCCTCTGCTAACCTGGGAGAAAAAGATGAATATTAGCATCCTACCTGCAGACTGCTCTTCTCTGGCAATGACAATGGCAGTCCGGGCGGCATCTTGGTATTGTTTCAGGGCCATGTACAAGCGGAACAGGTACTTGGCATCCTAACACATAAACCGTTAGAGAAACGTTACTTTTCTTTGTGAACTAAAGGGAGAAACATCTAAAGTTTTGCATTTCAGTTAGAATCACATTCACTTTCTGACAACCAAGGGTTAATATTGCTTTTAAAAAATGAATATTTACTTATTGAATATGTATTCAGAGTTTATTTGCCAGGTAGTATTCTAAGTGCTTGAGACATGCTAGCACATTTAAATTCTCAGCCTCCCTGGAGGAAGCATGATTGTTGTGCTGATTTCATTGGTGAAAAACTGAAACACAGCAGGACCTTTCCAGAACCAGGATTTGAACCACAGTGATCTAGCATTGGCATCTGTTTACCTGATCTTTACTCTCAAGTCTCGTGCTTGAAAACGAAATGTATTTTTTATGCAATGTACCAACTTAGCAAACTTTCAACAATTTTTGTATCTCTAAATTTCTCTGGCCTGTAAAATTTTCTTTGGCCCATGACCTTTTTCCATTGTCAGTCTCTTTAACTCTACACAATTTCACATCCTTGAGGCTGGGTTTCTGATTATTAGAATACTGAGGTGGTTGAGACAGTTGAAGGGCCTGTACTCTGTGGCAGGTTAACTGGGCTTCCCCGGGATCTTATCTTGTCTATGGAGAGACTTGGGGACTCGGGCATCAGGACTGCTTGAGTTCTTGCCAGCTGGGACAAGCCACCACTACTCTGAATCAGTGACTTGATTCAGGACTGCTTCCTTCACAAGTAGATCTCCTTGTTCCTCAAAGCAAAAGGGAAGAAAAAATCCTAGAGTGCTCAAAGACGTGTCAGTCTGTCCTGATTAGGAATGAGAAGACTGATTTCTGCAGGAACCCAGAGAGTCACGTATTTTGAAAACATGTTCTCAATGACTTATTTCTACCCCTATATCTACAGTGAGTTACTTTATGCCGAATATGATTTTTGCTAATTCCCATAGTTTTTGAAGTATGAACAAATACACTCTGATTTTTAGGGGAGAGATGCTAACTCATAGCTCTAGTACCATGAACATTGTTCCTAGTATAAATAAACTTTAACACTGGAGGAAAACTGTGGGTGGTGAGGACTGTTTATTCAGAGAGCCGCGGTTATTTCATGCGTGGGCTTACAGAGCAAACGCACATAACAGCCTCTGTACGGGTGACCTAGGGCTATGTTCAGGGAGAAAAGTTTCCAAGTCTGAAGCAAAAGCCATAGTATGTAAAAACAGGGAGAGACTCACGACTAAGATAGCGAAGACGCACCTTGGGCATGCCGTCACTCTCGCCCATCAGGTGGTCTATCAGCTGATTGGTCAGCAGTTCATCTTTTGCCTGACCGACCTGTTCAAAAGAGAAAACACCAGAAAATCAAGCATCTTAGGTATAGAAAGAATGGGAGAAAGGACAGATAATCTACAAAATGGAATAAAAATGTGAAAAATACTAGAGGTGCTGAGGCATGAAACAAGCCATGGGTCTTCATTTATTTGTAGTCGCCGTTGATGAAAATCCAGCCTTGGGAGCTATAGCTTTTCACAGTTGCTGTATCAAAGTCCTGTGGGGTTTTTTCCTTTCTGGTAACACACCGACTTCTAGAAGGCTTCAGTTAAAACTCCTAACATAAAGGGGCTGTGACAACTAGAGAGTAAGCTCTGGAGCACAGGGGCTGGGCCTTGGGCAACAATAAGCCACCGAGTGCCCCCGCCCCAGCAGCCCCCAGGAGAGGCATGTGCACACACTGTGTGTAATCTGAGGTGGAAAGGAAAGCAGGGCCACTGGGCCCCGAGGAGAGCAGGGGTTCTGGCAAGGATGTGGGCCTGGGGATCTGGATTTGAAGGTCACCTCCATAAAGGTCAGATTAGCAGACCGGGCACGCAGGGAGTGCGTCCTGCATCGCCATTTTAGAACAGGGACATTTCTCCAGTAAAGACTGCCTGAAACCAGTAGAAGGCTCCTGGAGGAGCCAGAGGTGAGCTGGGAAGTTCACCCATGCCAGGCCCCTTCTGGCCTGCAGTCCGAGCTCAGAGGGGGAGCAGGAACCCACCGCCAGGGCAGACCAGGCACGCAAGGGAGTGTGTCCCCGCATCGGCATTTTAGAACAGGGAACTTTCTTCAGTAAAGACTGCTTGAAACCCGACAGATGGCTCCCGGAGGAGCTAGAGGGGAGTGGAGAAGTTCACCCAAGATGCCGGCCAGTCCCAGCAACACAGTGTCCCAATGCATACGGCAAATTAGAAAGCAGACAGTAGGGAGTAGAAGAACCACACGCAACCTAGCAACTCCTCAGGAAAAAAGCACACCACAAAAAGAAAACCACCCCCCAGATTGCAACGACAGTAACTTGGAAGAACTTCTGAGCCTTCCAGAAAGAGAATTTAAAATTGCCATGATTAAAAAACTGACAGAAGTCATAAAGGAAAACAATGATAAGGGAAAAATAATCAACGATCAGAAGAATGAAATTGAGTCCCTAAAGAGGGAAGTAAAAGAAATGCAGGAGATCAAAGAATTAATGGAGGCACTAAAGAACTGTGGGAAAAGCAATGAAAGTAGAATAGATAAAATGGAAGAACGAATAAGCACTCTCAAAGACACAGAAATAAAAAGAACCAAAACAGAAAAGGAAAGAGAAGAAGGAAAAAGACCAAAGAAAGACTTCAGGAACTATCTGACTCCATGAGGAAAGGAAATATAAGAGTTATAGGAATACCAGAAGGAGAGGAGAAAGATGTAGGAACAGAGAAAATATTCAAGGAGATAATTGAAGAGAACTTCCCAAACGTGAAGGAGCTGAAAATTGATATACAAGAAGCAAGAAGAACACCAAACTTCCACGACGAAAGGAAAAATACAGCAAGATACATAATAGTAAAGCTCCCAAGAATCCAGGACAAGGGAAAAATAATGAAGCTGACAAGAGGGAAGAAACAGATAACATTCAAAGGAAAACCAATCAGGCTGACATCAGACTTCTCCAAAGAAACACTACGGGCAAGGAGAGAGTGGAGGGACATAGTCAACAGACTCCAAGAAAACAGATGCCAACCAAGAATACTCTATCCCGCAAAGCTCTCCTTCCTCTATGAAGAAAGAAGGACCTTCCCAGACAAACAGAAACTCTGGAATTTCATTATGACTAAACCCCCACTCCAAAAAATACTACAAGGAATCCTAAAGCCAGAACCTCAGAGGGACGAATAACAATGAAAGAAGGCCAAAAAAAAAAAAAAAGGTTATTAAAAGAATAAATAAATAAATAAACTCAAAGGAAAGACAAACACAATGGCAAATACAGATGCTAACATATCAATATTAACTTTAAATGTAAATGGACTAAACTCTTCAATAAAAAGACACAGAGTGGCAGGCTGGATTAAGAAATAAAACCCAACCTTTTGCTGTCTCCAGGAAACACATTTAGCTACAAAAGATAAAAATAGACTCAAAGTTAAAGGATGGAAAACAATCCTACAAGCAAATGGACCAAAAAAGAAAGCAGGAACAGCTATTCTTATATCAGATAAAACAGATTTCAAACTCAAAAAGATAAAAAGAGACCCCAACAGTCACTACATTATGATCAAGGGGACAATACTTCAAGAAGAAATAACACTCATTAACATATACTCACCAAACGAAGGAGCACCAAAATATATCAGACAACTGTTGTCCTCTCTGAAAACAGACATCAGAGAAAACACATACATAGTGGGAGACTTCAACACACCACTATCAACAATGGATAGATCAACGAGACAAAAAATAAGTAAAGACACTAAAGCTCTAAATAAGGACCTAGAGCGCTTGGGCTTAACAGACATCTATAGAACACTAAACCCTCCCAAAAAAACGGAGTACACATTTTTCTCAAGCGCACACGGATCATTCTCCAGGATTGATCACATACTGGGACACAAGACAAACATCAACAGATACACCAAGATTGAAATCATACCAACCATCTTTTCTGACCATGAAGGCATCAAACTAGAAATAAACCATAAAAAGAAGGCAAGGAACTCTCCTACCTCGTGGAGATTCAAAACCACACTACTGGAAGACCACTGGACTAATGAGATCAAAGAAGAAATTTAAAAATTCTTTGAATTGAATGACAAGGAGGACACCAATTTCCTAAATGTATGGGATGCAGCAAAAGCAGTAGTAAGAGGAAAATATATAGCAATAGAGGCTCACATCAAGAAACAAGAAAGAACTCAAAGAAACAGCCTAATCTCGAAGCTCAAAGATCTAGAAAAACAACAACAAAAAAACCCCAAAACTAGTAGAAGAAAAGAAATAATAAAAACCAAAGCAGAAATAAATGAAATTGAAACTAAAAAAACAATCCAAAAGATCAATGAAACCAAGAGCTGGTTCTTCGAAAAAATCAATAAAATAGACAAACCCCTAGCCAGGCTCACAAAAGGAAAAAAGGGAGAAAGCACAAATAAACAGGATCATAAATGAAAGAGGAGGAATCACAACAGACACAGCAGAAATCAAAAGAATAATCAGGAACTACTATGAACAGTTACATGGAAACAAGTTCAACAATCTAGAGGAGATGGACAAATTCCTACAACTCTACAATCACCCAAAGCTAGATAAAGAGGAAATAGAACACCTAAACAGACCAATTACAAGCAGCGAAATTAAAATGGTAATCAAAAACCTCCCCAAAAACAAAAGCCCAGGACCTGATGGATTTACAAATGAATTCTACCAAACATTCAGAGAGGAATTAGTGCCTATCCTTCACAAACTCTTCCCAAAAATTGAGAAAGAAGGGACAATACCAAACACGTTCTATGAAGCCAACATTACACTAATACCAAAACCGAACAAGGACAACACAAAAAAGGAAAACTACAGGCCAATCTCCCTAATAAACACTGATGCAAAAATCCTCAATAAAATTTTAGCTATCAGAATCCAACAATGTATCCATAAGATAATTCACCACGACCAAGTAGGATTCATGCCAGGGACACAAGGATGGTTCAACATCCGAAAATCAATCAACGTTATCCAACACATCAACAAAAAGAAATATAAAAACCATATGATAATATCAATAGATGCTGAGAAAGCTTTCGACAAAGTGCAACACCCATTCATGATAAAAGCCCTTGAAATTCTTGGGATACAAGGAACATACCTCAACATCATAAAGGCCATATATGACAAGGCAACAGCCAGTATCATTCTCAATGATGAAAAGCTGAAAGCAATTCCATTAAGATCTGGAACAAGACAAGGATGTCCACTCTCAACACTGCTTTTCAATATAATCCTGGAAGTCCTAGCCAGAGCAATAAGATAAGAGAAAGACATACAAGGAATCCAAATAGGAAAAGAAGAAGTCAAGCTATCACTATTTGCAGATGATATGATAATATACATAGAGAACCCCAAAAACTCCACAGAAAAACTAATTCAACTCATCAATCAGTTCAGTAAAGTGGCAGGATACAAAATCAACAGGCAAAAGTCAGTAGCTTTCCTATACACAAACAATAAATCTGAAGAAGAAGAAATCAAAAAACCATCCCTTTTATTATCAAAACAAAAAAAATCAAATATTTGGAAATAAATCTAACAAAAGAGGCAAAGAACCTATACAAAGAAAACTATAAAACACTGTTAAAAGAAATAGAAGAAGACACAAAGAAATGGAAAAACATCCCCTGCTCATGGATTGGAAGAATAAACATTATTAAAATGGCCATCCTACCAAAAGCAATATACAGGTTCAATGCTATTCCAATAAAAATTTCAATGTCCTTCTTCAAAGAAATAGAACAATTATTGATGAAATTCATATGGAATCACCAAAAACCCCGAATAGCCAAAGCTCTCCTGAAAAAAAAAAAAAAAAAAAAAAAAAAAAAAAAAGGGAACGGAAGCATCACACTCCCAGACTTCAAACTATACTACAAAGCCATAATCATCAAAACTGCATGGTATTGGAACAAGAACAGACACACAGACCAATGGAATCGAATAGAAAATCCAGAAATAAACCCACAGATTTATGGTCAACTAATCTTTGTCAAAGGAGCAAAGACTATGCATTGGAGCAAAGAAAGTTTGTTCAATAAATGGTGCTGGGAAAACTGGGTCGCTACATGCAAAAGAATGAAGCTTGACCACTACCTCACACCATACACAAAAATCAACTCAAAATGGATTAAAGAACTAGACATAAGACCTGAAACCATAAAATACATGGAAGGGAATATAGGTGAAACACTACGTGATTTGCACATCAAAGACATCTTTACAGACACATCACCCAAAGCAGTGATAGTGAAGGCAAAGATAAACAGCTGGGACTACATCAAATTAAAGAGCTTCTGCACAGCAAAAGAAAATAACAAAAACAAAGAGAAACCCCACCAACTGGGAGAACATTTTTGCACACAACACTAATGATAAAGGACTGATCACAAAAATCTGCAAAGAGCTGATGAGACTCAACAACAACAAAGAAAATAATCCTGTCAAAAAATGGGCAGAAGAGCTGAAAAGAAACTTCTCCAAAGAGGAAATGCAAACGGCCAACAGGCATATGAAAAAATGTTCAATATCACTTGTAATCAGGGAAATGCAAATCAAAACTACCATGAGATACCATCTTACACCAGTGAGAATGGCACATATTAAAAAAACTAGCAACAACAAATGTTGGCAAGGATGTGGAGAAAAAGGAAATCTCCTGCACTGCTGGTGGGAGTGCAAACTGGTCCAACCATTATGGAGAGCTGTGTGGAGATTTCTGGACCTACTAAACATAGAGCTTCCATATGATCCAGCAATTCCACTCCTAGGTATTTACCTAAAGGACACAGAAACATCAATTCCAAAGAACACCTGCACCCCTATGTTTATAGCAGCACTGTTTACAATAGCTAAGCTTTGGAAACAACCCAAATGCCCAAAAATAGATGACTGGATCAAGAAGATGTGGTACATATATACCATGGAATATTACTCAGCATTCAAAAAAGATAAACACATGCAATTTGCAGCAACATGGATGGCGCTGAAAGGGATCATGCTCAGCGAAATAAGCCAGAAAGAAAAAGAAAAATACCGGATGGTCTCACTCATAGCAGGAATCTAGAAAACCTAAATAAGGGACCAGGAAAAAGAATAGCTATAAGAAAGAAAAAATCAAAATCAACAACTATGAACCAGAGACCCACTATGGAGGGTTGGGGCGGGGAAAGGAGAGCTTGGGGTAAAAATAAGGGGGTTGCAATTGTATGGGGAATATAAAAATAAAATTAAAGTCAAAAAAATAAAAAGTAAAAAAAGAAAAAAAAAGGCCAGATTAGATCACCGACATGCGAGATCATGTTGATCAGGAAAGAGAATGGGCCTTACTGCAGGGTGGAAATGATTAGTTTTAGTTTGAAGGAATAACTACTGACCAAATTAGGCTTAAATAGTCCTGTGTCTATGAAAGAGGTGAGCCAAGAACACAACTGGAGCCGACCACGGGAACATAGCACGACTGGGCGGCACCACCCTCTCGCCATCTTAATAGTGAGAGAAGAATCCGGAAGACGATGGGAACTGTCTTGGGGATGGAGCAACTCATGACCTCACGTGCTACGTCTCGGGGGAGAGGACAGGGAGATGTCTGGAAATTATTTGTGCTGTAGAGAAAGCAAGACAGTAGACTTGAGCGCAGGCGGGAAGACAGTTAAGCAGTGGGGTGGAGACACGCTCAGGGCTGCGGAGTTCCCAGAATTCACCCTCTGGAGGAGTTGTCAGCGAAAGATGTTGAGCCTTCATAAACCTTTTGCCACTGCTGTAAGGAAGGGGTGCTATAAGGAAGCAGAATGGGGGAGCTGTTGTTTTGATGGTTTTTGTGGATGGCTTTGCGTGAATACCCCGTATACAGAAAGCATTAATAGCTCTGGAGTCAGTCTGCCCAAGGTCAAAAGGTCAGCTGTGTGGTCAAAAGGTCAGCTGTGTGGTCTTGAGCAGATTTTCCTCACTGAGGTCCAAACTCACAGAATTTGAGAAAAATGTCTGGCGAGCCTTACACCATTGCCCAAAATATGTACAACATTCTGACCTAAGAATTATACTTCTGGACATATGCCCAATAAATCTGAGTGCTAATGTCCACCAAAAGACATGAATAACTTTATAGCACCTTCATTTATGACTAAGTCCAAACTGCAGACAATCCAAACACCACTGATAGAATAACGTCATAAACACATAGTGGAATACTGCACAGCAACGACTAAGAATGACCTAGTGCTACATGCAATAACAGATGCATTTGCCGACTTAATCATTTTGACTGAAAGAAACCAGACATGAAACAGCGCACATGCGTGATTCCATTTATGTGAAGTTCATAAACAGGTGAAAGCAATCTTTGAGGGTGGAAGCCAGAATTGTGGTCTTCTTTGCCGGGAGGTTAACAGCCTTCTGGGGAGCCAGAAATGTTGATCTGTTTGGGGTTCCTGGTGTATACTCCTGAGTTGTACACTCAGGATTTGTGTACTTTACTGCATGCAAGTTACACCTAAAAGATTTTATATACCCCAGTGAAAAGAGGGAATGTCTGTGATTTGCTTTAAAATCCTCCAAGGGAAGGCAGAGGTGTGAATACATCAGCTTGTCCAGGTGTTGACAGATTTTGAAGTCAGATGATGGGTATGTGGGCATTTGTGACAGTTTAGTCTACTTCTGTGTATGCTTGGATACTTCAAAAGGTTTTAAAAATTGGCATTTGCAAAGGTTTCATTATAGAGTTTACTTACGGTTTCAATCGCCATTTCTATTGCTACGTTGTCTTCTGAGTTTGGACACTTCAAGAAGTGTTTGAGTGCCTGAAATGAGAGTTGTGTAGCAATTAGAAATTTTCAAACTGCTTTTATATTGGGAAAAACAAAGTTTCCACACATACAGAGTAATTATAGTTTGTGGAAATACCTTTATCTCAACTAGGGACTTGCATAGTGCTGGTTCTAAAAATTATTTTTTAAAAGCTGGGTATAATTTAAAAAAGGAACATCCACTTAATGCTCTGAAGAATTTTATTCTAGTTCTGATTCTTGAGGAAATGAAAATTTAAAATGTGCCCTCTTTCAGTAGGAGATTTCTTTTCTTTCATTCATTCCTTCGACAAACATTTACTGACAACCTGCTAGTGTGAATAGGAGACTGTGCTACATGCCATGGAGAAAACCGGGAAGAATGTGATATGACTCCTTTTTTTTAATTAGGTACAGTTTAATTGAGATGTGTGATGTGATGAAATTGGGACTCAAATCATAATTGTCCAATTTCTGAACACCAGAGCATCACCCCTATGAAGAAATTTAAGGCTATAAAAGCTTACAAGATAAATGAGCAGGATTGCCTGCAGGTTTTTGAAGTACTTTAAGGATGAAGATTAAAGATGGGGATGACCCTAAGGAACCACAGCGGAAAGAGGACATGAAAGATGGACAGGCCATTGGCAGGAGGTGCAGAGGGCCAAGAGGAATCCAGATGGAAGAGGATAAGATCAGGGAAGAGTGTAGGATTCTTTGATGGAAATAGCTGGATACCAGACTGGAAGTTCATATGGTTTGGTCAAATTGTGGAAGTCCTCTGGAGCACCAGCTAAGGAGTTTGGACATTACCTAAGTGGCCAGGAATAGCAAATTGGTGGCGTGCAGGCCGATCTCACAATAGACAGGTTTTCCTCAGCCAGTAAGGTGTTAGTCAAGTATCTGGGCCAGCATTTTAAAGTCAAGAGAGTCAGACTTCCGTCTCTTGAATAAACCCTCTGATCCTGAGTGGCAACAATTTTCTGGAGGTGAGCAGAAGCTGTCCCCTTTAGACAAACACCGGAGGCAGCCAGCAGCCCCTCCCCTGCCACACAGCTTCACTTACTTATGTCCATTGTTTGAACATGAAGCGCATGTTAGCGACGCTAGGTGAAAGCAAGAACCATTTCGGGAACAAAATGAAGATGAGTTTTAGGGAGAGATTAAAACAGGGAAAATGGGACACCATTACAGGAATTAAATTGAGGTGACCCAGGGCTTGGAGTAAATTGATGGTCATTGGAATGAGGAGGGACAGATGTCTGAGAAACTATAAAGTAAGAATGTGATTGGGGGCAGGAGAGGTAGGAAAATTTTACAGTTGAATCTGGGAGAACAGAGCTTATAATATTTCCTAGAATCATTCCTGTGGAGTCCAGTGGCTATTTTCTTGACAAATACTAACCCGTGAATACTGGCCACACAGCAAGAAGAATTTTCCAGCCTGAAGATGTCTTTTTTCTCCTTCAAAATACAGGGCAATGCTTTGATAGTCCTCATTACTAGTGTCTTCAGAACCTACAACGAAAGTTTATTGAGTAAAATATCTGAGCAAAAGTCATTTACCTTTCATTGCTAACCTAAAAATAAGATCTAAAAACAGGCGATCTAATAATAGGTGATCAAAAACACTCAATGGCCAACATGAAGGTTACAGTACAGTGTCCTGTTTCGTCACAAACACATCATAATCACCCCACATATGCACTCTGCTCCCTCTTATTTTCACTCTAAACAAGAATCAGGAGAGCTGATCATGAGGCTTTGTGAGGATCTAGGTTACTGTCTGCCCTTAGCACTTAAACCTTTCTTCAGGGGTCTCCATCTCACTTCCTAAAACAGAAGCAACTGTGACTGTCATCACCTCCACCGGGATTGTTTCTGAACAATCAGACACAAAGCCAAGCATAATGCAAATATAATCCACCTCTTTCTCAGTAATGCCCGATTTATTTTTTTAAAGATTTATTTATTTATGCATACAAGAACTGGGGTACAGGCCAGAGGTGTGGGGGGTGAGAGAATTCACCAGAGAAAGAGCGGGGAACAGAACAGGCAGACTGACTGAAATACATTGCTGAGGGGAGCAGCGGGCGAGTCAGGAGAGGTCTGCTGCGCCATGTGGGTAGCTCCCTGGCTGGCCAGGGATTGGACTCGTGCTGCAGAGGCTGTGGACAGCTTCACAGTGTGGTGCTTAACCCCTTGCGCCACCAGGGAGGCCCAGCAATGCCTGATTTAAATGAGAGTCTGTATATACTTGTCAGAAAAGGGAGGTAATATTTAAGTGGTCCATGATTGCCATTTAAAGATACTCTTTTTCTTTTTGGATTGAGGCTTATATAGTAAGCTCAGGGGAAAGAAGACCTGGAGCTGCTGGAGTTAAAATTTATTGTTTGTATTTACTTATGGGAGCTGGAGACCCAGGAAGAAAACCAATATAATAACAGCCCTTGCTGGAATCTCCCTGGTGGCACAGGGACTCAGAGCTATCAAGCCATCACCAGCCACTGCGGCATGAGCTTGATCCCCGGCCAGGGATCTAGCCCACATGGTGCAGCAGATCTCTCCTGCCTGCACCCATTCTTGTATGCATAAAATAAATAAACCTTTAAAAAAAAAATAACAGCCTGTGCTGCCCAAGGCTGAGGTGGAGTTTATAAGAAGGTAAACAGAGGGAGAGGAAAGTGTGTGTATGTAACAGGAAAAGCCACATCTTTAATGAACTTAGAACTTAAAGGCCTGAGAATAATGGTGATTTGTAATGTTAAGGATATGTCACCTGTCAAGTTAAAACACTGGAAATTCTAATGTGTGTGTGTTTTTTTGTTTTTTTTTAAGATTATTTATTTATCCAAGCACTGGGTACAGTCAGAAGCGCAGGAGGGTGAGAGAATTCACCAGAGCCAGAGCAGGGAGCAGAGCAGGCAGAAGGACCCAAGTACACTGCTGAGGGGAGCAGCGGGCGGCAGGAGAGGTCTGTGCGCCATGCGGGACCCTCCTCCGGTGGCCGGGGAGCAGCCGGGGAGAGAACCGGCGCTGCAGAGGCCGCGGGCAGCCTCGCAACCCAGCGCTCAACCGCTGCGCCACCGGGGAGGCCCTCTAATGTAGTTTTGATCTATACTTTTTTCTTTAGATTTTTACTTTCTTCAATTATCTAAATGACTTCCTATTAGAAGATGCGTTCACCTATTTCTTTATAGATTGAAAAAAAAGGTATCTTCATGAATTCCATCATTAATTCTTAAGGTCATTTTGTTAAAAAAAAAAAAAAAAAAAAGGGGCCTCCCTGGTGGCGCAGCGGTTGAGCGCTGGGTTGCGAAGCTGCCCGCAGCCTCTGCAGCGCCGATTAGATCCCCGGCTGCTCCCCGGCCACCGGGGGAGGGTCCCACATGGCGCGCAGACCTCTCCTGCCACCCGCTGCTCCCCTCAGCTATGTACCTCGGTCCTTCTGCCTGCTCTGCTCCCCGCTCTGGCTCTGGTGAATTCTCTCACCCTCCCGCGCTTCTCACTGTACCCAGTGCTTGGATAAATATAAATCAATCAATCAATCAATCAATCAATCAATAAATCTTTAAAAAAAAAAAACCTCCCCTGGTGGTGCAGCGGTTGCCCGCAGCCTCTGCAGTACCGGTTCGTTCCCCCGCCAGCGGTGAGGGTACCACAAAAACAAAAAAAAAAGCAAAGAAACAAGCCCAGAATAATAATTCTACTTGAGGTACCGTGAATAGTCAAATTCATAAAGTAGAAGAACGGTTATCCGGAACCTGGGGAGGAAGGGAATTGGGGAATTCTTGTTTAATGGGGACGGAGTTTTAATTTAGGACAATGACAAAGTTCTGGAGATGGACAGTGGTGAAGATGGCAGGAGGACATGGAATGTTTAATGCAACCAGACTGAACACTTCACCATGGTTAAAATGGCAAGTGCATATTATTTATATTTAACTATAATTTTTTTTTTTAAATTTTTATTTATTTATACAAGCACTGGGTACAGTCAGGAATGCGGGAGGGTGAGAGAATTCACCAGAGCCAGAGCAGGGAGCAGAGCAGGCAGAAGGACCGAAGTACACTGCTGAGGGGAGCAGCGGGCGGCAGGAGAGGTCTGCGCCCATGTGGGACCCTCCCTCCGGTGGCTGGGGAGCAGCCAGGGATCGAACCGGTGCTACCGAGGCTGCGGGCAGCTTCACAACCCAGCGCTCAACCGCTGCGCCACCAGGGAGGCCCTATTTAACTATAATTTTAAAAACCCAGCACCATAAACAGTATTATGTATGACCCATAAGAAGAAAAATCAGGAAATGACTTCAGTAATTCCTAAGATAACTGCAAACATGGGAAGAAAACCTATAAGCAGGTATCCTCACAATATAATTCTCTTTCAGACTCTGGAAATCCTTAAAAACCACATCTTGTGTATGTCACTCTTCTTCAAAGTAATTACATAATGTGCAACTGAATTTTTAAAATTTATGAAACATTTACTTTTGAAAAAATCATTCTACATTTCCTATCAACATTTTGGAAGTGGATTTTTCCCACTGGTTGAATCATAGCAGGATTTAGGAGAAATCTGGGCTCTTGTGGAAAATACTGTTTCCCTCCCCGCCACCAGTCCTTAATTTTTGAAAATGACCTTATAATTCCATCTCACCTTTGAGCTGACAGTAGGCTCTTGAAATATAACAAGAAACATTCAAATATGTGTGTGTGTGTGTAAATGGCACGTATGCACATGCTTGTGGGTATAACCATCTGATAAAGGTCCCATAGTGTTCCTAGGATAGAAATCCTTGAGAGAAATTAGGGAAAACAATGATAATTACCAATAATGTCTGCATAGATTTCCATTTTGTTGTGCTGCTGAGCCAGCGTAAAAGCTTCATTATTACATTTGGACATAACAAGAAACTGGATGGCAGACCCATAGTCACCTAACTGTAGGAAAAACCTGAAACAAAGCACTTTAATTAGCTTGATTTTCATATAAAATAAATTGTGATTTATAAAATAAAATCTTTTTCAATCATAAAAAACTACTTAAAAATAAATTTCAGGTAAACTGCGATTCTACAGAATATGCTTCTGTCTGCAAAACACTCTCAGCCACTGATCACAACAAACTTTTGAATTTAAACACACACACATACATATGTGTATGTATATATATTTCTGATAAGGGGAGGCGGGGCTTTCTTGCATACCTAGTTTTTAAAAGTCCAAAAATATCAATGCATGTGTTACCTGGCTACCATTTTGGCTCCCTCCAGGGACTGGGTCTCTCTCACGATGCTGACGGCCTTTTCGGGATTGTTGAGGTGATCCAGGTAGATGCGGATCACGCTGTTCCACTGTTTGGCATTCTCATAAGCCAGAATAGCTTCTTTGTACCTGTAAGAAATGCTTAGTTCAGACAAAGTTTCTTAACACTGGCATATTGGGAGGAAGGGGAAGCAATGTCAATAAATGTCTGGGCACAATGTCAATAAATGTCTGGGCACCGTTTTTATTGATAGTGGTTGTTTATTTTTCCTCTCCTTTTTAAGATGTAAATGTATTTAATTTTTTTAAATCGAGGTGCCATTGGTTTAGGATACTATATATGATTTTAGGGGACTAGATCCTCACTTATTTTTCTTTTAACTTCTTACTCCTTCATCAGAAAAAAATACCAGGAACCATCTCACTAAAATATGTTCTTTTTAGGGGTTTAATAAACTAACAGTAAAATAGCATATTGAATTGTGTTATCTGAACTATAGCTACATAATTTTTTATATATAATGTTTTTATTTCTTTCTGAATGGGAAGATTGTAATAGTAATGTAGGCTTATTTGAGAAAACAGTATTTTTTCACTAGGATAGTTTACAAGTGACATTTAAAATCTTTGCCTGTTGACCTCTAGATGGAGCTCGAGACTTCTCTTCAGTTCCCTCCAGCTTCCAGCTCTTTCCATTTCAACAAGATATTTAATGTATCTCTATTTTTCTCAGGTTACTGTTCTAAAGGGGAGAGTATTAACCTTTAAAAAATCTCTGAGTACATGCTGTCAGCTAACCTTCCAAAGGCTACAGAAATTTATGCTCCCATCAGTCCTGTGTTATGAAAGCATTTTGACAGTCTGGTTATTAGTTGAAAACACATCTCTCCCAATATGGGAAGTTAAAATGATATACTGTTACTTTAATTACAGTTAGTGAAGGAGAACTGTTTCACATTTGCATGCAATACAATTTCTGTGTTTTCTGGGACTCCTTGTTGGCTTTAGTCATTTCCTCCTAGTATCCTTGAGTTTCTTGCATTAAGTTGCAGAGAACTTTGTATATTTGGGATACTACCTACCCGTGGCTATATTTTGATACTACGACTTAACCAGTGCAGCTGTCTGCCTGCAATTCACATTTCTTCACTTTCTTCTCCTTTGCATCCTTAAGTTATCCTCTCTATTAAAATGACTACCATTTAATTTCATTTTCATGCCATATTATAAAAACTTCAGCTTCTAGTATTTAACCCCCAAATTAAAAAAAAACAAAAAAAAACAGGATAAATCTGTATTTGAATACAGGAAGGATCGGCTGAGGGATACGAGGTGTAAGAAAGGCACTTCAGGCCAGGCGAGCGGTTAAGGATGTTTTCTTTCCCTATATTGCTTTTCTTAGAGGACTGCAAATACCAATGGTTAATTTCTCCAACTTACAGTTCTTTAAATTTGTAGAAATTTGAGAAATTGTACAAACCTCCCATCTGCTTCTTTCGCTTTGGCATACTGCAAGTGAATCTTGGGAGAAGAAACATGAGCGAGAAGCTCGCCAACTTTTGCCCTAGAAAGTCAGGTTTAGAAGAACAACATCAGCAATGTATTCACTTTAAAAGCAGCTTCTTCGTTTCTAGGATTCAAAAACTAGTTGTCACGATCTTTCAAAAACACTGGCTTTTCCCCGTGGACTATGGAGCAGGATGATGGTGCTTTGGTGGTGGGAAAACTATGGTGACCACGCCTGAGGGGAGAAATCCTATCGTGTGGGAAAAACAAACAAGGATATAAAATAATGGTATGTCAATTAATTAAAATATGTATATATTGGCTCTTCCAGGTAAAAACAGATTTAATAGCATTTTCTTGGCGCCTTGCCCAAAGGGAAGAAAATCAAGGTTAGTTCATTTAACTCTATGGGGGATAGAGATCTTTTTCTTTTCTAGTAATTTATTTAATCAGGGATTTCCCTGTACCAAGCCAACTGTGCTGCTCTTTGGGAACAGAACTATTAATATGAGCTTATCTAAGAGGAGGAGGAGGAGATGGAGCGAAGATCCAGGTGGGGGAGCAGATGTGACGTCAGAGGAGCAGCAAGGACATGTGGCGTCTGCAGGGACACACGCATTTCCACGTTTGCGCAGAAAGCCTTACCAGTTCTTACAGCGGATGTAAACAGACGCTGCTTTGTCATAGTAGAGACCTTTTTCATACAGTTGGGCGGCTTCTGAAAATTGCTGAAATAGTATGAGATTATTAAAATACTAACTTTATTGAGTATACGACTGCATGCATATTTACACAGTGAAAAGCATACCTTCATACTCTCCAGAATGGCTCCACAGTCCCTTTTAAGGACCCTGCTGGGGTGCTTGAGGGCTTGGTTAACCCCTCGGCGGATGTCTCCCATCCGTATGGACATCTGGGCCACTCCGGCCAGACACACTTCATCATGCTCCTGCAGTTATGAGACAGACAACAGATAAATCTGACTCTAACTTGAAATGATAGATTTCAGCCAAACAATTTGAATCTAAAATGACATACAATCAAAGGTCACATTCAGTGGTTCTGAGAATGTGGGAAAAATGGACATATTTATATGTAACAACTGTATGAAACACTTTGGAGAGCAACTTAGCAATATGAAAAACTAAAAGCACACACATTTATGACCTGGAAATCTGTAAGAATAGATCCTTGAGCAATGCTACATTATGTAGTCTAAGACACACGTAGTAGGTGGACTATTACAGCACTTTTGACAGTAAAAATGCCAAAGTCAAATATAATTCAAAAAGGGGTGAATAAAAAACCTAACAACTATGGTACATTCAAGCAATGAATAGTAGTTCTTCAAATATTGAATGAATAAAGCTAAAAAATTGCTGCTTTTCACAGAATGGATTCTCAGTTGATCTTTGTTGAATGATGGAAATGAATGATTTCATTTTTAGTAAAAACCCCTACATTATAGACATATTCATATACTCAGAAGCGCTTCTGGATGGAAATGATATAAAATCGTTAACAGTAGCTACCACTTAGGGGTTTGGAAGGAGGAGAGACTATGGGCTCTCACTTTTCATGTTTCATACTTTGGGAATTTTTAAAATTGACTATAATGAAACTATTATTTTTGTTATAAAAACTGCTAGAAGTAAAACAAAATGAAAAGATGCTTAATATTTATAAATCACTGTCTCACTTAAAAACATCAGCTTTCATCATAAATTTAGTTTCTTGAGCATGGGAGCATGGGCTGTAATAGGAGGTAAAGTCCCTGCTTTGCAGGGATACCATAAAATACACTGCATGAGACATGGGATGGTGGAAGGAACTTTCATGAACTGTAATACATTTTCAAAGTGGTTATTGAAACTACTTAAAAGAGTAAAAGGAAAAGCCTTATGAAAAATCACAGCCTGTAAGTGGGAAGGGATAAATATCTTACCCCAAACTTAATAAGTGCATGTTTTGGAGGCAATGGAAAATGTCTTTTTCAGATGGATCAAAATGTTGCCATCTTTAGGTTTTATGAGTTTTAAGCATTTTAAGATGATTCAACTGAATCATCTTGTATCTTTGCAAGGTTGTCATAAATTGAAAAATGTCACCTGGCTAAATAAATACTGAGCAAATACAATGTAAATAAAAGCATAAGTTTTAAAATCAAACTAACAACACACCCAAACATTATTACATTAATCTTTGCCCAAGGTTACCTTATTATCACCTGTTATCCCTTTCTCATAATGAGCCAAAGCATTTACATAATCACCCCTGAAAGAAAAATGAGAGCAAATTTTAATACATATCTAAGTATCCTATTTACATACACATGGTTTAAAAGATAATTTTCATCAGAGTAGCTAAAGTTCACAAAAGATGTAATACACAAAATATATGTAAGCATGCACTGAAGTGCAGCCCACTGTTTTGTTACTTTAAAAATAAATATGAAGCTGGATTATGCTAGACTGTAAGGTATTTACCTTATGGCATGATAGGAATTTTTTGGGAATGATGTTAAATTTTATGGACCACTTTTAGTTAATTATCTCCTTTGGGGCACTAGCTGACCTTAATATGACCATAAACACTAATATATTTCCCAATATTTCCAGTATTCCAATAAATATTCAATATTTACAAGTGGACTATGAGTTCAAAGAATCTGGTAGAAGTGATGAGACCCTCTGGGGATGATTTGTATCGAGGGCCCTGCTCTTACTCTAATAAAAAATGTTATAATAATATAAACAAGACTTCCTATTCCCATGACTGATGCTAATAAGGAGCTGCATGTTCAGAAGGCATGCTATCTCAATTTGTTTTTATTGTTCAGTATAGAATGGGTTGGTGATTTTCCTAAAATCCATTGGGAGATCTATCTTCCTCTAATAAACCATTCGTCCAGAATAAATTAGCCAGCTCTGAAAATGGCATTGAATCCACTTGAACTCCACCATATCAGCTCAAGTGACTTATTCAACCTTTCTAAGCCTCACTCGGTTCTCTTATCTGCTGGCGGTGCAAGGAATTTTCTGAAGAGAAACTCTTTTGCTAAGAATGTGCTTTGGACAACCCATGGTTTCACAGTCAGCAGTTTCTAAGTGACAATCTCGAATATTTGAGTCAAATGTCAAGCAGCTAGGGATGATGCCTAACAGCGTGACTGACCAATCCTCAGGAGTCTGAGGTTTTCCTTGGGCAGGCCCAACTAGGAGATACTCTATTAGGATACTTGGGATTTTGGAACTTTTTGTATTTTAGCTCCTATACTTATTTCATTTTGGAGCTCGCATATGGATCTAGTTTTCTAGTCTAATCCCAGACTAGAGAGCTAAATTCCCCCTCTGCTCTGAACTAATCAAGGTCTGGGATGCTAAAGAAACAGAATTGAGGACAGGCCTCGTCTTAGGTGTGAAATCAGCAGCTGGTAGCCACTGGGATAGCTGGTGATTATGAGCTGAACCTAGTCAAGTTGCTAGGCTCACAAGGCAAACTCTCCTGACTGTTGGTGGCCAGGGTGTGTTCCTGGATCAGGGCAAGGAGCCAGCAGACAAGCAGCAGTGAAGGGTGGGGAACTAACAGCTTGGGGGACAAGTGTTGAACAGAAAGAGTTAAAAAATTATCAACAAAAGCAGAGGCTTTCAGTGGTCTCAGCTCATCTGACTATAATGAGACAAAGTGTTGAGAGTTTGCTACTAAAGTTTCCATCCCTCTGAAAGAAAAACAAATGGAAATGCTCTGGACGGTCTGAGGGTTTACTGGCATGTTTGTGCTGTGACACGTGGTGGGCGTCTTCCAGGGTGGTGATGCTTTTCTCTCACACAGAAGTTCCTTCTCTAAAATCCAGTCACCCTCAGGGCAGCGACTGAGGGTGAGGGCCTTGTCCCTGAGGCAACACATTTAGAGTCCACAACACAACCAGAACAAACCCCTAGATACAAAGAAAGATTCCAATTTGCTCTTTTCAATATATGGATGATCTCCTTCGCAAAGGGAAGAAATGTGACAAATGTAAATCACCGTTAAATTTGACAAAATTTCCAAAAAAGTTTTTAATTGGAAATGGGAAACTTAAATAAGGTACTCTGGTTAGAAATGAACAAGTATTTTTTGATTGAATAATATCTAGAACTATAATTTGTGTGTCAGGTGTCAGTATTCTCAGTGAATCCAAAGTCCATGAAAATAAAGTGGAACTATATAAAAATATGAATAATCAAACGTCAGAACCATTGCTTTGGCTCAAAGGCCAATATTGTCCCACATTTTATTTGTTGAAATGGAATGTATCTTAATTTGAAAAGAAATTGTCCCTTTGCGATGCAGTTGTCATTATACATACACATGTAAATTTATATTTGAAAAAGATTTCATTTATTGTCTGCAGTTCTTTGCATTACTGACAATAAATGCATTATTGACAATAAATGCAGTCCTTTGCATTTATTGTCTGCAGTGCATTGCACTAACCATGGCTGAATGCAAATTTAAAACCAGATCTTGAACACCTCTAATTTTCCCCACATTAAAATAAACATGTGGTCTGTCAACTGAAACTATTGACAACCAAGACTGATCCACAATTCAGAACACTACAAAATTCTTTCCCAGGGCTAGGAAAATTTGTGAGCCTATTCGTGCTGCATGAAGGATTACTATCAAGCACTGAATTTCTGCCTGTGAAAAGCTTCTGGTGTGATTTTTCAACACTTCCTAATTTTTATCCATACGCAGTTCAATTTAAAAAAGAAAAATTACAATTTTAAGCAGATAGAAAATTTAGATCAAAATCTGGTTATTTTTCACTATGCCTTAAAATTACCAAGTATTCATATTAAAATTATACAGAATTTAATTTGTATAAAAGTACACAAATTAAAATTACAAAGTATTCAAAGAGGTGAGGATGAGTATCAGTTATGAAAAGCGGGCTGTCACCCAGAGGCATAGTAACTCTTGTTGGCCAAGTGGGGTTCAGTATTTTAGACTCTAAAGGTAGAAAAGGCATAGACCCGAACTCAGATTTTGGTGCTGAACATGAAAATGGGTAAATGCATGGATAAGATGCCATGATTTAGAAACGATTTTTTTGGGATGAGTAATTAATATAACTTTTTCCCCTCAAAAAACAATTATTAAATCAATGGAGGACAGTATCAAAAATGCCTATTTAGAATTGCAAATGTACAGTAATTTGATTGAAATACACAAAAAAGGAGGACTTACGTGAATTCAAGCTGAATAGCATATTCTTTTGATATAAATGGTATCTGGTCTGGAGCTAAACGCTTTGCCAATTGTAGAGCACTGTCCCAATGCTGTAAATCCCTCCTCATCTATTAGGAAGAGAGAAACCTTCATTTCAAATGAGCAAATTATTTTGCACAGTCTGCTGTAGTGCTAGTTTTAATAGAAGTGATCACAAGAACTTTTTGGTTAAAAAATAAAACTTGATCTTTGCAAGGACAATGCATTACTATAGCATACATTCTCAGTGGGGGTGATAAGAGCCTGCAACGGGTGAAAATTGGTTCTTGGGGAGCTAACAGACCTAAGTTATTACAACGGAGTGCAGTTTCCAAAACTGAATTCTAATGAACCAAGTTTTATTCTTTGGTATTTAATTTTGCCCAATATGGAAAAATTAAGACTGAATCAAAATTAATTCAATCAATTGATTAAGTTAACATTAAATTTTTTTTCTTAGAGAGATTAAAGAAGTTAAAATACTTTATTATGGGAATTGATGCTTCTGTCTGAGAAAACTTGAGGCCATATCACAATAGGAGTAATAACAAGCCAATAAAACATGTCTTTCCTCCTGGCTCCTATGGTCTTGTCCAAGATGACAGGGCTGGGATTTGAACCCAGACATGTCTGACGCACGAACGCACGATCTAAATTCCTGTCCCATGGAGCTATGACTCCACTGTCCTCCAAGGAGGTACTCCCTGTGGTGCAGTCCTGCCCCCACAATGCCTGCCTTGGGGACCTAGTGAGGGTACAACAGTGGTTTTTAGCCCACCTCTGCATACACAAGAGAATCTCCTACAGTGAGTAAAAGAAAGAGGTGGCTCAGTCTCCTCATTGGAAAACAAACATTAATAATACTATTCCATAGGGTTGTTGTGAGGGCAAAGTGAGTTCAAGTGTGTCACGGGCTTAGAAAAGTGCCTGGCACACATGCACTCAGCATGGTGACTGATTTTATTTGCATGCGTTTCTGTACATTATATAATATGTTGTTTTTGGATACATTTAGACTTCAAATTAATTAGTAATAGTCTAAAACCATGCCTTTTGGTGGCCCCTCGGAATGCAGAATGAAAAATGTTTGTGCAGAGAATGAGTACTCGGGAGGTTCTGGTGGCTGAAATGTCCAATTCCAGCAGGGGTAAGGCTGTGCTGTGAGATTTCAACTTATAAAAGGGGTAACCCGCCGTGTGGGCCCTCCTGCCCCTCCTTGTTTGCGGCCATACCTCTAGGGCCGCCACAGGGCAGCTGGACGCGAGGTACAGGTCCTGAGCCAGGTTGAAATCGTTGGTAAACATGGCGAGGTGTCCGGCCAGGAGATTGTAGTCCTCTATGCCCTACACAGCAGAAAGGCACTTTCGATGAGAAGAAATACAAGAGTTTAATTTTTTCCAAGTCTTTTCTCAGGAGGGAGAAGTGACATGCTCTCAGTTCACCTGGTTATGAAGTTAGCTGGGATGAACTGCAGACATATTTAAGGGACTGCTGTTTACCTTTATTTGTTCTAAGGACATCACCATGCCGACATTTCCAACTGTCCGATAGACGCGGATTGCGAACTCCACCTCCATGTGCTGGAGACAGGCTCTGCCCAGCTCATTCCAGGCAGCGTGATCCTTCAGAACCCTGCACATTTCCCACGCGTCAGAAAACCTAGGATTTTAGCACATAATTTATCAGGTTGCTCTCCTTGCCCCCCCCCCCCCCCCCCGTTAAGGCAGGTTTCAGGTAATGGAGAATTTAAGGTTATGCACACCCTCGACACATTTTGCAAAACATTTCTTAATCTGTAATTATTAGCTGCAAGTAATGGGAAACTATGGAATGTTCCTCCTTTTTGTACAAAGGCTTTTCCTTGAATTTCTTTTATTAATCAGAATCTGCTTTGCGCGGCCATCCTCCATGGGTAACGACTAATTCTATCACTTTATTTTTTGTTTAACTCATACATAGATGAGAATTACTTTCATTCTCACATATGGGGCCAAGAAACTTAGTTCTCTATTCCTGTCACTTTAGAAGTGTACACCGGGGCTCCAGGCCATGCGCTGTCAGCTGCCTGCTTCTGAATTGAGTATGCGTGACCACAGCTCTCTCAGCCTTTTTTTTTTTTTAAAGATTTATTTATTTATGCATACAAGAACTGGGGTATTGGCCAGAGGTGTGGGGGTGGGGTGGGGTGAGAGGATTCACCAGAGTGGGGAGCAGAGCAGACAGATCCACTGAGACACACTGCTGAGAGATGCAGCGGGTGAGACAGGGTTAGCTCCCTGGCCGGGAATCAAACTCATGCTGCAGTGGCTGCTGACAGCTTCATAGTGCTGAGATTTAACCCCTTGTGCCACCAGGGAGGCCCCCCAGCCATTTATTTAAGGACGACCTGCGGCACCTCCTGTGCCACGACAGCCAATTGAGTAGTTCAGCAGAAGCCCTCCAGCCCTCACAGCCTGCTGCTCTCTGGTTTAAAACATGACTGTAAATGTGGACTGAACTTTCTGTGGAACCAGTATATGACTATCACCTCTTTCCATCTACCTGTACTCATGTCCATTCCACTCAACAGGCATTGACTGAGTTACATGTCAGGGGTGGTGCAAGGAACTGAAAAACAAAGCTCAAGCAGTCATTGTCTCTCAGGGGGTCTTAATCGGGGAACATAAGAGACAGATAAGTCGACAGATGACTTGAACATGGTGGGACAGAGATTACTGAGTGGTTACAAGTATGAGAATCTTCGTGTTAAGTGCTTGGCTTCAATTCTCTCACTGGGTTACCCTAACAACCCCCACCACTAAGTATTATTATTTTTCCCTTACAAATTAGTAAAATGAGGCAGAGAGGCCTTAAAAGACTTGCCTGAGTCACCCAGTGCGCATGCTCTAAACTATTATGTCTATTGCACCCTGGCCCTGAGGCAACCCATTAGAAAGGTCCCTGATCCAAACACAGTGGTGGGGTAAGGTGGCATCAGGGAAGTCTTCCTGGAAGAAAGGGTTGTTGAATGGTAAAGAATGAGGAGTTACCCCATACAGAGATAGGGGCAGGGCATTCTGGGATGGGAAGACAGTATGTGCTGAGGCAAAGGCTTATGAAAAATATCTAAGTCAAGTAGCCAGCGGAGCAGGAGTCAGGGATGGGGACAGCTGAGGCTTGTATTAAATCATCAAGTATCCAGCATGTCATACTGAGGTTCCTGTGGAGTAGGGATTTCTTCCTAATGGCAACAGGAAGTCATGGAAGGGTCTTTATCAGGGAAATGAGAGGCTCAGACTTGCATTTTCAAAAGTGTGTAGACAATAAAGATTGTCGGGGCCCCCCTGGTGGCACAAGGGGTTAAGATGCAACCTATGAAGCTATCTGTAGCCTCTGCTGCATAGGTTCGATACCCAGCCAGGGAGATACCCACACGGTGCAGAAGACCTCGCCCGCTGCTCCCCTCAGCAATGTGTTTCAGTCAATCTGCCTGTTTTGTTTCCCACTCTGTCTCTGGTGAATCCTCCCCACCCCCAACTTCTGGCCTATACCCCAGTTCTGGTATGCATAAATAAATCTTTAAAAAAATAGATTGTCATGTGGTTACATGTGTGCACACACACACAGGTGGATGTTGGGGCACTGGCACATGTGACTGGAGATGACAGAGATGGGGACAAGTAGTTGTTTGAAACAAGCCAAATTTGAGGAGCTTGTGGTCTTCCACATGCATATATATGATGGGTAGGCAGTTTTAAGTTGAAGACAGATTTGGGAGTCTGCCTCGCAGATGATGCTGAAGCCATGTAAATGGAGGAGATTTGCTCCTGTACAGTGAGAAGAGAGGAAGGGCACTCAAGGACCTGCAACATTTAGGAGATGGTCAGAAGAATTTGACCCACACAGGAAGTCACAGCAGCCCTAAGAAGTAAGAATAGAAAACAAGAAGAGAAAATCTCAAGTCAGCAAAGTCAAACTTCACTAGGATGAAATTGAGATAGTGTCAAAATTATTAGGTTTATTAGACTTTCATGGTGGCGGTACTTCTGGGGTGATCAGAAACCCTTTTGTTCTGGAGGGCTCTTCGTGGAGTAAAAACACCAATGGGGCAATAGTACCTCTGTTAGAATTTATACACAGTCTCACAGCCATGACCTGATCCCCACAATAATCCTATGAAGTAAACAAGGGAAATACTTTCCTTTGTTTTAGTAGGATTTGACTTTAAAATCACAAAAGCAAATAAGGAGCTCTAAGAGATGTGTCTTAAGCCCTACCTTTTGAGCATTAAACTCTGCGTCAGCATTTGTTTCAGCTCATCAGGCCCCACATCTTTTAAGCTGTCGAGGAAGCTATGGGTGCTCAGGTAGAAGTTGTTTATTTTCCCACTCTGAGTCTGGCAGGTCAACTCTCCATTATATAACAGCAAAGGTTTATGAGAGAAGGGAACTTTGGTGCCACCAGCCAAAATGACCTTGGATCCTGTATTATAAAACAGACATCCTAATGCTGGCAGCTAGTTCTCAGCACGACCATCAGAAAGAAATGTTTTCATTTCATTGCAATCAATGGAAATTCATTTATCAACAAATATACAGCTAAGGGACAAAGTACCTTGTATAGTGTCCTTGTGAAAGACATAGGTATAGACCTTGTCATCATCATAAGCAACAAATACACCTTTATCCAATGGCCAGTTTTCCCAAAGAACACCTTTAATGGTTGGCGAAAAATCTGGAATCTCAAAGGTAGCATCATTAACCTACAAAATAGGATTTATAGATTTGTTCCAAGTTGATACTTAAACCCACTATCATTGCCTTGGTGGGAGTCTGTCTGCATTACCTGTAGCTGGCATAGCTTACCAGCCCACACTCGCTCAACCCAGCCACATCCCAACCCCAGTAGGAACAAAGGTCTCTCTTCCCACCTTTATACTACATATGGCTTGAGAACAACTGTGGTTCATATGGCAAATCAAGGACTTAATCTAAAGTTGAGCAAATCTGTAGGAAGAATTATATGTCTGGACACCAAATTTTCAAGTTAAGAAAAAAAGGTTGTTGGGCCTCCCTGCTGGTATAAGAGGTTAAGAATAGCACTGTGAAGCTGTCTGCAGCCTCTGAAGCATGAGTTTGATCCCCAGCTGGCCAGGGAGCTACCCCATGGCATGGCAGACCTCTTCTGTCTCGCCTGCTGCTCCCTTCAGCAGTGTATTTTGTCAATCTGCCTGTTCTGCTCCCCACTCTGTCTCTGGTGAATCCTCTCACCCTCCCATACGTCTGGCCTGTGCCCCAGTTCTTGCATAAATAAATAAATCTTTAAAAAAAATTTGATTAAATAATTAATTAATGGTGATTAATTTTACCTGCTTCTGTTACTGTTTTAAAATATGGCTAGTAGAAAACTTAAAATCACAGAAAAGTTTCAAAAAAAAATTTTTTTGGTATTACACTGATAGCTGGATATATATAATCTCACTTAATTCTAAGTCTACAGGACAGGTACTATTATTTTTTAAAAAGATTTATTTTTTATTTATTTATGCATATTTATTTATGCCTACTGGGGTGTAGGGCAGAGATGTGCAGAAGAGGTGGGGAGCCCGGAGTGAGAGGATTCACAGAGACAGAGTGGGGAGCAGAACAGGCAGATCTACTGAAATACACTGCTGAGGGGAGCAATTGGCGAGACAGGAGAGGTCTGCTGCACCATGTGGGTTAGCTCCCTGGCAGGGGATCGAACTTGGGGATCTAACTCCTGCTGCAGTGGCTGGCGATAGCTTGATATGCTGAGACTTAACCCCTGAGCCACCAGGGAGGAAACCAGACAGGTACTATTATTAGCCCATTTTGCATACAAAGATACACAAATTTGCCCAAAGCCATACTATGTAGGACGTAAGGTTAAAGGTGTTTAACCTGTTTCATTAAAAATCCTCTATGGTACTGACACTATGAAAAATTGCAGAATAACAGAAAAGTTTTCTTGATATAAACAGCCATGAAAATGGATCACAGACATGATTATAAGTATTATAATCCTTGGTGCTTTTTAGGGGAAAATTATTTTATATATGCGTTTTATTTGAAAACACCTTTCTTCGCATACTGCATTTTAAAAAAACAAGCATTAAAATTTTTTCTAAACTTACTGGACAGTAGACAAATCCATCACTTTTTTCATCAATGAAAACTAATCTAGTCCCATTTGGGTCAGGAAAAATCTTTTTCACACCAACAGGATGTCGATAATCATTAACAAATTGCCAGTCTTCGATGTAGAAGTATTGAATAACACCAGTCTAAAAAAAAAGGCCAAAGAGAAAGGTTGTCAATAAATACTTATTTTTAACATTATATTAAACATACTTCCTAATTTGAAGAGAAAAAGGTCATCTCTGTTATACAGAAAGACTGTAAAGGGTATTTTACATAATGTGCAAGGTACAGACCCAAGGAAATACCCTAAGTCCTCACTTAAAGTGTGAAAAGCAATGACTTTTACCAAATTCACTGAATTCTTTTAGAGAAGAACCAAGGTAACAGGTAGAATATGCTTTGAAAAATCCTTGAAAACTTTTACAAGTAAAAGATGCTATTGCTCTATTTATATTTATGACCATGTGGTTAATGTAAAGTCAGAGGTGAAGGGTAGTGATGGTTCAAAAGACCAAGAGATTAAAGCAGGATTCTCAATATTCAAATAATTTTAATATTCTTTAATTGCCTACTAAATACAGGCACTGCAGATCTAAAGTTGAAAGAGGTGTCTGTCACCAAATGAAATCTTTAAGATATCCAGGTAAGGAGAAAATGAGGCTTGGAGGGGTTAAGCAAAAGCTAGCAAGGAATAGAGCTGGTAATTTAGATCAGATTTTCCAGACTCCAAAGTCTGCCCTTTTCCTCACTATGCCCTCAAAATTACTTAATATCACCGAAGCACTTGAGACTAACAAATCATGCTACCTCTATAATCTCTGTAAGTATAATTTATATTCTATAATTATAAATGCTATCTTTGTGTAATATATACAAGTAAAATTATTGTATGCACACATATAATCCATTATATTACAAAGTGAAATGAGATATTCTCTGTTATTAAAAAAAATACATACGTCTGTACCATAGATGAGGAAATCAGCAGTTAAGGCATGACATAAAATACGGCACTTATCATCCACTGCTGGGAAGAGTCGAGTTTCACGTTCTTCTTGAGTATCTAAGATTTCACTTTCTATCTAAAATGTAAAGAAAAAATAGTGACTCAGATTTACTTGAGTAAATCTGGTCTGAGTATTTAGAGAGTAGGCTAGGGGTTTTTCTTAATTTCAACTAAACAGACTCGCAAGGCAAGCACAGACCCATTTACTCAGAAAGGCATAGCTAGGCCTATGGCATGTGGAGGCGGCCCTCTGAGTGGGGCTGGTCTTTGCTGCAGTGGCTGCAGCTGTCTAAGAGTTCATCTCCTTGGCTTCCCAGATGTGAAGAGCCAAGAAACAGATGTGGGATGCCCTGGGTTAGGAGCCCCTTCTTCCTGGTGCCAATAAGACTTGAATAGCTCAACAGGCTTAGTTTCAAGGGCTCCCACAGTAACATGTTCAAACAGAAGCCAATGTACCCCAGGAAACCTGGAGGTCTGACATTCCCATTGGGTTTCCACAGCTCATTTAGCATTCCTTCTGCTCTGCAATTTACCAACAGGGTCCTTTCTACCCTGTGCAGTGCTGTGCCATGCTGAGAATAGCACAGGTGATATTTTGTCATGTTCTGGGGAACAGAACTAGAAAGCTTGTTGAACATCTCATGCAGAACGAGACAGTTTTGTTAATCCTGCCTTCCTATCTAGTCTGTGCATCATTGCCTCCTGGCCAAAGTTCTCCATAGTTAGACATTAGGTTGTTCATTGTCATCATTAGCTAAGCAGGCCTCTGGGACACCAAAATCATACTTACCAGATGTAACTGGACTTTGCCTTCAAAAAGCGCAGCAGCATAATCAGAATGAAGGCAAACGCTGGTGACCGTCCCCAGATATTCCATATCTTTCAATTTTTTAACAGCTGTGGAAATTTTTTATAAAGTATACATTGATGCATACATAAAATTATCTCACATAAACATTTTACAAATGATTTTTAAATGCCTGCCTTTGCAAGGAGAGTCTGAACCAAAAATTTTTAGCCATTCTAAAGAAAATCTCAGATCATCATCAATTTGCCATCAGCAATCCCCTAATGGTTCACATAAAACAAAGTAATTGAAAACAAAAGCACAAGCCAAATAAAAATTAAATCTTAATGACAACAAACTTGATGGTATCTATCTGAGGAGGTTCCTTGGGCTTAGCCTACTAGGAGGGAAAACGGATCAGTGGTGGAGGAGGGAGGGCAGAGCATAGAGAAGGTCTCCTTCAGATGCTGAAGGTCCTGACGCAAAAAATACAAGCGGGGAGGGCCCACCACTTATCCAGTGCCCACCGCCCTGACAGGTGCCTAGTGTGGGCAGCAGAGCACATACTTTGTCACTTCATTTTCCTCATCACCCATAAAAGTAGAAGAATCCTCATTTTCCAGGTGGATAAACTGAAGCACAGAGAGATCATTTGTAAATGGTCACCCAGCTAACAGAGGCAGAGGGAACTTGGAATCCGGGATTCTCTAGCTCTAAAGTTTATATCCTGCTCACTGCGCCGCGGTGTCTTGAAGACAGAGGCAGAGAATAAAACCTTACACAAAAATTTCTGAGGACAAAACCTCATAAGCTAAACAAGATTTCTGAAAAAAAAAAAAGCAGCGAAAAACTTGGCTGTAAAGAAACTTGCCGTCCTTCCTAATCACAAGATATTACATGCGACATCAGGAAATCTGGCTTTTGACTTGCCATTCTTTCCAAGGACATAAAACCAAGCTCGGTTATTCATCCCCACAGCCAGATGGTAGAGTCCGACGGCCACGAAGCTGGGTTCCACGTCCACGGCAACGGTGATCGGTAGCTCCTGGGAGACAGAACAGCAGCAGCGGTAAATCAACTGCTAAGACTTTTAATGAGTAAGTGAAATTTAAAGACCAGTGTCTCCATACTCCTTCGACGGGGTTGGCGACGGTGACCTCGAGGAGGGAGGTGAGATACGCGATCCTCGTGCTGCAGGCGTCCCCCAGGATGGGGAGCTTGGTGAGGAAAACATGGAGGGAACCCCTTTGGGTGGACAAGGCCAGCAGCTGGCCATCATCTGTCCAGGACAAGGTGCCCAACCCTGGAATAATGGATAAAAGAAAGGATTAGTCAAAAAGAAATACATTGTTCTAGGCAGACAAGCAAGTATTTTCACTTAAGCTACCAGAATCATGAAATCTACCAAATGTTTTAATTTTTTTTATATAGCATATAGACTAGGAAATTCACCATGGATTTTTGGCACGTGAACACGGGCACTAGTCACTCAATTTTGGTTCAAACGGAAAGTGCATAAAATTTTAGATTTTACAATTGGAATTGGGATAAAATTTACTATTAATCTTTGACTCAAAGTGGACTAATCCATCTAGCCAAGGTGTAGGACTCAACGTAATTACTAAAATAAGGAGGTTATTTTTGGGAACTCTAGTTCCCTAAACGATGTAATGAATGCAAATCATACAATAATAAGCATATTAATCTCTAGAATTAGAAAAAAAGGTCTATCTGCTTTAGAAAAACCAATACCTTTATTTTCATCATCCAGGTTGATTATGGCATACATGTCTTTTAATTCTGACAATTCATGGATTTTAATGCTGAAAAGGAAAAAAGGTTTTAAATATATATATAAAAATAAAACATGAACATTAGTTAAAATCGTTTTGTTCACAATTATAAGTAATGGAACAGGTGCATGATCTTCAAAAAAGGGATACACAGGATGAGCTACTTGGTTAAGGTAAGAAAATATTAGAACTTCTATTAAATTATAACTTTAAATTTTTCTGTGGTAGGGGGAAGGGAGGGCTTTGCCCAGCTTGGTTCTCTGATCTACAGCTTCAGGAATAAGGAGGTTTAAGTGGACTCGAAGAAACGATTGAACAGAAAGACTTTCTCCCGAGCAGTATTAATTACAAGGTAAAATAGGTTTCTCCTTGCAGAGTTCTCTGCTGCCCCCTATGTGCCTCTGCTCCAGGTAGTTCATTCATAACACCCCCTCCGACCACCCCACCTTGCAAAAGAGAGTATTGGTTTCCCCCACTATCCCAAACTAGAATGTTTCAATTTTTTTGATGATTTGATATTTTTTGAGTTTGGGGATACATTAATTTATACAAAGAAAATTTTGAGCATATCAAACCCCCAAATAACCTACTGATTCATATCAAACAGACCACACTGCTTCCACCTAGTGGGGAGAACTGCATAATAGAAAGAGCTTATGCTGAAAGCTCTGAAAAACGGGAGCATTGCCACTTCAGCGTCACCAGGGAGAACAGGCAGCTAAGGCAAAGGAAAGCTCCGCAGCACAAAGCTGGGACCTACGATTTTTCTTGTTGCACCAATTCTCTCCTGCCCTCTTCTCCTTTCTCCCCGTGTTTCCCTCTTACATATTTTCTCTCATTGTTTGCATTTAACTTGTTATTGCAGGTCCACAGGCAGTTATAAGAATAGATGTTATGTAAGAATAGATCTTATGTTTCCTTTGCCTTTTTCCCAAATAGTAACATCTTGAGAAACTAGAGTATAATATCCTAATCTGTTATAGACCTTGATACAATCTATGAATCGTAGGCAGGTGCTCCCCATTTTGCTTGTTCGCACATCGTGTGCATGCCGGCGTGTGTCCGTGTAGTTTGCAATTTTACTGAGATCCAAAGCCACAGTCAACACACAAGAGTTTCATCACCATAAGGATGCCTGCCTTGCCCTTCTATAAACACACTTACCTCGCTCCTTCCTCCGCAACCCAGCCCAATCCCAGACCTTGGCCACTCAATAATATCTGTCCTTTATTTCTACAATGTTATGGTTTTAAGAATATTCTATAAATGGATTTATACAGTATGTAACCTCTGGGAATTTTTTTTCCCCCACTGAGCATAATTCTCTGGTGATGCATCCGGTTGTGTCTATCAATATAATTTGTTTCTTTTTATTACTGAGCCTAAGTCCATAGTATGGACGTGCAGTTTAACCATTCAACCACTAAAGGACAACTGGGTCATTTCTATTTTTTTTTTACTATTACAAATAAAACTGCTATAAACATTCATATTTATGTTTTTCTGTGAATCCAAGTTTTCCTTTCCCTGGGGAAAATGACCAAGAGTAGGGCAATGTGGTAATTACTTAAGAAACTGCCAAACTGCTTTTCAGAGTAGCAGCAGCATTTTCCACCTACCAACAATGTATGAGGTGTCCAGCTCTCCTCACTGTCAACAGCACTTAAAATTATAGCCTCTCTAATAGATGCGTGGTGATCTCTCTCTCCTTTTTTAAGAATTTATTTTGTCTAGAAGAACTGGGGTGTAGGCCAGAGGTGGAAGGTGTGTGAGAAGATTCACCAGAGACAGAGCGGTGAGCAGAACAGGTGGATCTACTGAAATGCACTGTTGAGGGGAGCAGGGGACAAGACAGGAGAGGTCTGCTGTGCCTTGTGGGTCAGCTCCCTGGGCAGGGATAGAACTCAGGCTGCCTTGGTGGTAGGCTGAGGCTTAGCCCCTAGGCCACAAGGGAGGCCTCATTATGGTTTTAATTTATATTTAATAGCTGGTAATGAACATCTTTTCATGTGTTTATCTCGTATTTGAAATCCTCTGCTGAAATCTGCATATCTTTTTGCCTATTTTCTAACTGGGTGGTTTTTTGTTTTTCACTTTTGAGTCTTGAGAGAGTTCTTTATATATTCTAGATGCTAGTTCTTTGGTGGATACATGGTTTGCAAATGTATTTTCTCATTTTGCTGCTTATTTTTTCATTTTCTTAACAGACTCACAGAGCAAGTTTTTCATTTTAATTTAGTCTAATTCACCTGTTTTTCCTTATACATATTTTCCATGCTTTCATCTAAAATTTTCAGTTTTACATTTTACATGTAAGTTCATGATCCATTTTGGGTTAATTTTTTACTGAGGTATGAGGTTATGTTTAGGTTCATTCTTTTTGCTTATGAAAGCCCATGAGATGCATGGTGATATCTCATTGTGGTTTTAATTTGCATTTAATAATTTGGAATGAACATCTTTTCATTGTTTATCTACCATTTGTACATCTCTTTGCTGAAATCTATATGCCTTTTGCCTTGTGCTTCCCACAACTGCACGTGCACCTGCACCAAGCAGGACACAGAAAAATAAGCAATTGGGGTGTGTGCCACTGTCTGAGGGTCACAACTCCAACAGGACAGAAAGGGTGTCCTCCATCAGCGTTTTGGGTGCCTCTGGGTCTCCAATACCACGTGAGTTGGCCTATTGGCTGCGGCATGAGAGAAGGGAAGAAAAGAAGAAAGTTGGGAAATTTCTCCAACAACAAGGGTTAGGAATTCTCTTCCTGTACCGAGTCAGAGCTAGAGGGCTTCTCCGGGGGCTCTCTGCTCTGGCGCCTACATCTGGATTTCAGGCTGCCTTGAGCACGAGCTGAGGGAAACTGAAGACAAATGAGAGACTCACCCCTGGTTCAGTGATACTTCAAGTTCTTCTTCTCTAATCTGCCTGTTACTATTTACTTTTCAGAGCCCTGAAATAGTTGTTCTATGATCCTGCCCAGGTTTTGTAGGTGAAGTTAGTGGGAGAAACAGGGTGGAGTGTGCTTACTTCATGTTACCCTGAAATACTTATTTTCTTTTTAAGATTGATTTTTCAAGTGTACTCTATTTTAGGTTTTGTATTTAGTACACTGTTAGCATTTTAGGCTTTGCCTTCAGTACTTAAAAGTAAAGGAGTCTTAGCAAATTTCAATTGCAAACATGTTCTAAGAGGGAAGGAAAGTAAGGATGACAGATTTATATTAACTATCAACATCTTGTTAAATCGTCTGAATATTCCTTACATAAGGTTTCCTGGGAATTTGGGAATATAACTTACCAGTTATCACCACATGTAGCAGCTTTGTTGAGGGTCTGTGATACTGCGATACTGGTTAGACTATCTTTATGTTCACGAGTCTGAAATACCTCTTTTCCAATTTCTTGCATGTGAGTAGAAATGACCACAAAAATTCCACGGGAAAAACCAATCATGATATAGCCATCACCACACCTACAGAGACAAAGGCCACAGTACCGTAGAGAGATTGATGAAATCTATATAATATAAACCTAGGTCACTTTAAAAAAAGGGGAGTGGGGACCTAAGATTAACTATCGTTGACAACACAGTAAATACATGAGTACCTTAAAACTAAGGAATTAAGGCCTCCCTGGTGGCTTGACGGTTAAAGCATCAGCACTATGAAGCTATCCGCAGCCACTGCAGCACGAGTTCAATCTCTGGCCAGGGAGCTACCCACATGGCACAGCAGATCTCTCCAGTCTCGCCCCCTGCTCCCCTCAGCAGTGTATTTCAGTCAATCTGCCTGTTCTGCTCCCCACTCTGTCTCTGGTGAATCCTCTCACCATACCCCCCCGCCGACCTCTGGCCTGTACCCCAGTTATTGTATGAATACTTAAAAAAAAAAACTATGGAATTACAGAATATAATTTATCAAGGGCCTCATTGCCAGAAAATATGCTAGGCAGCCTCACATACTAAGAAAAAGTTATATACAGAAATGAAAATGCCACAGAAAAAATTAAATATGACAATTATTAGGGGACAGCACATGGGTAGCCTTTAGTAATAAGTTTTCTGTACGCACCAACTGTAGCAGACGATGTTGCCATAGCACTGCTGAAATTCCAGGTGCACTGGGTTTTCTGGCTCACTCAGATTAAGAAGAAACAAAGTTTTCTTGCCAATCACCCCAATTATCTGCCAGAAAAAGATTATGAAATGAATCAGCACTTCATGAAAAGACTGATAAGCAAATCCAAAGAGACTAAATCTGATTTGTGAAAATAAAGAGCCAAATTTAGAAGTGTTAACTGTCATAGTTAGGAAGATAATAGTGTGACTAATTAAAAAACCACTTTTTTACTTTTAGTCTGGGAAGGGTCCTTGCCTTTCTATCTATCTGATCTCTCCTTTGGAGGATAGTAAAATAGGTGGGTGTAACAACTTTTTAAAATTCTCTCCACCTGCCATTAGAATACTGTGCAACACAGGGAAGTATGTCTGACACAGTTTCATGGAATTGAAGTCATATTTGGATACAGTCTTCCATGTTGAGACGCCAATCTGAGGTTGAGCCACCTGGGATTAGAGGCTCACACCAATGTGGATAATCTCGTTTGCCTTTTTACAGCAACATTTTCCATCACTTGCAGGTCCATATGGTGTCCCTCTCTGACTCCCACAAGTCAATACTTACCTGTGATTCTCAGTGGAAGGTATAATTGTGTTGGGAAGAGAAAAGAGAGTATCACTCATTTGGGGTGATTAAGGGTGATGGATATTGATTGATGGCCTTGATGCCAAAATTAAACATCAATTTAATGGTTTTTTAAGAAATAAAGAAACATTACTTCATTAAATACATTCATATGCTTGTGAAAATCATCTTGATTGCAGAATGTTATAATCTGGCAGGAAAATATCTCTGATGTGTTAAAATAAAAACTACAATTTCCAGCATTCTGGTCACCACATTTGGTAGGGTAAAAAAAAAAAAAAATCATACACAAAGCAAAGCTCATCTTTAGGAAGGAACCCCCACTGTTTTTGCTATCCTAAGAATGAGAAGAGCAATGCCAACTGTAACAGGAGGCTGTCTGTCTCATTTCCTGTGATACTGGCCAGCTGGCAGCAGCAAGAACAAACGTAGGCCTGAGAAGCTAGGGCTTACATTGGCCTAATCAGTGACGGGCTATAATTTATCAATATAGATTGAGTCATCCTAGAAAATGGAAACAGCATATTCTACAAATACTACAAATACAGTCTGGGCATGGATTTGACTTAAAATTCCTACTGTGCTTTCGGCAGCAAAGTTTCGGTCATCAGTCTTCATCATGGAAAACTGCATGTCGCTGGGTTCTGACCGCACTGGTGTCTGTGGAAGTAAAAATAATATCACTGTGAATAAACCCAATAAGCAAATTAATCCTGAATATTACTAAAGCAAGTGATTTGCTCTTATTTCATTTCTGTTATATGCTGGACAATTAACTTGAAAATCCCAAGCCTACACACATTGAGAAATTCAGGATGAAACAGAACCCATATCTTATTAAATGGATAGATAAGCTTGAGAGAAGGTAAAGGAAATTTCCAGGGACCATTACAAAGTTCAAACAACACCAAAGTGTATGCAGAAAAAGTATATGCAACACCAAAGTGTATGCTCCAGTAGCCAGAGCAGCTGGGAAAGAGAGAATGAAATAACCTGTCTGACCTGGACTAACCTCTCAATCAGAAAAAAACTGAAAAAGTTCTTTTCAAGTGAAAGAGTTACCCCTCTATAGCCATGATGGTCTGAGGTTGGTGTGGATATTCTGAGTGGTCTAAAATGCCCTGGCATGTTTGTTAAAAACAAATTCAAAGCTTCTTCCCAGAACTGCAAAAAATTTCCACAGATCAGCCCTGCTAAAAATGAGCTCACAATTCAAAATAAGAAAACTCACAATAAAACAATCCATCAAGGGCAAGAGTCAGTAGATTTAAAAATAATAAAATTATTAGAGATCATGAAATACTTTAAAATAATGAGAAAAGAAGTAGAAGGACTTATAAGAGAAAAGAAAACACCCCCACCCCTTTTTCAAGTCCAGGAAGATTTTTTTAAAATTTTTTTTTAAAGATTTATTTATTTATACAAGCACTGGGTATAGTCAGAAGCACGGGAGGGTGAGAGAATTCACCAGAGCAGGGAACAGAACAGGCAGACTTGATGAAATACACTGCTGAGGGGAGCAGCAGGCGCGGCAGGAGAGGTCTGCGCGCCATGTGGGACCCTTGCTGGAGGCCAGGGATCAAACCAGTACTGCAGAGGCTGCGGGCAGCTTCACAGCCCAGCGCTCAATTGCTGCGCCACCAGGGGAGGCCCAGTCCAGGAAGATTTTTAAAAGAACTACAAAGTGCTTTCTAAAAATAAAAGAATTATTAAAATAAAAAACCTCGATGGGATAGACAGAAGATAATACAAACTTGAAGAAATAAGTGAACTGATTTGAAGAAATTATCCAGAAGTTTGCACACAGTGATAGTGATAAACCTACAATAGACAGATTAAAAGAGAGATGCTCCAGAAAGTCACAACAGAAAGCACGAAAGGTAATCTTTATAAAAATAATGACTAAGAATTTTCCAGAGCTGATGTGGATTAAGGAAGCAAGACAAGTCCTCAGCAGGATCAACAGAAATAAATCCATACAAGTAACATTGGAGTGATCTGCACAAGGGCATAAACAATTCAGAGAAAACACGCAGAGCAGCAGTACTTATGACGGCACGTCGCTAACCCCACGCCAGTGTAGCAGTCGCTTGATTTTGAACATACACTTCTTAGGGATTATAAACAGGAAACAGTTATCTTACATGCAAATAATGGCTGGATAGTAGTGGTGTCCTGGGAAATTATGTGGAAAAATATTCTAAGGCCATGTCTTGATTGGGGGGGATGGCTTAGAGGGAGATGCTCATGTCTCTGGATGATGTGTGCTATGGACATAATAGAGGAAGCTGTTGCATGTGTGCCATGTATCCAGCATTCTAAGTCACCAATATAGAACCATCCAAATTATAAGGTTTCCAGAAATATTTTACAGCATGCCAGATTAATCTTCCTGAAGGACTCCTGTAATCGTGCTGTGGTTCTGCTCAGTGGGGTTGAGTTAGTTTCAGCCAGTCCAATCTTGAACAAACCATGAACAAACTCTAATAAGTTTTTCCTTTTATCTTTGTTCACGCTGCTCTGCTTGGATTGAATGGGAGAGACGGCCAAATGCCCAGTGGCCTCCTCTGGACAAGTTTTAGCAGCGCGCGTGGTCACTTACAAATAGACTGCATTTGCAGTTTCCCCGGCAGCAGTGCAGAGGACCATATGACCAGGCTCTAGTCACATGGAATGAATAGAAACAATGACGGCTTCTTCCAGATCTTCCCCTTTACAAATTTCTTGCTCTGCAGGTGTGGAGCTGGCAGGCTTGCTTAATCATGCAGATAAGGGCAAAACATCCCAGAGAATGGTAGAGCAAGAAATTGGAAGTGGGGATTCTGTACCACCTGGTGAAGCAGAGATACAGGACCTTCCCACCTTTGAGGGGGAAAAAAACCAGCCCACTACCATATTTTTAGTGTCCCTATAAATCTGAATCTCTGTTCCCACAGTTTACCCTACACCCCAAGGGGTTCAGAGCACCTCTCTTTTAAAGACTCATAATCCAACTTCGGTGATCAACTCTCTCCCCTATAGAGGAAATGCAATAGGATTTTTAAGCAATGCTATAGAATTGGAACTTAATCCTGTAGGCCACGTGTATCTGATGATAGTTTTGTTTCTTTGAGGGTAGGGACCTGTGGTGGGCAGCCCTAAGTTGGTCTGGGATGATCTTCATCTTCAGGATTTTATGCCTGTGTATAACCCTCTTTCCTACGCCCTTGAGTGTGAGCTAGATCTGGTGACTCACTTCTAGAGAACAGAGTCCAACAGAATTGATTCTGAGATCAGGTTATTTATTGGGAGATTGTGGTTTAAGACTCAAATGGCTGCTCTTGCTCTCTTGCCAGCTGATACACTGGAGGTGAAGAAATCCCTGTGGCAAGGAAATGAGGCAGGAAATAGCCAGAGAGGATGTGGGCCCCTGAGTCTAACAACCTGTCTGTCAACAAACAGGTGAGAACCTGAAAATAGATTTGCCCCCAGCCAAGCCCCTGGATGAGACTGAAGATCTGACCAATAAAATGGTTGGTCTTATGAGACACCCTGAGGGACAAGCACCCAGCTCATCTGCATCTGGGTTGCTTACCCACAAAAACTATGAAATTTTCATTTTAACTGCTAAATTTGGGGGCTAATTTGTTGTGTGGTGATAATATAGGGCCATATCTCATATTTCTTCTAAAAGTATAAAGCGCAAAGCCATCCACATAGTAGGGATTCAAAGGCAGCACTTGTCAATATTGCTCTAGAAATGCTAAGTCATAAGCCAAGAAACCAAAGTGAAATTTTCCCATTACGTATTGGTAATACAAATTCCTTTGAGGAGGAACAACTGAAGAGCTAATCATATTTGAACAGCAGTAAAATTTAACACTAAAATTAAATTTCATTAGGGTTAGTTTGAAATTAATCTAACATATCAACTAAAGAATAAGGCTGCCCAGAATCTAAGTGCAGTTATTAACATTCATATTGTAAATATATGTATCTAAAATAAGAGTTATTTCAAATATACTGCAGAATTGATACTCCATGCTAACACTAAAAGAAAGAAATGAACAAAGGAGGATATTTAGATAAGTATTCATATTAAAGAAAACTGTTCTAATATCCAAAAAGAAGAGTGAAGTTTAGACTATGAGGTTAGTATATACATATCTCAGAGATTAAAATTCTACAGATTAGTTTGACAGGCACATTTTATTTGGGGGACATTTTCAAATATATCAGATCAAAGTGCTGTTTCTGTTTACCTGTCTTATCGTGTCACCTTCCTGGTTACTAACTGTGATCATTTTATCTTCACCACCTAAAGCAAGCAGATTTTCTGCATTCCAACATCCACATGTGATTCTCTTAGTATGTTTTCCTGTAAAAGAGATTTTTGTACAGACACATGGATTTCTCCCAAAAACAAAAACAAAAACCTCAAATCTGTTATGTCAGTCTAAAAGTCTAATATACCATGGAAATAAAATAGACAAGGAGTTTAAACTCTCATCAAAGCTGTTAGTATCTAAGCGACCTTATTTAAGATAATTACAAGTTGTAATACAGACAATGGTATAGAAAGGCAATAAATACCACATGCCAGCTTTTTTTGTGGACATGAGCATAAATGCTAAGAGAAAAAAGAATTCCACTCTTTGAGAAGTATGTTTACCATCTAACCAAATTTGTAACAATGACCTAAGAAAAGTAAATACCAAAACACTGAAGTTATCTGTAAGGTCTTCATCTTCATAATGTGACTAAAGGATTATAATGATTTGTGATAATACTGAGGTACAAATATGGGTGCACCTTATTGAGCCTTATGTTAAACATTCAGTCACTTAGCTCGAGACTGATATTCGATAATTACTAAGTAATAGGAAACCTTTTTATTGAGCAATCTAGTCAATGCACAAACTACATTTTGCGGGGCAAATCACATGCTTCAGAAGGGCATCTGCTGAAGGTCCTGGGATTGATAAAATACTCAAGTCCTAAGGTTAATTAAGGATACAGCTTCTGGGAGCTAACTGCCTAGATATGAATCTCAGCTCTACCACTTACTGCAAAACCTTGGGTAAATTACTTAATCTTTCTATTTCTAAGATCATGCATAAATTGTGGATAATAATAGTAGGGCTGGGGATCAAATGAGTTAAAACACTTAGAGTGCCAGGTAGACAGGAAATGCTATATATTTGAGCTGTTATTGAGAGAAGAAACCATGTCCATTTTATTCTTTGTGCCCCTACAGTCCCTATAGAAGCAAGTTCTAAACAGTCGTACATAAGCAGGCTGAGGCATGAGTGTGTTAGAGGCTCAACAAGGAAGACAGTGTGACTGCAGTAGAGAAGTGAGGAGACCTGGGCACGAGATGAAGTCAGCATTTGCAGGTGCCAGGCTTTGGAGGGCTTGGTAGACTACCATGAGGACTCTGGCTTTGACTCTAGGTGAGAGAGAAAACTGTTGGGAGGGTTCTGAGCGCAAGACCCACGCTAGCCTCTAGGTTGAGAAAACTGTACAGCTGGGCAGAAGCTGAATTGAGATTGGTTAAAAGAGTGCAGAAATTCCGAGGGTAGATGAGTAAAGCACACACACCATGGTAGTAGGAGAGGCGGTGAGAACAGGCGACTCTGGAGCCATCTGCAGGTAGATGCCGCCAGGTATGTAGACAAAGTAAATATGGAGAGTATGCAAAAGAGAAGAGTAAGGGTGATGATACGAAGATTCAGCCCGAAGACCTGAAAAAGGATGGGATATCTTCAGTGGGAGAGACAGAACTGTGGGTCAAAGGGTCTTAGAGATACTAAATTTGAAGTGTGTTTTAGACTTAGGAGATGCTGAGAAGCATCTGGATGTTTGAGTGTGAACTTTGAAAGAGAAAAATATGGACATCGTCAGGCTAGTATTTCAAACCAGGAGTCCAGAAACAAATGTAAAGGGAATATTCAGAGAGAGACGGGGGTATATAAGAAATTTTGCTCACCATAGATTAAGGGATTTGAGTGGTACATTGTAATGGGGTGTCCAAAGAAATGGGCAAGAGGATGGGAAAAGAGCACACAAGAAATGTGGAAAGATGCCAAAAGCAAACTTCTTTTTATACCCAAGAAAGGGAGGAGAAAATCTTTCCTGCTTCTTCCTATATAACTCAAAGCCCTATATAACTCCAGGACTCAGAATTCAGGTTAGTCTTAACATCAGTAACAACAGTTAATGCATTCTTTGTGCCTTTGCACAGTGTCCTGGGCACTTTACCTGTATTTACTCATTTCATTAATATTAACTCAGAGTTAATCATTCGAACCACATTTTTGGGAGGCTGGCAATGTTTAGTTAAACTGTAGTAAATGGAATTCACGCATCTCAGAATCACACAAAATGAAAACTGCCTCTTCTGGTCTAGTTCAAGGAAACAAATCAGTGTAAGATGAAACAAGGGAACAGATATTCAGCTGCTGTGAAATGCTGACAGGTCATGCATGCTACCATGTAGCTACCACCAAAGTAGATGGGCTTGGGCTTAGGGCAGTAACTTAAAAGGGGGAAAAGGCATAGCCACGCATCAGCTACTCTGCCAGAGGCAACCATCTATTTAAAGGACCTCCGACGTGGAATCAACCTGAATCTTCTCAGGCTTATTGTACAGTCTTAATAAGACTGAGCAGAATCAACACCCACATTCCATACAACATCGCACATAGAATCATGTATACATGACAAATACCTGATAAAATCATCACATTTTCATAAAGATCTCCTCATATGTCAAGTGTCAAAATTTCTAGGGCTGAGAAGTTAACTGGTAGGACTACCCACAGATGAAGTGGGATACAGAAAATACCTACTGAGGTCAAACAGACTCATTTGTGTGGTGATTACTGATTTTTGTAACTCAAATTTTTTAGTTTTAATTTTTCAGATGGATCAATGACACTATTGTTTAGCTGGAGCACAAAAATATTAATACTAAAGATACACAAAAATGTGGAAATAATCTGAAATGATTAAATGTCCTTAACTGAAAGGCAAAATCTCATGTATTCTGTGGGCACTATTATCTCCACAGTTTCTTAGCAGTAAACTAGTCAATTCCTTTTTCTGGCCACCTGGATGCAACTTAGCTCACTAGTCCCCCACTCACAGCATGATAGCAGATAAAATTGAAAAGAAGTGATACCATTTTTTTTCTTTGAAATTTCTGGGCAGATGCTAGGTGGGGGAGTCAGACTGAACAAGAGGAGCAAGCATGGAGCAAACACAAACACCCTCAAGTCATATGCCTGGAGGCAAATAAATATATAGTCTACACCTAGACAAAATTGGTGTTGGTGGAGAGTGAGGGGTCAGAATTAGGGATCTGAATACATCCTCTCCAAGTAGGCACCATATGTTTCAGTGCATCAACTGATGTGTTGATATGAATATGGGTTGTTCTGTGTCAACAGCTACAACCTGGGTGAGAAAGGGACATACAGAAGCCAAGTTATGAATGGACTGGTGTCCAAACACTCACGCTGACATTAGTAACTTAGCCTGTGCAGCTTGGAACATTTACTAGGCCATGAAGAAGGATCTTCTAGTTTAGCTGTATGGGAGGCTTGACCAGACGAGTCTTTCTAGTACATAATTTTCCTTGCAATATCAGGGAAGTCTGAAGCATTAAAATTTATATTTATGTAAAGCATTTCAAATATTCAGCAGTGTTCTCAGCTATAAACCTACCAAGGACAGGAATCTTTCGAGATGTCTGACGATTATAAATGAGCAAATTTCCTTTAACAGTCCCAACAGCCAGGAAACTTCCAACTTTTGACCAAAGAAGAAAAGACATTTGATCCCTGTAACATTAAGAAATAAATTACTAAACAAAATTCAGAATCATCATCTTTAAATAGTTCTTTCCACAAAAAAAAAGTTATTTCATGAATAATCGTAACATCACTTAGAGACTGAAATACAAAATTACAACTTAATGGTTTAAGGACAAAGACAAATTGCTAAGGACATTCTGGAGAGACTATAAGAGGACCTTACAGTCAGTTAGACTTAAAATATAAACGTATAATGAATATAGACTTCGATTCAGTCATGATGGAACCTCAAGCTTCATGAGAAGACATTGTGAGATAATTGTTTATCTGCCTACTAATGATATTATCTGTAGAATTGGTCAAAAAAATCTTAAGGAATTATGACACCTTGGGCTTTAAAGCAAGAATCCAATAAAATGGTACATTACATTAGAAAAATCATTGGGAATTCATGACCTTAGAAAGGACATGTATCTTCCAGTGCAGTTACAAGAGTAGCTCGGGAGGAGGCAGAATGCATCACCTGTTCTGTGCACTCTAGGACTCCCAGGCTAAGCTTTCATACAATTCCTTAATAAGGGACTCAGGACTCCTCAGAGAATAGCTCATTCCAGATACTGAAGAAAGAAACCACAAGGGGGGCCTCACTGGTGGCACAAGGGGGTTAAGTCTTAGCATTATGAAGCTATCAGCAGCCCCTGCAGCACCAGTTCAATCCCCGGATAAGGAGCTGATCCACATGGTGCAGCAGACCTCTCCTGTCTCGCTCGCTGCTCCCCTCAGCAGTGTATTTCAGTCAATCCACCTCTTCTGCTCCCCACTCTGTCTCTGGTGAATCCTCTCACCTCCTTGCACCTCTGGCCTACACCCCGGTTCTTGTGTGCATAAATAAAATAAATCTTAAAAAAAAAAAAATCACAAAGGGCAGAGAAAAGAAGTCTTGAAAATGCTACCTCAATACCAGCACCAGCTGGGGATTCTGGAAAGGCCAGTTCTCAGATCCCACCCCAGCTTTACAGAAGGAGAAACTCAAGGGGAGGCACGCAGCTGGCTGTGCCTCATAAGCGTATCAGGCAACTCCCCGAAGCTCAACTTTGAGAGTCACTGACAGACCGTGCTGCTCTTCACAGAGAGCAGCAGACTTCCAGAATGTTGATGACATAAAAGGAGGACAAAGAGTAAAGGACATTCTTTTGGTTAAATAGGCTAATTTGGACAATTACAAATGACATTTAATTGGAACAAGCTGTACTTTGAAAGACTATAAGAGCAAAATTGAAAAACAAAAATCATTTAAAATACATGAAAAATTAGTTTTAATGATAGACAAACAGAATACAAGGTAGTTAAATAATTCATTTTAGTAAAAGTGTTAATCAAGTATATACAAAAGATAAATAGACATGTTTCTCTATCAGCTTAAGCAAATATGGCAGCCAAAAACATGCCTCTCAGCAAGTGGAACTGACTAAGGGCCCAGCTCCGTGGCACTGGTACCCATCACCTCAAAGCACTGGGGCCACGCCACCCCAAGCTGCTCCACACAGGGCCTGCGCCGGGCAGGGAGAGAAGAGGGGTAGTCCAGTCCCAGGAGACACAGGATTCCCAGAATGAGGGACTTAGGTCAAAGATTCCCTTAGTTGAACTTTCCTACATTCTGCTCACCTGAGATGTTTCTATCCAATCTTTCTCCCTCCCTCATCGCCTTCACAGGGATCTGAGATGCACTGAGGTCTGATGGCTCCTCTAACCTCCTCTAACCTCACTCTTATGTTCCCTCACAGGCATCCTGTAATACATCTCACTCATTGCACCCTGTTTTGGAGTCTGCTTCTTAGAAAGCATCAGTAAATAGAACTGTGAATGAGTTAATACTACCAAGGAAAAGAGGAATGACATGACAAGAACATGGCCGGCCACCTATAACAACAGTGTAACGTTAAGTCCACACAATAATTTATCAACACTGTCGCACAATTAGGAAGAGGATTAAACTGCATTTTTCAAGATCAAGTCACTAAATGTCCTCAAAAGAACTAACTGAACAGACTCCATCACACTCCTCTCAAGAGAGAGGGCCTTGAGAAGGCCCTGCACGCTAAGAAACTAGGGCCTATGTAAGTTCACAGTAATGCGAAAGGATCAGGCCAAGGTATAATAATCAAGTGTATTTCTGGCCAAGCAAAACTGAAAGAATAAAATGTTCTAGAAAGTGCAACAAGCTACAATGCAGTGTGAACTATGTGAAAGGCACACGCTGATATGACAACTGAAAGTCACCCTGTAAGGAAGCTGAGTGGGATGATTGGTGCTCAGGAGTCAGTGGCCTTGGGAAAATGTCCCATGATACGACCAGGCATCAATTGGCTGATGAAGCAGATGTTGTATTTAGAATTTTCTCTGGAAAGCTTGCTGTTTCCCAGGTACATAGCTAAATGATCATTGATTTAATCCCACATAAATCTTAAGAAGATGTAAAAATATACTTCAACCATTGTGTTAACACAATAATTTTAGATAAGTAACATTGTAGGAAGTTTTGCAATAATTATATTTGAGGGTCTCCCTGGTGGCCTAGGGGTTAAGTCTCAGTGCTATCACCACTGTGGCCTGAGTTAGATTCCCGGCCAGGGAGCTACCCACATGGTGCAGCAGATGTCTCCTGTCTCACCCATTGCTCCCCTCAGCAGTGTATTTCAGCAGATCTGCCTGTTCTGCTCCCCACTCTGTCTCTGGTGTATCCTCTCATATGCCTGGCATATACCCTACTTCTTCTATGCAAAAATAAATAAAATCAAATTAAAAATATATTTGATTTTTTTTGTGCACTATAGGTCTCTGAAGTGCTTAAAAAGTGAAATCTAATTAAATTTGTAATGGAATTTAAATTGTTTAGAGGAAATCTAATTTAGCTTGCAAAATTAAAATATTAAAAATTGTGATTGTTAACTATTTTAGCAATTAGATTGACCATTACATTTAAAAAATGGTAATGATCACACCTTTGTAGATACAAAAGTCCTTTAGGAATAACACAGTCAATGGTAAAATACTCTTAATTTTACCTTAATGATAATTACAGTAATAACATCTACCATTCGCTCGGTTCTCAATTTTGTGCTTGGCCATAAAATGCAATTAAACAACCTTGAGATGATGTGAGGAAATAATCTATGGGGAGATAAGGCAGTGGGAGGCAGAGCTCCAACAGAAACACCTGAAATGATGCATTTTTCTCTGGATGAGGATGTGGCCTTGCTGATGCTGAATTTAGTTCAAGAACTTGTTTATAAACGTTCTCCTGAACAGAAGCACGAGCTGTATATAAAATCTTTCTGAAAAGTGATGTGTGCCCCAAATGGACAGAGCAAGAAAGGAAGTGTCTCAGACCTTGCAAGACTTTGCAGTGGGCAGATAATTCCATCTGTGGATGCAGGCCTGGTGTGTCTCTTTGGAGGGTCACGGTGAGGTTTGGTTCTCTTCTCCATGATACCTTGCTTCTTGTGTTCAATTATTCCTCGGTAAATTAGCTGAAGAATTAAAGTCTAATCTTGCGGTACGTGTGTGACCCCTTCCTGGCCACTTGCAGGCCATGGGATGCCACGAGGGAGATATAGCTCCCCCTTAAAATGTTATCTTCCACAACAGAAACTGGGACAGATACACAAATACAAAAAACTGATGGGGTTGGGGGAGAGGAGAGATGGGGAGTGAAGAGGAGTGTGGGTAGGTGTGTGGTGGCAGCAGCAAGAAATTTAAATTATGCCCCTTTTCACGTAGGGATGAGGTTGGGGCTTAGAGTTGAAGCAGTTTGTTGAAGGTCAAAATTGCAGAGTCTTTCTTAAAATTACTGACATATTTTCCTTTTCCATATGGCAAAATGGTTCTCCTTTAGCAGAGATCTGTAATTTATTCTGTCTGCCCAGGATTTTTTCCACTTGGGAACAGCCCCACCCTTACCCTACTCTTCACCTGTAGGATTATCAATCCCACACCCTCCTGACTCCACGAGAGGCCTTTGGAGGAACTGCGCATACAGCGACATGCTTTCTGGCATAACTTGTTGTGAAGAATGATATTCAGCTAACAGCTGCCATTGACAGAGTCTGATTGAGGATGAAGCCAATACAGAGAAGGAAGACCCCAGAGGTGGAGAAAGACAGTGTTGGCTGAGTCACTGGAAGCCCTGTATACCCAGCCCTGGCTGCCACCAGATTTAGCCATCTATGTCTTGTCTCATTTTGGTTCCATCAAAAGCAACTTCTTAACAAGCTATTTATATTTTGCAACTGTAATAATTTTATTCTAAATGAATTGGGCAAAATCAACGGTATTATATATAATAAAGAACCTTTTCTTCTGTAAGAAAATTACTCAAGGGTCTCCCTGGTGGCCTAGGGGTTAAGTCTCAGCACTGTCACCATGAGGGACTGAGTTGGAGCCCAGGCCAGGGAGCAACCCACATGGCACGGCAGACCTCTCCTGTGTCTCGCCCACTGCTCCTCTCAGCATTGTATTTCAGTAGATCTGCCTGTTCTGCTTCCCACTCTGTCTCTGATGAGTCCTCTCACCCCCTGCACCTCTGCCCTGTACCCCAGTTCTTGTATGTACACAAAAAAAAAATCTTAAAAAAATTACCCATCAGTGCACCATAAAATAGAACTATTATTAGCATCAAGCCTACAAATAATCATGTTTCGAAGTGAAGATTTTTTTAAAAAAGTATTTATTTATACAAGAACCAGGGTACAGGTCAGATGCATGGGAGGGTGAAAGGATTCACCAGAGACAGAGTGGAGAAGAGCACAGGCAGACTGATGAAATACACTGCTGAGGGGAGCAGCAGGTGAGACAGAAGAGGTCTGCCGCGCCATGTGGGACCCTCGCCGGCTGGCCGGGATCGAACCCGTGCTGCAGAGGCTGTGGATAGCTTCACAGCGCGGCGCTCAACCGCCTGTGCCAGAGGAGGCCCTTGAAGTGAAGATTTAAAAAAAAAAAGTTATCCTTACCTCATGCCACTGTCTAACTGGCTGGTTTTATTTGCGTTGGCATCCCAGAGATAAATCCAACTAGATTTCTCAGCAATCACTGCTAGGATATCTCCATCTTTATCCCAATCCATAGCAACACAGTTACTTTTAAGAAAGAGAGCAGAACATCACTATACATTTTTTTAAAGAAGGGAAAAGAAATTTTAATTTTAATTAATTTTAATTCCCCCCACCAACCAAGCCAAGCCTCTGACACTAAGCTGATCTCCCCCTTATAATGTTATCTTCCACAACAGAAACTGGGACAGATACACAAGTATAGACCAAGGATGGTGGGTGGGGAAAGGAGGGATGGGGAATGAAAAGGGGTGGGCGTAGGTGTATGGGGCAGCAAGAAATTTAAATTTATATATTCACCTATTTATGAATTTGGTTTATAATAAAACCATGTCATCTATTTTGAGAGCATAAAATTTCTAGAGTGAGAAATACCACTATTTATTGCTTGGATAATATGAACCTCAATTTTTTGTTGAAGGGTGGAAAAAATTTAAATTCTATTTTAAATACCATTGCCTATACTATGTTAAATATAGTTACACTTAAGCGGATTTTCTGGAATCTTATAAATAACCTAACCTTTGGTAAACATATTAATCTAGCACGTCTACAAATGAAACATCTGGAATCAGATGTTGATTAAGCTTTGATTAAATTATTTCAGAGTAACAGAGATAAGGTACTGGTAAGAAATGACGCTAAACCTAGATAAGCTGAGATCAAGGCTCTATTTCCAATATTTCTTACTATAAAATTATTCTAAGTCTTTATTACATAATTTAAAAACTTCCTTGAAGATTGAGCTTTTCTTCTCTGATGCTATTTTTCATTGAGATTTCTTGGGTATTGGCTAAGTCATATTCAGACTTACATTTAAAACAGTTGGGAGGGGCTTCCCTGGTGGCGCAAGGGGTTAAGCATCGCACTACGAAGCAATCCGCAGCCTCTGAGCACAAGTTCCATCCCTGGCCGGCCAGGGAACTACCTACATGGCATAGCAGACCTCTCCTGACTCACCTGCTGCTCCCCTCAGCAGTGCATTTCAATCTGGCTGTTCTGTTCCCTACTCTGTCTCTGGTGAATCCTCTCACCCCCTGCATCTCTGGCCTGTACCCCAGCTCTTGTATGCATAAATAAATCTTTTTTTTAAAAGATTATTTATTTATTTATTTATACAAGCACTGGGCACAGTCAGAAGCGTGGGAGGGTGAGAGAATTCACCAGAGCCAGAGCAGGGAGCAGAGCAGGCAGAAGGACCGAAGTACACTGCTGAGGGGAGCAGCGGGCGGCAGGAGAGGTCTGCGCGCCATGTGGGACCCTCCTCCGGTGGCTGGGGAGCAGCCGGGGATCGAACCGGTGCTGCAGAGGCTGCGGGCAGCTTCGCAACCCAGGGCTCAAACGCTGCGCCACCAGGGAGGCCCATAAATAAATCTTTAAAAAAAAAACAACAAAAACAGCAGGGAACTAAAAAATAAGAAACCCAGCTGAGAACCATCTCAATTGTTTTTTTTTCTTCAAATTGTCAAACTATGTTTTATCTTAATATATAATAGCATTTTAATCATCTGGATGATTAAAATCTATGTCAGTTGAATTAAACTATAAATATAGTTGAGTAAGACCATTACAGAACCAGGAGAGATGACACAGAAATCATGCAAAAAGGCTCATGCAATTTACTCAAAATTCCACTTAACTTTTTTCAGATATAATTATAACTACCTTGACCTGTTCCATGGAATATAAAACCAGAAGCAACAATTAAAGAGAGCAGTGGGAATGCCAAAATGGTGGCATAGGCAGGCAGGGGCAGAGTAGGAGGAGGGAAAGGTGGTTAGTGCCTGAGAGAAATAAAACAATCTGATTTGTGATAGGAAAGGGAAGGCAGACATGCATTTAAAAAGCATGGCAGCATAAAACCACTTAGGTTAGGGGCTCTATACACTTTAGACTATCCGTAAAGTATCTTGTAAAGGTAATGATTACACCAAATCATTAAAAATGCTTCAATTATGCTTAGTATAATCTAGAATGATTTCCAGAAAATGAATAAAGTATTTGTCTTTTAAGATATAGAAAGTTAACAAATCTCCATTGATTAGAGAACTACTACGAAAATACAGGCTTATCTTGTCTGCCTCTATACATTTAAGGCTTGCTTATAATTAAATAAGAATTCTTTCATATAGGCTGATTTAAAATATTGTTTTAAATCGTTTCTATGAATATATGGGTGTGTATAATATAAACCCTAACTCATACCATTAAAACATTTCATTCATTTATGGTATAAAAAAGCCAAATCCCTTTGCAAATGGAGAAAGTGAAAGAGGAGATACAGGTAATATATAGCAGTTATAAAATTCTAATTGAGTATAGTTTTAAGGCAGTAATTTTTTTATCTTTTAGGTATCAGAGCCTGAAAAAGTACTTACCCAGGCAAGTTAATTTCACTTCTTTTTTGACCATGGCGATCAAAGATTTTCACAATATGATCAGCTCTAAAAGCAATTAGAACACAGAACTGTGATTTAAATGTTTCCTTTTATTTATCTTTCTATGAGCTTGAGGTGGCACAGACTGCCATCCAAGTGATCTCAGTGTTGCTCATGATAGTCTCATAATTTGTCTCTGGAAAGTCATTACCAGTAAAACAGTTTTCTGAACTGCGATCTTAGTGGCAATGAATGTACTCCCTTTCCCACTATCTAGCCACCACAGGAGAACTTCCACTGCCCAGACCTGTGCTTACAGAGCCTCCGACCCTTTGGAGTGAGGGTGATTTACTTCAAACTTTCATTGGCTTCTTACCCTGTTACTGCAAGGTAGTTTCCTGATGTTTTTTGCCAAGAAAACTGAATTGGTGCGCCAAGCCAATCCTTGTCTAGCAGTGAGAAAACACGCTAAAAAAAAACAAAAACACACACACATCAATTTTTATATTTTTAAATACTTAAAACCTTTTTAATTAAAAAAAATTTTAAACAAATTTTGTATTTTATATTTTCATATTTTCAAAATATATAATTATGGATCAGCCATAAAAAACATCAGAACATGATCATGAAATAGGTTTCAGAATAGTAAAGGCCGTTAGAGTTTATCTAAAAGAATTCAACCACAGGGTCTCCCTGGTGGCACAAGGGTTTAAGCACTGCACTATGAAGCAATCTGAAGCCTCTGTAGCACGAGTTCGATCCCCCCGCCAGCCAGGGAGCAACCCACATGGTGCAGCAGACCTCTCCTGACTTGCCCGCTGCTCCCCTCAGCAGTGTATTTCAGTCTGCCTGTTCTGTTCCCTACTCTGTCTCTGGTGAATCCTCTCACCACCCCCACTCCCCCGCCGCCCTGCATCTCTGGCCTGTACCCCAGCTCTTGTATGCATAAATAAATCTTTTTAAAAAATTCAACAAAATAAAATGACTAGTCAATAAACCAACCAAACAGCCACAAACTGGTAAGGATGGACAGCAATATACAGGAGCTCATTTACATAAAGCTTTTTTTTGCTTTTGAATATTAATTTTCTAAAAATACACAAATTTAGTGTCTTATGTTGAAGATTATTTAGCTACTATCAGTTGCATAGATTTTTTGGGGGATTAAATGTAACAAAATTGCTATGTAAACGATCTTATGATAGAAATATATCACAGAAATACAAAATATCTACACTTATCTTCCTTTACCCATTAACTATGTTTACTTCATCATTAAATGTTTAATTTGGCAATGGTGCGCCATATGACTGAAAAATTGTTTTTTTTACTTAGACAATCTTGGAACTGTGGTGTTCAACATGCAAGTCAAACCATGAAATTTTATTGAGGGCTTGAAATTTAGATAGAAAAGAACATAAACTCGCTGATAATTTTTTATACCAATCACGTGTTGGAATAATATTCTGGATGTACAGGGTAAAAAGGTTAATTTCACCTTTTTAAGAATTTTAATGTGGCTACTCTAAATTTTAAATTACATTGGCTTGTGTTATATTTATATCAAACAGTGCTGCTCTATAACAGCTCAGAACAGTTTGAAAGAAAAATTTAGGCTTTAATATTAGAATAAATTACAGATAAGATGCTTACTGTAGGCATCATTAGAAACTACTTCAGGTGGCTTAAATTTGAATGGAAACAAAACCCTTCCAAAGCTCAAAATTAAACACCAACTAACAAGCAAGTGTTAAAGAGATATCACCTGTACTGAAAACAGGCGTGCTTTAATCACAGCTGTATCAAGTTTTGTGAGAAGACATCCTTGGGAAAAAAAAAAAAACAAAAAACAGGAAGAATACAAAAGCCTTTTTTCCCCCTCTTTCTTCAATTTTCTGACCACATTGCCCTGTAATTCCTTCAGGCAAATAAGGGATCCTTATACTTGAATTCTGCTAACTTTTGTATACTTGAATTTTTCAAACCTTCTCTGGCTTACATGATTTTTCTTCAGTGGAGTCTGCACAGATGCTCCACGTACAGGTGCAGTGCAAAGTGTGAGCTTCACAACCAAGGCTTACATTTTGCTTTTTGCTCTAGGGCTTAGAGCAAATCGCATCAATTGCTCCAAGCACATAATTTTCCACTGTAAATCAGGAGTGATAATATCCCCTCATTTCTGATAGTTGATAAACTGAAGCGCTTTAGTGACTACAGGTCTGGCCATTCCAACTTCCATACTACTAATTGCCAGGAGGAAGAGTTAGGACGGATAAAAAAATTTAAAAATCGAGTTTCCCGTGTCTGATTTCAGGGCAGGGGGGTACTGCCAAGGTAAAGCAGAAGGGTGACAGAGCGAAGCCAGGGGCCCGGGAGTGGAGCCCGCGAGACGCCCGCGCCTAGACCTGCAGAGGATGGAGTTCTCTGGGCGTGAGACCTGCAGGTTTTCCTGTGGCTACTGTACATCCACCACCAGGTGATCTACCAGTCACAGGTAACATTTGAAACTATTCTTTCGGAGACTTTTCACTCTTTTTAGGGGGCTCAGCAGTTGGCGAGGCTTGCCGGGGTGTTAGCTGCGGGGCTTGCCGGGGTGTTAGCTGCGGGGCTTGCAGGGGGGGTAGCTGCAAGAAGTGAGGCGGCTCGTGAAACCCCACTTTCACCGCACCCTCCAGATGCGTCCACACAACCCGCTCTTTCCGCGGGGGGAATTCGGGGTCTCTCGGGATCAATCTGCTCTGGCCTGGCCGCCGCGGGGCTCCCTCCGCCCGCAGCGCCACAACCACGTCCGCGGGCCCAGAGCTGAGGGGCCTCCGTCCCGCCGTCTCTGTTTCTCTTCTTTCTGTCCCCGCCTTCCCTCAACTCCGCGCCTGCTCTCCGCTCCCCGGGGCGCCCCGCAGCGCTCCCCGCCCGCCCACACTAGGGGCGAGGGAGCGGGGCGCCCAGAGGGACTCCGAGTCGCCAGAGAACAGAGTCAGTGGCCGCGGCTTCCAGCCCCCCGCCCCCGGGGCTTGTAAGTTATTTACCTTCATCTCCAGGCTCCAGCGGCCGCGCGATCTAGCAAGTGCGCAGGCGCTCCGGGTCCTCGCTTAGAAGGCTGCGGCGTTCTCGTCACCCTGGAAACCGCGCCGCCAGCGACCAATCAGCGAGCTCCAGCTGAAGGGCGGGACCCGGCGGGGCCCTCGGTGGGGGACGGCGGGAGGCGCGGCCTGAGTCACGTGAGGCCGCCGGCGGGCCGGGCTCCCGGAAGTTGAGCGCTGGGAGGCTGCGCCTGGGCTCGCAGGTCGCGCTCTGATTGGATGATATTGGGACGCCCTGCCCCGAGAAGGCGGGCTCTGCGAACCCCGACAGGCGCCTGTGGAAACTTCAAATTCACCCCACCCGCGGCTAAGAAGTCGGGGAGGAGCGGGGGAGGGATGGAGGGATTAGGGTCAAAATAAGGGGAGTGGGAATTGCATGGGGACTATAAGCAAGACGAGAATGCATACACTGTGCAAGAATGAAAAATGATGTAAAAATATATAAAATAAAATTTTAACAAAGTCAGTGGTGCCCTGAGGGCTGCTAGAGAAGTTGATGGGATAAAAGGCGTTGAATGTTGTATAAAAAGGGAACATGGCTCTTAGGGCAAATATTCAGAGGGCTTAGAAGAACTCCTCTATCATCTCTTTCTTTTCCAGGTTTCTCGGCTAGAAGCGATGAAGTGTGGAAAGTATTTTAAAGGACTTAACAAACCAAGTAATTGGGTCTGTTAAAATCAAAACCACACGAGTCAGCCTTGAACATTCCTTGAACAGACAAGCCCACTTAGATAGGCAAAGCTTAGTTTAGCTTATTTTGCAAGACAAGCTGACTTGGGTTATTTCTTGTTCATGCCTCTGGAGCGCATAACAAAATTTAAGCTTTCTGAAGGTTGCTATGAGGCAGCCACTGATCAATCATTATTTAAATAAGAGAATTCTAATATTATAATCAGTTACTGTGAATAGTCAGTGCCGTCACATAAGCTGCTTTATAACAATATACCCATGAGTTTCATATTTCAAGTGCTCCCAGTTCGCAAACTGTCTCTCTAATGTGTGCTTAACAATTTCTTTTTACTATTTTGGTGATTCATTTGTTATTTCTGAAAAAATTGATAGTTCTCATTGCTGCTCCTCAGGTTTGGATCTGGCAGCTTTCCCCATGTTTTATGCACTGCCACAGTGTGTGTGTGGCATTTAGAATATGAAAGTGCATCTTTTGCTCGTGTATGAATACGTTGTAACAATTCATTTCCCCTTTCCTTTTCAACATAATATGTGTCTCTTAATATGTTTATATGTGTGAACCTTTTGTGTTGTAAATGATGTAACTCTTTTATGGACTGCATTGTATAATAGCAAATTGAACTTGGACATAAACTCCCAGTTTAAACCGAGTTCCTGGCACTTACTGGTTCTCTGTCCGTGGGCAAATGACCTCCTCTGAATCTCTTCTCCCAAGTCTGAAGTGCTCTAGTACCAGCAAACACAGGGCAGAAGTCCTGGAGCCCCGGGGGGATTTTTCAGGCTTTAATACTCTCAGGGAACCAGGCTGGGAAGCTGGCAAGCAAAGAGGCAGGTGTGGGTGCTGGTTGGCAGGCAACCAAGCCTCCCAGCCCCCCATGAATCTTCACTCTTTTTCTGGGTTCTCTCTGGTGCCTGGTCTTGTGGTCTCACCTCCGCAGTACTCGTGCGTCATCCCGTTGCCGGGCTGAGTGATACAGCCCTTATAGCCCTGGCCTCTAGACTCAGGTGTGCACAATTACACACGCCCACACCCATGGCCCAGGTGCCCACAACCAGGCACGTGTGCCCCGTGCCCAAGCTCCCAAGCGCCTTCTGCATAAACATGATCCAGGCCCAGGTGATAACCACAGAGACTAGTGACATAAAAAGCTTGGTTAATTCGTTTACCCCACAAATGGAATAACACACCTACCTAATTTGACTTTAAAATTCAATTAGTTTAAGACAAAATTCCAGTATCAGCATGTATTAATTTTTTTGTATTTCCTCCTAGTTTTTGCCTCAATGTGTACTTATTTTACTATCTATTTATAATTATGGTATGTGAGTAGTTTAACGCATTTGTTTAGTTCATGCAAGAAATATAACATATTTATTAGACTGCTCAGTATTGAACCACAGAAATAGATACAATTCCAATAAAATGGAATTTTAGTTTTCCTGAACCTAGTAAGTCAACTCTCCTTCAGCTCCCTTTCTGTTTTTGAGGCTGTTACATTTACATCATTGAGTTTTAAACGTGAGTGTGCATCTGATATAGTTAGTGTGGATTAGGACTACCTGGAGGGCCTGTGAATCAAAGCTTGTTTAGCCCACCCCCAGGACCGGTGATTTAGTCCTGGAGAGCAACTGATAATTTGCATTTCTAATGCATTCCCAGGGGATGGTGATTATCCTCTGTGTCTGTGGATCACACTTTGAGGCCACTAATCTTTAGATAATTGTTTCTAAGTCCCCTTTACATTTTGTCATGTCTGCTATAGTAAAACCAGTCTGTATCCTTTTTAATACTAAGTTTACAAAACAACAAATCTTTTTTCTAGCTTATGCCTTCTAAAATCACTTTTCAATTGATTGATTTTAAGCAGTTAGTATTATTTTATACAAAATTAGAGGCTCTTCTTAATGCCCAGTTTTCTGTTTTTTATTTTTGTTTTACTCATTAGGCTGACAGAATAGGTAGGCTTTCAGAAGTTGAATAGAAGAGAAAGTATTTAGAGGTAATGAGGCGTGGTAGGAGATGTAGATGCAGTGATTTGAACCCAGTCATAATGACTTAGTACTTAGATTTTTTAACTCTCTCAGTTTTGCTTTTCTTATCTATAATGGAGTGAACGCTGTCCACCTTAGGGGACTGTTAAAAAGATGTGCTAACATGTGTTAGCCAGGCATGCTAGGTATGTGTTAGGCACTCAAGTAGTAATAGGTAAGATGTTATTGTTATTAAGCAACAAGAAGTTAAAGTGAGAAATTATTTTTGTTTCAACATTCTTTAAAAAAAAAAAAGATTTATTTATTTAAGCATACAAGAACTGGGGTAAAGGCCAGAGGTGCGGGGGTGGGTGGGTAGGTGGAGAGGATTCACCAGAGTGCAGAACAGAACAGGAGGATTCACTAAAATACACTGCTGAGGGGAGCAGCAGGCAAGTCAGGAGAGGTCTGCTGCGCCATGTGGGTCGCTGCCTGGCCGGCCAGGAATTGAACTCATGCTGCAGTGGCTGCGGACAGCTTCATAGGTTGCATCTTAACCCCCTGCGACACCAGGGAGGCCTTTGTTTCAACATTCTAATATATAATAGAATAAATCTTGTTGGTAAAAATAAGGGCTGATGTGATACCATAATTGACCAGGAGGGGCAGGAGATGGAAGCTACTATCATCCCTCTCCCCCTGGGCCAAACGCTAATCTTTGGAGCAAGACTCTTTAGGATTAGGATAAAGAAGAAATTCAGGTCTCAGAATTCTGAAGCAGTGTGTTTTGACTAGGCAGAGAATTTCCTTCAGGTGTTAGAGGGGAGTGATTATCAATAAGTTCTGCCCATTTTGCTAGGAGCTTCAAATAGTTTACTTTCTATCCTAGATCCTAATCCTAAAACATTACTTGATTCCCAGTAATATTATATAGAAAAAAATTCTAACAAGTGTAATAATTAGTAACTAGGGATAGTCTGATCAGGGAATCCTAAACTGAACATATTTCCCTTTGATTTCCTAATGCTAGTAGATAAACTATCAATTCCATTTAAAACTTATTAATTGCTATTACATAAAATTTAATTTTAAGCTTAAAATAAAATGGGATATTCAACATTAAGCTAATTAGTTTTTTTCCAGTTCTGTGCCAAGCATGATTCTAATTACATGGCTATGAGTTAAATAGCCAAAAAATAAAATAAAATAAATTCTGGGCCCTAACAATTTAATGATTCCTAGTCTCCAAGGAAAGATTTTTGCATTACGTCTCCTGAGTTCATATAGACACGAGTCCTCAATCCTAACTGCCATTAGGATTACTTGGCACCACTTGGGGTGGCTCAGATTCAACCCTGATCTATTGAAACAGAATTTCTGAAGATGGACCCTGTCATTTCTTTAAACAACAAGTTTCTTTTTGTTTGGACACCAGAATTGAGAACCATTGATTTATTTTAAAGTATGTCAAGACACAGAAACATTAATTCCAAAGGGCACCTGAACGCCTATGTTTATAGCAGCACTGTTTACAATAGCTAAGCTTTGGAAACAACCCAAATGCCCAAAAATAGATGACGGGATCAAGAAGATGTGGTACATATACACCATGGAATATTACTCAGCAATCAAAAAAGATAAACACATGCAGTTTGCAGCAACATGGATGGAGCTAGAAGGGATCATGCTCAGGGAAATAAGTCAGAAAGAAAAAGAAAAATACCAGATGGTCTCACTCATGGCAGGAATTTAGAAAACCTAAATAAGAGACCAGGAAAAGACTAATTAATACAAAGTAAATATCAAATCAACAAGCAACTATGGGGGGAGGAGAAGAGGGATGGGGGACAGGGAGAGGAAGGATTAGGGTCAAAAAAAGGGGAAGTGCAATTGTATGGGGACTATAACCAAAATGAAAATGCATACATTGTGCAAAATGAAAAATGATGTAAGAATTATATAAAGTATGTCACGTCTAAGGAAGCAGATGAAAAGCTTGCTTTTGTTTCTGAAGGTGAATAGCTTCTCTTAAAATACCACCCAGAAGGCCCAAATGTGATATTGATAAAACTAGCTTTCCTGAAAAATCAGATTAAAGCTTGCCCTAAACAACTGTTGAATCTACTTAATTATGTGATCCAGGATTTTTGGTCTGTGTCATAAATAACTCACATAGAAGGTCTGACTGAACCTATATTCCGAATGTACCTAAGAATATACTGTATCTGGAGACCTTTTTTTTTTAATAGCATGTTTCAGTCTTCAACTGTGGTAGCATGTGAATGTCAAGAAAAATACCTGGTTTCTATCACAACCACTTAATTTTATTGTTAAAGCAAAAGAGCAATCATTGATGATAGGCTTCAATGAAACTTGACTTAGAAGAGCAAATAGCAGACAGATATGGCCCATGGGCTGTCTTGTGTTAAACTCAT